CACACCCTACCAAATTCATCCACCAATCTCTGCAACTTCTCTTCAGAATCTCCCAAGAGCACAGTGTCATCAGCAAAGAGCAGCTGTGACAACTCCCACTTTGTGTGTGATTCTTTATCTTTTAACTCCACGCCTCTTGCCAAGATCCTCACATTTACTTCTCTTACAACCCCATCTATAAATATATTAAACAACCACGGTAACATCACACATCCTTGTCTAAGGCCTACTTTTACTGGGAAAAAATTTCCCTCTTTCCTACATACTCTAACTTGAGCCTCACTATCCTCGTAAAAACTCTTCACTGCTTTCAGTAACCTACCTCCTACACCATACACTTGCAACATCTGCCACATTGCCCCCCTATCCACCCTGTCATACGCCTTTCCAATCCATAAATGCCACAAAGACCTCTTTAGCCTTATCTAAATACTGTTCACTTATATGTTTCACTGTAAACACCTGGTCCACACACCCCCTACCTTTCCTAAAGCCTCCTTGTTCATCTGCTATCCTATTTTACATCTTACTCTTAATTCTTTCAATTATAACTCTACCATACACTTTACCAGGTATACTCAACAGACTTATCCCCCTATAATTTTTGCACTCTCTTTTATCCCCTTTGCCTTTATACAAAGGAACTATGCATGCTCTCTGCCAATCCCTAGGTACCTTACCCTCTTCCATACATTTATTAAATAATTGCACCAACCACTCCAAAACTATATCCCCACCTGCTTTTAACATTTCTATCTTTATCCCATCAATCCCAGCTGCCTTACCCCCTTTCATTTTACCTACTGCCTCATGAACTTCCCCCACACTCACAACTGGCTCTTCCTCACTCCTACAAGATGTTATTCCTCCTTGCCCTATACACGAAATCACAGCTTCCCTATCTTCATCAACATTTAACAATTCCTCAAAATATTCCCTCCATCTTCCCAATACCTCTAACTCTCCATTTAATAACTCTCCTCTCCTATTTTTAACTGACAAATCCATTTGTTCTCTAGGCTTTCTTAACTTGTTAATCTCACTCCAAAACTTTTTCTTATTTTCAACAAAATTTGTTGATAACATCTCACCCACTCTCTCATTTGCTCTCTTTTTACATTGCTTCACCACTCTCTTAACCTCTCTCTTTTTCTCCATATACTTTTCCCTCCTTGCATCACTTCTACTTTGTAAAAACTTCTCATATGCTAACTTTTTCTCCCTTACTACTCTCTTTACATCATCATTCCACAATCGCTCCTCTTCCCTCCTGCACCCACTTTCCTGTAACCACAAACTTCTGCTGAACACTCTAACACTACATTTTTAAACCTACCCCATACCTCTTCGACCCCATTGCCTATGCTCTCATTAGCCCATCTATCCTCCAATAGCTGTTTATATCTTACCCTAACTGCCTCCTCTTTTAGTTTATAAACCTTCACCTCTCTCTTCCCTGATGCTTCTATTCTCCTTGTATCCCATCTACCTTTTACTCTCAGTGTAGCTACAACTAGAAAGTGATCTGATATATCTGTGGCCCCTCTATAAACATGTACATCCTGAAGTCTACTCAACAGTCTTTTATCTACCAATACAAAACCCAACAAACTACTGTCATTTTGCCCTTCATCATATCTTGTATACTTATTTATCCTCTTTTTCTTAAAATATGTATTACCTATAACTAAACCCCTTTCTATACAAAGTTCAATCAAAGGGCTCCCATTATCATTTACACCTGGCACCCCAAACTTACCTACCACACCCTCTCTAAAAGTTTCTCCTACTTTAGCATTCAGGTCCCCTACCACAATTACTCTCTCACTTGGTTCAAAGGCTCCTATACATTCACTTAACATCTCCCAAAATCTCTCTCTCTCCTCTGCATTCCTCTCTTCTCCAGGTGCATACACGCTTATTATGACCCACTTCTCGCATCCAACCTTTACTTTAATCCACATAATTCTTGAATTTACACATTCATATTCTCTTTTCTCCTTCCATAACTGATCATTTAACATTACTGCTACCGCTTCCTTTGCTCTAACTCTCTCAGATACTCCAGATTTAATCCCATTTATTTCCCCCCACTGAAACTCTCCTACCCCCTTCAGCTTTGTTTCGCTTAGGGCCAGGACATCCAACTTCTTTTCATTCATAACATCAGCAATCATCTGTTTCTTGTCATCCGCAATACATCCACGCACATTTAAGCATCCCAGTTTTATAAAGTTTTTCTTCTTCTCTTTTTAAGTAAATGTCTACAGGGGAAGGGGTTACTAGCCCATTGCTCCCGGCATTTAGTCGCCTCATACGACACGCATGGCTTACGGAGGAAAGATTCTTTTCCACTTCCCCATGGACAATAGAAGAAATAAAGAAGAACAAGAGCTATTTAGAAAAGGAGAAAAACCTAGATGTATGTATATATATATGCATGTGCGTGTCTGTGAAGTGTGACCAAAGTGTAAGTAGGAGTAGCAAGATATCCCTGTTATCTAGCGTGTTTATGAGACAGAAAAAGAAACCAGCAATCCTACCATCATGCAAAACAGTTACAGGTTTTTGTTTCACAGTCATCTGGCAGGATGGTAGTACTTCCCTGGGTGGTTGCTGTCTACCAACCTACTACCTATATATATATATATATATATATATATATATATATATATATATTGGTAGTAGGTTGGTAGACAGCAACCAGCCAGGCAGGTACTACCGTCCTGCCAAGTGAGTGTAAAACGTAAGCCTGTAATTGTTTTACATGATGGTAGGATTGCTGGTGTCCTTTTTTCTGTCTCATGAACATGCAAGATTTCAGGTACGTCTTGCTACTTCTACTTACACTTAGGTCACACTACACATACATGTACAAGCACATATATGCACACCCCTCTGGGTTTTCTTCTATTTTCTTTCTAGTTCTTATTCTTGTTTATTTCCTCTTATCTCCATGGGGAAGTGGAACAGAATTCTTCCTCCGTAAGCCATGCGTGTTGTAAGAGGCGACTAAAATGCCGGGAGCAAGGGGCTAGTAACCTCTTCTCCTGTATATATTACTAAATGTAAAAGGAGAAACTTTCGTTTTTCCTTTTGGGCCACCCCGCCTCGGTGGGATACGGCTGGTGTGTTGAAAGAAAGATATATATATATATTGGTAGTAGGTTGGTAGACAGCAACCAGCCAGGCAGGTACTACCGTCCTGCCAAGCGAGTGTAAAACGAAAGCCTGTAATTGTTTTACATGATGGTAGGATTGCTGGTGTCTTTTGTCTGTCTCATAAATATGCAAGATTACAGGTATGTCTTGCTACTTCTACTTACACTTAGGTCACACTACACATACATGTACACGTTTATTTATACACACTCATCTGAGGTTTCTTTGATTTTATCTTAATAGTTCTTGGTCTTATTACTTTTCCTTTTATATCCATGGGGAAGTGGAATAAGAATATTTCCTCCATAAGCCATGTGTGTTGTAAAAGTCAACTAAAATGTCGGGAACAATGGGCTAGTAACCTCTTTTCCTATGAAGATTACTAAAAAGAAAAAGAAGAAGAAAATTGTCAAGGTGGGAAGTCTGAATGAGCGTGGATGTTGTGCAAATGATAAGAAAGAGATGATTGTGGATGTTATGAATGAGAAGCTGGATGTCCTGGCTTTAAGTGAAACAAAGCTGAAGGGGGTGGGAGAGTTTCAGTGGAGAGCAATAAATGGGATTAGGTCTGGGGTTTCAAATAGAGTTAGAGCTAAAGAAGGAGCAGCAATAATGTTGAAGGATAAGCTATGGCAGGAAAAGAGGGACTATAAATGTATTAACTCAAGGATTATGTGGAGTAAAATAAAGGTTGGATGTGACAAGTGGGTTATAGTAAGCATATATGCGCCTGGAGAAGAGAGAAGTGTAGACGAGAGAGATTTTGGGAAATGTTGAGTGAATGCATGGGGAGTTTTGAACCAAGTGTGAGAGTACTTGTGGTTGGGGATTTCAATGCTAAAGTGGGTAAAAATGTTATGGAGGGAGTAGTAGGTAAATTTGGGGTGCCAGGGGTAAATGTAAATGGGGAGCCATTAATTGAGCTATATGTAAAAAGAGATTTGGTAATAAGTAATACATATTTTATGAAAAAGAGGATAAATAAATATACAAGGTATGATGTAGCACGTAATGAAAGTAGTTTGTTAGATTATATATTGGTGGATAAAAGGTTGATGGGTAGGCTCCAGGATGTACATGTTTAGAGGGGCAACTGATATATCAGACCATTATTTAGTTGTAGCTACAGTTAGAGTAAGAGGTAGATGGGACAAGCGGAAGGTGGCAACAACAAGTAAGAGAGAGGTGAAAGTGTATAAACTAAGGGAGGAGGAAGTTCGGGTGAGATATAGGTGACTATTGGCAGAAAGGTGGGCTAGTGCAAAGATGAGTAGTGGGGGGGGGGGGTTAAAGAGGGTTGGAATAGTTTTAAAAATGCAGTATTAGAATATGGGGCAGAAGTTTGTGGTTATAGGAGGGTGGGGGCAGGAGGAAAGAGGAGTGATTGGTGGAATGATGAAGTAAAGGGTGTGATAAAAGAGAAAAAGTTAGCTTATGAGAAGTTTTTACAAAGCAGAAGTGTTATAAGAAGAGAAGAGTATATGGAGAGTAAAAGAAAGGTGAAGAGAGTGGTGAGAGAGTGCAAAAGGAGAGCAGATGATAGAGTGGGAGAGGCACTGTCAAGAAATTTTAATGAAAATAAGAAAAAAATTTGGAGTGAGTTAAACAAGTTAAGAAAGCCTAGGGAACGTATGGATTTGTCAGTTAAAAACAGAATAGGGGAGTTAGTAGATGGGGAGATGGAGGTATTAGGCAGATGGCGAGAATATTTTGAGGAACTTTTAAATGTTGAGGAAGAAAGGGAGGCGTTAATTTCATGCACTGGCCAGGGAGGTATACCATCTTTTAGGAGTGAAGAAGAGCAGAATGTAAGTGTGGGGAGGTACGTGAGGCATTACGTAGAATGAAAGGATTTAAAGCAGCTGGAACTGATGGGATCATGACAGAAATGTTAAAAGCAGGGGGGGGATATAGTGTTGGAGTGGTTGGTACTTTTGTTTAATAAATGTATGAAAGAGGGGAAGGTACCTAGGGATTGGCAGAGAGCATGTATAGTCCCTTTATATAAAGGGAAGGGGGACAAAAGAGATTGTAAAAATTATAGAGGAATAAGTTTACTGAGTATACCAGGAAAAGTGTACGGCAGGGTTATAATTGAAAGAACTAGAGGTAAGACAGAATGTAGGATTGCGGATGAGCAAGGAGGTTTCAGAGTGGGTAGGGGATGTGTAGATCAAGTGTTTACATTGAAGCATATATGTGAACAGTATTTAGATAAGGGTAGGGAACTTTTTATTGCATTTATGGATTTAGAAAAGGCATATGATAGAGAGGATAAGGAAGCAATGTGGCAGATGTTGCAAGTATATGGAATAGGTGGTAAGTTATTAAATGCTGTAAAGAGTTTTTATGAGGATAGTGAGGCTCAGGTTAGGGTGTGTAGAAGAGAGGGAGACTACTTCCCAGTAAAAGTAGGTCTTAGACAGGGATGTGTAATGTCACCATGGTTGTTTAATATATTTATAGATGGGGTTGTAAAGGAAGTAAATGCTAGGGTGTTCGGGAGAGGGGTGGGATTAAATTATGGGGAATCAAATACAAAATGGGAATTGACACAGTTACTTTTTGCTGAGGATACTGTGCTCATGGGAGATTCTAAAGAATAATTGCAAAGGTTAGTGGATGAGTTTGGGAGTGTGTGTAAAGGTAGAAAGTTGAAAGTGAACATAGAAAAGAGTAAGGTGATGAGGGTATCAAATGATTTAGATAAAGAAAAGTTGGATATCAAATTGGGAAGGAGGAGGATGGAAGAAGTGAATGTTTTCAGATACTTGGGAGTTGACGTGTCGGCAGATGGATTTATGAACGATGAGGTTAATCATAGAATTGATGAGGGAAAAAAGGTGAGTGGTGCGTTGAGGTATATGTGGAGTTAAAAAATGTTATCTATGGAACCAAAGAAGGGAATGTATGAAAGTATAGTAGTACCAACACTCTTATATGGGTGTGAAGCTTGGGTTGTGAATGCAGCAGCAAGGAGACGGTTGGAGGCAGTGGAGATGTCCTGTCTAAGGGCAATGTGTGGTGTAAATATTATGCAGAAAATTCGGAGTGTGGAAATTAGGAGAAGGTGTGGAGTTAATAAAAGTATTAGTCAGAGGGCTGAAGAGGGGTTGTTGAGATGGTTTGGTCATTTAGAGAGAATGGATCAAAGTAGAATGACATGGAGAGCATTTAAATCAGTAGGAGAAGGAAGACGGGGTAGGGGTCGTCCTCAAAAAGGTTAGAAGGAAGGGGTAAGGGAGGTTTTATGGGCGAGGGGCTTGGACTTCCAGCAGGCGTGCATGAGCGTGTTCGATAGGAGTGAATGGAGACGAATGGTATTTGGGACCTGACGATCTGTTGGAGAGTGAGTAGGGTAATATTTAATGAAGGGATTCAGGGAAACCGGTTATTTTTATATAGCCGGACTTGAGTCCTGGAGGGGTTTTGGGATATTAGCAGTTTGGAGGGATATGTTGCGTATCTTTATACGTATATGCTTCTAAACTGTTGTGTTCTGAGCACCTCTGCAAAAACAGTGATTATGTGTGAGTGAGGTGAAAGTGTTGAATGATGATGAAAGTATTTTGTTTTTGGGGATTTTCTTTCTTTTTGGGTCACCCTGCCTCGGTGGGAGACAGCCGACTTGTTGAAAAAAAAAAAATATATGTATAGATATACACATACATACATACGGGGCCAGGAGCTCGGACTCGACCCCTGCAACCTCAACTAGGTGAGTACATACATACATACATATAAAAGTAGGAAGTAATCAGAGAGTCAAGTGTCAAATACTTGAAAGGGGATCACAGAATTTTGAGAAGTGAGGCTTTTTGGAAGATTGGGCCACGACACTCTACAATGATATAGCCATCTGAAGCGGGTGACTGATGGTATGCTTGTAAGGAAGCTACAACATACAGCAGTAAAATAGAGGTTAGAGTGATGGGCACAACTTTCTTCATGAAGGGGGAGGCAAGGTGAAGGATATTTGAACTACTTAATGATGACTAAATGCACAGAATAGACCAGATCATGTCTAGAGAGGCTGCCTTGAAACTTTTCTATTGTGCCAACCTCATTGAAGGGGCACACAGAAGGAACAAGGCATCAACCATGAGGATGATTAGCATTTATAGACCCACTGACTACTTGGTCGTTTTACACTGCTACTGTACATCAAAGCCTTAAACTTCAGGCACTATGAACTCATGCCATTGCATATACATGCCATATGTATATTATATCATTTTGTATTCATGCCATTTTGTCACGAAACTCAGTACGCCAACATTACTTATCAATATCCACATATCCACAGGAACTCTACAAAGATGAGGTACACCAACAGTGGTTTACAAATGGCCAATGTCTCCTTCAGCTACACAAAACACCAAAAATTTCCATAGAACGCTTTTTTGACACTAAATGCTTGAAACATAATCGCCTCACTGTGGTGTTACTATTGGTGTTTGCTATTATTTTAATTACAATAGCTATTGGTGTCATTGTTGCATGGCAGAGAATCAAGAGGACCACCACAATTCCATCAGCAGCATCAGATTACCAGTCCTTTACAGAACCAGTACCACCAAGCCGAGGTAGGCATGATGTAATAATGGAGATACTACTACCTTTAAACTTCCATATATTGCAACATAATACATTTAAACATTTTCTTGTTAAACTTTTACTAAAAGGTCTCTGAAATACACATGAACTCAAATCTGAAAAAAAAAAATTTGTAGTGCAGCCTAGTTAAAGCGTGTGTGACTAGTTGTTATTATTATTATTATTATAATCAAAAAGAAGCGCTAAGCTACAAGGGCTATACAGCGCTGCAGGGTAGGGAAGGAAGCGAGGGTATTGGATGGCAGAAGGGAGGAGGGATGATCAGCAGGTTACAGAAAACAGCGGGGCAGGGGAGAGTACGGGGGTAGAGGGTAGCAAGAGATTGAAGTAGAAAGGGCTGAAGGTATCAGAATTTGTGAAGTCAGTTGTTGTCAAAAAGTCAATGAGAGAGTCCGGATGAAAGGTGGGTCCATCAGTGAGAAGGGAAGGTAAAGAGAGAGCAGCGGAGCGAAGACGACGACAGAGGTAAATTCTGCGTGCTCGTTGATAAAGTGGGCAGTCCAACAGAATGTGGCTGACTGATAATGGAGCTTGGCAATTCTCACAGAGAGGAGCAAGACACCTCTCCATGAGATATCCATGAGTAAGACGAGTATGGCCAATGCGAAGACGGGAGAGAGTAGTCTCCCAACCTCGACACTGGTGATAAGAAGACGGCCAGTAACCTATACTCGGTTTAATAGATTGAAGTTTGTTGCCGAGCATAGTAGACCAACGTTGTTGCCAACGGGTGTGAAGGTGGGAAGATATTGCAGCAAAATAGTCCGTAAATGGAATACCTCTATAAGAAACTGGTAGGTCATGTACTGCTGACCGCGCAGCAGTGTCTGCCTGTTCATTGCCCTGTACGTCAACATGACCAGGGACCCAACAAAAAACAATATCTTTATGCTTGGTAAAGATGCGGCGTATCCAAAGTTGGATACGGAGGACTAAGGGGTGAGGTGTATCAAATTTTTGTATAGCCTGTAAAGCACTAAGGGAGTCTGAGACAACCACAAATGATGACACAGGCATAGATGCAATACGGATAAGTGCTGTAAGGATGGCATATAATTCAGCAGTAAAAATACTAGCCGAAGATAGTAAATGCCCTTGTACGACGCTGTCCGGAAACACTGCTGCGAATCCTACGCCGTCAGAAGACTTAGAGCCATCTGTGTACACAGCAATGGCATGAGAATGAGAGTGAAAGTGGTCAAGAAAAAGAGAGCGGGAAGCGACCGTAGACAGTTGGGTTTTCAAGCAAGGGAGGGAGAAAGAACAGACTCGAACAGCTGGAACTTCCCAGGGGGGTAGGGAAAAGTGAGATGCTACATGTACATAGAAAGGTGGTAGTTGAAGAGAAGACAAGAGCGAATGAAGGCGAAGAGAGAAGGGACGGAGTAAACAGGGGCGGTGAACAAATAAAGAATGTCTACTAATATCAGTGACCATTCTATAAGTGGAAGGATTGCGGAGATCATGAGAGCGTACATAGTAGCGCAGGCAATGGGCATCACGGCGATCGGATAAGGATGGAACGTTCGCTTCTGCATAGAGGCTCTCGACAGGGGAAGAGCGAAAAGCACCAAGGCATAAACGTAATCCTTGGTGATGAATGGGGTTAAGGCTAGAGAGAGTAGTAGGAGATGCCGCTGAATAGATCTGGTCACCATAATCAAGTTTCGATAAAATAAGGGTGGAATGTAGGCGAAGGAGGGTTCGACGATCAGCTCCCCATGAAAGATGAGCAAGGGTTTTAAGAAGGTTCAGCCGGCTGTGACAAGTTGCCTTCAGAGAGGTAATGTGAGGTTTCCAGGATAACCTACGATCAAAGAGGAGGCCCAGAAACTTGACTGTATCACGTTCAGGGATACGGGAGCCATAGAGGTACAAAGGATGATCGGAGATGACAGAGCGTCTAGTGAAAGTAATTTGGTGGGTTTTAGTGCTGGAAAATTTAAACCCACGTGTGGTGGACCAATTGGAAACACGGTCGACTGCATGTTGGAGAGAAACTGTAATGAGGTGACAGTCAGCGCCTGCACAGGCAATAGCGAAGTCATCAACATAGAGTGATGACCAAATATTTGATGGAAGATTAGAGGCCAAATCATTAATAGCAAGGAGAAAAAGTGTTGTGCTCAGAACACATCCCTGGGGGACACCTTCAGCTTGGATAAAGTCCGGGGGAGAGCAATTATTAACCTGCACGGAAATGCCTGTCATTTAAAAAAGTTCTTAAGGAAGGAGGGTAGATTGCCCGAAGGCCTAAGGAGTGGGCTTGGGCTAAAATATTTACCCCCAAGTTGTGTCATATCCTTTTTGGGGTCAAAAATTGGCAATAACTGAGTGGTTACCCAAAAGGCTTACAAACATAGTATCCAAGCGTAGTAAGGGGTCTATGGTAAACGTCCCTTTACGAAAGCCAATTGACGGTGGGAGACTGTGTGTGCCCTCTAAATACCACACAAAAGTCTTTTTATAGGCGTTCCTTTTAATTTGCAAACTGCACTGGTAAGAGAAGGGGACCATAGTGGGGGGTTTATTCCCGTAGTGCCTGGTTTGCGGAAAGGGGAGAAAATGGCGGTTTTCCCAAAGCTGTGGAAGAACCCTTGTACCAAATAAGTTGTAAAGGATAAAAGGCTGCAAGGGTGTGATGAAAATGTTGTAATACGAATAGAAGTCGTCGGGCCCAGCTGCCGATGATCGACAACTGAGAGTGTTGCCTCCAGTTCTTAAAGTGTAAAGGCACATTATTTTGTTCTTCTTGAGGAAAAAAGTCCAAGGGTGTAACTCTTGGCGACTTTGAGGGAAAAAAATGGGGGGCATAGATGGGGTCCCCGAGAAATATGGACCAGATGATTTCCAATTTTTATTGCAAAATTAGGGGTTTGCTATATCAACACCTGCAACCCCCAAAAAGGAGCCGGGTAGGAGAAATTTACCACTCAGTTTTTGTACTTTTTTCCAGCTGCATCATAGAAGAAGAAGGTGATGGTGGAGACTAATCTGCCCGCAAGTGCGTTTACGTCAGGGGGACACGGCGAGCGATCGCACGCTTCTGTTTAAAAACAAGGGTCTCTCTGTGGTTCTACTGTACCGATACCTGCCCCATGCAGCGCGTTTCAAAAGTACTGCAGACCAAGCAGGAGACCACCAAGGCACGCATTTCTGAGATGCCTGCCCGAAGTTTGGGGTAGAATGAGAAGCTGCTTGAAAACGGAGGCGAAAAAGAGGTGTAAAAGTCATGATGGAGGGGCGAAGAAGGAACTCTTTAAAAAATTAGGGTGAGAAAGGTTCCCAATTTTTCCCCATCAAATTGCCCGGTGGGGTGCGAAGAGGGGGGCACTATGAGGGGAAGTAAAATGTTTTGGGGAAAAGTCGTGTCATGTAAGTCCGGGAGAAAAGACAAATGAAGTCTAATGCGGGGGGAAGAGCAGACTGAGAGATCGATGCAAGAGAGTGTATGGTCCGAGGATCAAAAGGGTGTGAGTACCCGTATTTAAAAACATGGAGGGGGTGGGGGGTAAAAAAGCCTCTAACTGAATTTCCCCCGGAACAAAGTGAGCCCCCCCCCCCAGGGAAAAAGGTGGGCATTAAAAACACCCAAATAAAGAATCTGGTGGTAATGACGAAACAAGAAAGGCAATTCCGGAAAAGATAAAGCCCCGGAAAGGGGAGAGATATAAAGAAAAAGGCGTATACCACCTATGTAAGGGATACGGGCTGCTGTTTAATGCAGCGAAGTATGAACAAATGCTGATGGTACGGAATATCAGTGCGTAGAAGAAGGGCACTTTCCATTAAAGTCCCATCAGGAATCTTGCATGAGAGGATCTGAAGAATACAATAATTATAGCCTGAATGGGGGAAATAACAGCAGAGTGTTAAATTTTGGTTCCTGTAAGCAAACACCAACAGGGGCAAACGTGGGAGAGTAACATCTGAAGCTCACCCGATTACCCTGAGGGCCGCTTATATTCCACTGTAAATAGGCCCATGATTGGCAAATGATAAAGGATACTGGAAATCCGCAGGTAAGGGTTCCTACGGACTAGAGGGGTTAGGAAAGTCCACATGCAGGAGGCAGTGAAAACGTTCAAGCAGCGAAGGAAGCGGTGCCTGTGAAGAAAGAGGTTGCGCAGATGGAGCAGAGGAGAGAGAAAGAGCAAAGGTGATCAGTGTCCATTGATGGTTTTTGTCCTCTGCAATATATTCAGAGATTGCTTTCAGTGTTTCGGAATTCCAGAGACGTTGTAGGGAGACAATATTGAAATGGTAGGGGGATGATGGTAAAGATTGGAACTGTATTGGACTGTACCAAGGTAGGGGGGCGAAAGGGGTGGGAGTGAACTGAGAAGCGTGGCAGGGACAGAAGAGGCAGAAACCTGGGAGGTGGCAGAAGAGGAAGCAACTTGGGAGGGAACAGGGAGGAAAGATACGGAACAGTACGAGGAGGAGAGGTGAACTCTACACTTGTAATTCTGAGCAGTGAGAGGGGGAGAACCAGGACAGAGACAGGGAGGGTAAAATAGGATGTGGAAGATGGGGTAGGAGGGTAATGACCTTTTTTTGGACTTTTGAGAAGTAGAGGACGATTGGGAGGAGGTTGTCGTACTATGGTCATCGTCGATACTGAGGCTTGTGAGAGAGAACAAGAAGAAGCGAGATTAGACGAGGCGTTGAAGTAGGGGACTTTGAGCCGAGACAGCAAAGGATTAGATACAGGAGTGACTATGGGAGATGTAACCACAGAGGTGGTGTAGAAAAAAAAAAAAAAAAAAAGAGAAAGAAAAAAAAAAAAAGAAAAAAAAAAGAAAAAAAAAATAAAAAAGAAAAAAAAAAATAAAAGAAGAAAAAAAAAAAAAAGAGAAAAAAAAGAAAAAGGATAAGAAAAGAAAAAGAAAAAAAGATAGAGATAAACAGGAGGTAAAAGTAAATATAGAAGAAAAAAAAAAAAAGAAAAAAAAAAAAAAAGATAAAAAAAAAGAAAAGAAAGATGGGATACCAGAAGTGTGGGGACGTTTTGAAACACGGGAATAGAACACGTGGGAGTCTCCCTTGAAGGTAGAGATGAGAAACTGCCATGGCATAAGGGAGACCTTCTGATCTCTTTGAGGTAACTGATTTCCCGCTCGTTTAAATAGACTTGACAACGGCGAGAGTTACGAAGGGTGAGCCTCATGACAGTTAAGGCAAGAGGGAGATCGATTGCAAGACTATTAGAAATGGTCATTCGGCACCACAGACTGGGCATTGTTCGGCGATAGATCTGCAAATTTCGCTGGATGGCCAAATCGCCAGCAATTTTCTACAACTGTTGTGGTTAGGGATCACCTTTCAAACTGTAACCCGATGTCCTGCTTATTATAAACTGAGGATGGGAGTTCTCGCTGTCAAAAGTTAAACGAGCCACATTGCTAGTATCGTCTCCGCCCAGCGGGCAGGAAGAACATAATGTTCTACCTTGAGATTGGGAATGATCTTGGAAGTTTTCCAGCTGTTCAAGAATGTCAGTGCCACATGTCTGGAAATTTTTGTTGATCTATGGTATGTGGGGCAGAATGACGGGTGCCACTACAAGAATTTGAGGGAATGTGTTTTTTCAAGAGTGACAGGAACAGTATCAATATGGGAAAACGAAGAGCTCATGAGCCTGGGTAGCTTTCTTATGGTGATGATGCGCGTACCGCTCATTAAGAGCATGAAAGAAATATCTTTACCAACAGGCGTAGGGTGCCTTTGCCAATACTGTGGTCAGAAAGATAGGCAGTAGAGGAAGTCGTCCGTAAAGGTGAAGATTTTAGTCACATTGTTCAGTCTGGAAACTGAGTGTGGAAAGGTATGAAGGAGTGTCAATCGTTCTGAGAAGAACAAAGGGGAGAAAGTATCATCAGCAGGTAAATTGTCGTTGGGCGTTTAGGCCGTGGGGACCAAGTTGGAGTGCGACGTGGAACGGGTCCAGCGATTTGAAAATTGCCTCACCGTAGAGGGAGAGGCCGGAAGCATAGTCCCAGAGGAGAGCGAAGGTCCCGATAAATCGAAGGAGTCAGTCGAGGCCTCAGTACCTAAAGCGGGTGAGAAAACACACCGTCAAGAGGTACAGAGGCATGAGGAGTGTCTGAAGAGTGGTCCAAAGACGAGGCGGGGTCAGAACGGGGTGCGGTATCAAGAAGGGGCCCGGGGTAGTAGTTCATGGACTAGGGCTGGCCCATGGTTTAGGTTCTTCCTTTCCTTTTTGTGTTTTAAGAAAAAAAAAAGAAAGAAGAAAATAAAAATAAAAAAAAAGAATTAAAAAAAGGGGGGGACCGGGGAGGATAGTTTCCTGGAGAATGAATGAACGGGCCAGAAATCTGCCCTCCGCGCCCCAAGAGGACCTCAGCACCCGCAAGTAGTGCAGATGCAGCATTGAAACCCGTGCCATAGCCCGACCCATCATCTAGTAAACTTAACAATCCGGGATAACAACCTCACATCTGCCCGAGCTACCTCGGTGGGACAAAAGAGAGGGCGGGGCCAGATATCCGCCACCAAGCAACCTCACTCCCTCCTTCCGGCCACCACCCCCGGAATCCGAAAAGTGGCTTCCAGAGATACACCCCGTCTCCCCGAAAGACACCCAAAGCTACTCCGGGATACGGAGAGGGATCGGGACATCCCCAGGCGATCCAGACTCACGGCAAAACTACGCACCGCCAAGAACCTCAACGGAATGGGATGGACCCCGGTAATCCTTTCCCCTACCTAGGAACTAGCGCGCCTGTGGGAGAAATCCCACAGGCCAAAAAGAGGAAGGGCAAAAGGGAGGGGTGGGGAGGAGGAGGAGGAAAGGAAAAAGGAGAGGATGGGATAGGGGAGGGGAGATTGGGGGGTAATTAGGTTCGGTCTGAGGAAGAAGACCGACAGGTCTAATTTCTCAGGCCAAGAGCCTCTTCACCACGCCAAGGAGCCCCCCTTGAAGAGGGTGTGACTAGTTAATGATCCAAATCAGGCCAAAATGTCATCAAAGTTTCTTTCTCCTGTGTGTGGGTTATTTGTTTACTGTCCCAGTCATGGTATTGTGCTTTTTTGTTCTTTAATTCTGTATTATTTGCAATTTGCAGTTTCACAAGATCTTTAGGAACATAGCCTCCTGTGACTCTATATGGTGAAACATTTTACATATATATAGTTTATGGAGAACTGAACTGTAAGAGATATATGTTTATCTCATGCCTAAATGTGTGTCTGCAAAACTCTTCATCACAACAAAAACTTGTAATTACAGTTATCCTACAGCACTTTATAAAAGCAGGAAGATGTTGCCAGAGCTAGTTGATATTGAACATTTCAAACTACCCCTTTTGACAAGAGATAATTACAACTACGTACTATTAATTTATTTCTCTGCTCATTTATAGAAATTCAATAAACACTTAAGTATAAAAAAAATTTAATTATAAAACTAAAAACTAAAATAACTTCTAATTTTTTTTTTTTTTCAGCTCCATCTGCTTGGGCAATAGTGCAGCCAGATCCTCGTACATACCAAGAAACAGAAATACATATACTTTTTGATAAAGCTCAAGAAATGGATGCATATGACAGAAATTCGTTACCGATTCTAGAAGACAATGAATATCAAAATAACACAGATCAAAATAAAAGTAATGTAAACACAAAGGAAGGAAGTATTTTAGAGATGAAGACAACAGGCAATACAAGGCAGTCATGCCCTGTACTGCCTATATCAATGAGCAATTCATGAATGTCTGTAACTCTTGTAATTGTAACTTGTGTTTTAAAAGTTTATAAACTTGAACTTTCAATTAGCATACTAAAAGAGGACATGATTTTAAAGACCAGTATGTATGCTAAAGTTACAACACACAAATAATCTTTGGAAAACAAAACAGAACAAAAGTACGTAGAGAGTACTTCAGTAAAACTTTTTATAATACTGTACTGTTGAAGATTTTGCTGAAAAGACATGTTCAATTAGATCAGGTCAAGGCAAGAGATGACTCACCCTGTAAAATTCTCTAACTTGGCCAAAAACTGGAGATGGGATGAAGTGAAGACTATCTTAGAGAACACAGTAAATTTAAGACAAGACATAACTTTGCCTCTTACAGAATTTTGTAGTTTACTGAGAAAGTAGATGCAGATTCAAGTTTCCCAGAATTGCATCTTCAATGCTGGGTGACTGTTCCAGTCATTCATACACTAGCCATAGTAAAATGTCATGCTCTACAGGAATCACCATCACAAGTATTTGCTCACTTGTGTCAAGCAGATATAACTGCAGTTGATGAGAGCTGTGAACATCTTTCTTATGAAAGTTGATTTTAAAATGCAGTCATCGGATTTAGAGACAAATAGAAAGTTACTGAAGTAAATGCGCTATATAAGATCAAGCACATTTCCTTGTGGTACACCAGCATCTATTAAGTAACCTGCAGATTATGCTCCATTAAGAACTACCCCAAGGTAGAACTACCCTGAAGGTAGTCTGCTCCATTAAGAACTATCCAGAGCAACTGACCTTGAAGCTAGTCATGCAAGTGTACAGTGGAGCAAGAGATTTCTTGTACTTGTAGATTTACCAGGCTGCTATGGTGCCATACCCTTTCAAAGACACTTGCAATTACCGGTGCAACTTCACAACTTGTCTTGAATTCATAAAGTGATTGTCACCACATAGCAGAAAGCTTTAAAAGTTTTGCTGAACAGAGAAATTTTGACACTATGCTAACAGTCACTGCAGTTGCAAAATACTCCAGTAAAAATTGCTGTTGCTTGTTGAAAAATTATTTTACAAGTGACTGGAGGTACTGACACAGGTCTGTAGTTGTTTGCCATCACTCTACTCATTTTAGGAACTGGGGCAACATTTGCCTTCTTTTATGAAAAAATGCTACCTTGCATTTACTAAATGGAATTGGTAGATATGAATAAGAGTGATGCTAGTTAGTGAGCACATTGGTGCAGCAAATTGGGGTCACCTAGTACATTAATACAGAAGACAGATTTATGCTTTATATCTCGTAAGTCACCCTGCCTCGGTGGGAGACGGCCGACTTGTTGAAACAAAAAAAAAAAAAAATCTTAAGTAGGGAGCAAAGGGCTAGTCACCCCTTCTCCTGTATATACTACAGTATTACTAAATGTAAAAGGAGAAACTTTCATTTTCCCTTTTGGGCCACCCTGCCTTGGTGGGATGAATTACAATTTTCATGCATTAAATGACATTACATATTAAGTGATTTCTTCCCAATCATGTGTAAACCTTTACCTAGAAATCTGTCTCACTCAAATATATAAGCATTTAATTTGAACTCAATATTTATCTGAATATATTGCAATAACTGTAACTATATAGCTGGACTTGAGTCCTGGAAATGGGAAGTACAATGCCTGCACGTTAAAAGAGGGGTTTGGGATATTGGCAGTTTGGAGGGATATGTTATGTATCTTTATACATATATGCTTCTTAAACTGTTGTATTCTGAGCACCTCTGCATAAACAGTGATTATGTATGAGCGAGGTGAAAGTGTTGAATGATAAAAGTATTTTCTTTTTGGGGATTTTTTCTTTCTTTTTGGGTCACCCTGCCTCGGTGGGAGATGGCCGACTTGTAAAAAAAAAAAAAAAAAAAAAAAAAAAAAACTGCTTCGGTGGGATACGGCCAGTGTGTTGAAAGAAAGAACTATAACTCTGCTTTAGTGGGATACGACCAGTTTGTTGAAAGAACAACAACTATAACTCTGAAGGAGGGGTGGAGATATGTTGCAGTTTTTAAACCGTAGTATTGGCATGTCACTGGCAAGACAGTGATAGATTAAGTGATGATGAAAGTTCTTCTTTTCTGTGTCACCCTGCTTCAGTGAGGAATGTCTGAAGTGTTAAAAAAAAAAAATTAACTGCTAAATTAAGTCTTTGCCAATATTCTGGGTGTAATATGGGCTTAGCAAAATGTTACTACACATGTACTGTATGCTATGCCCACATTATTCCATACCTATATCTGCAATTACTTTGCATGTACATACATAGCTGTATTGTGTTTTAATTATAATTTAATTTTGATATCCTAGACACCCATTTAAGTAGTATAGTTGTAGTTTGAGTCTCATGAAAATGCTGAATGTAAATGTTCTAAATGTACAGCATACAGTATTTACACTCATAACCCAATTGTGTAACATCCACACACATTTTTAAAATAAACTTTATTATTATTCTTGAATTATTATTACAGTAATGGCCAAATACCTTACCATCTGAATGCCAAAAATGTACAGTACAGTGGACCCCCGCTTAACGATCACCTCCGAATGCGACCAATTATGCAAGTGTATTTATGTAAGTGCGTTTGTACGTGTATGTTTGGGGGTCTGAAATGGACTAATCTACTTCACAATATTCCTTATGGGAAAAAATTCGGTCAGTACTGGCACCTGAACATACTACTGGAATGAAAAAAGTTCGTTAACCGGGGGTCCTCTGTACTATAAAAGTTAAATAACCTTACTTTCAATATTTTGTCATCTGTCCCTTAGTTTTGATTAATTCTTGTGTGAGTACCTGCACACACAGTCTACTGAAGCTAAAAAATAAGGATTATCCATAGTGACTCACATCTTCATCAGCAAATAGGAGCTGATGAAGATGTAGGTCACTATGGATATTGCTTATTTTTTATCTTTAGCAGATTTTGGCATGGACGAGGTGTCTTTGTTTCTTTAGGTCAGTCTTCATCTTGTGCCATGCATTTTCTATCACATTTAAGTCTGAATTATTAAAAGGCCAATCAAACACATAAATACTGTTAACACCCGGTTAACGATATTTTTTCACTCCAGAAGTATGTTCAGGTGCCAGTACTGACCGAATTTGTTCCCATAAGAAATATTGTGAAGTAGATTAGTCCATTTCAGACCCCCAAACATACACGTACAAATGCACTTACATAAATACACTTACATAATTGGTCGCATTCGGAGGTAATCGTTATGCGGGGGTCCACTGTACTGTTAACACTGAACCACAATTTAACTACTTTGGACATGTGACAAGACACATTTTTTTTTGGAAAATAGTGCAGCAGTGAATGTCAAATTGAAATTTCAGATAGTCCTCTAGTACCTCAATATGCTCCATCACATTCATTGTTTAGTTTTTCGGAAGAATGAGTATTCCCTCCCTTTCATACCACTGAAAGCACCCCACAAACTAACATAATCTGAGTGTTTAACATTTGTCTCTGCATACATGGGGTCACATGTTGCTACCACATGGGCTACATACTCACCTCCAAGTTTTGTACCTTGCATCAGTTGCCTCATGGCAGCAAGAGGCAAACCATATGCTTTTTAAGGCTTGGTTACATACTGTCAATGTGGAAGTACCTGTGCTGGAAATCCAGCTCAGAGCAAAGGGTTAGAAAGTTTCCTATCTACAGAAAGGCATGTTAAATTGATTCTTGCTTGCAAAAACCAAAATATGATTGTAAACAATTCAGAGAATGAACAAGATTTGAACTCACGGCAAACTAGTCCTAACAATAGCGGGGCAGTAGTCTAACCACTTGCCTGCACAGCTGAGTGGCTAGTTTTAGGGCTGATTTGCCATGGGTTCAAATCCTGTCCATTCCCTGAGTTAATTCTTCCACTAATTCTAATGGAGGTTAAGTGCAGTAAAGACAGTGTGAACCTGAAAGCTGTGCCACAACCAATCCCAATAGTGAAGGAAAAATACATTTCCAGGAACAGCTTTTGTGACAAAATTTCAATCTGTTGAGATCTTTATTATCAACTCATACAGAAGATACTAATTGCATGCAAGTATGCTGTATACAATGCTGGTAGGAGTTGAAGAGGTGAGGTGAATGAATCTGTTAGAGCATGATGAATTATGGGTCTGTGAAGTATTGCAGGAAGTGTACCGGACTACTCTGATGAAATGCCGTCTGGTTTCTGGAAGGAATATTTGCTCTATTTCTGTAAAACTTTATTGCAAAGGTCATCCCTGTAATATGGTGTGTGTGTCAGTGGGTAGTGTAGGTATGGAAGGTTTAGAGAGAGCTCCAGGTATGTCACAGTCACTCATGTATGTAAGCATGTATTTTTAGAAAGTATGCAATGAAGTTGTACAGGAACAGGGCAAGCATATCAAGAAACAAGACACCATTTCAACACAGAAATCCAGTGTACCTCTCAGAGTACTCCAGACCCAAGATTCATCATACAACAATGATCTCACCTCTTTCTCTCCTACAGGTACACATGTATGCACTTTGTATCCTCTCTATGGCTTGCTAAAGATCCAAATAGGCCAAAACAATGTCCTGATTAAAACTTTCTACAAGCTTATCTTTCTTCATTAATGTCAGTAGTATGCCACTTGGATCCAAAAAGCCTTAATGATTTTCATCAAGTTGTAAAAGTTCTGAACACACCTACCTGAATGGAATGACACCATCCAAAGTTTGATGTATGGTTGGGGGATGAGAAAGAGCAAAGCCCTTACTAAGTAAGGTTGGGTGTGCTTGATACACTTGCAATGCCAGGTCTTCTACTAGTTCCATGTCTTCATCAAGGTCATCACCTTCAAGCAAATTAAATTGTTACATAATTAAATGTAAAAAAAAAAAAATAAGTGATATTTTTAACCACTTTCAAAAACTTATGGCACAGGAAAAACACAACATAAAAAGAACATTCTGCACTTTTCCCCATTCACTAACCTCTCATTATTTTGCCCGATCTTAGGTAAATGGGCACAGATGCAAATAATGTGACATATTATTGTGGCCACAATAATAATGTCACATTACATTTGTGTACATTTACCTAACATTGTTGGTAATTCTACCATTCTAACTAATTTTGCCTGATGTTTGCATGTCTTCCATTACTACTGAAATGTAATAGAAAATAGTTGTTGCAGTAAATATTAAATATTTACCTGCAATAGGTGGCAAGCAGAGATCTTTTTTGATTAATGATGCAGCACACAGTCCTCCCAAATATGAAAGCTCCTTTTCCAAGTGTCTTAAGGAGTCAGGTGGAGTTGGAGGCCATTCATAGCCAACAATCAATACTCGAAATCCATACGTATTGGCTCTATCATCCTTTACATAATCAGAAGCAGTTTCTAGAGAGAATAGTACTTCATGACCTGAGGGAGGTAAGATAAATTAGTAATGAATACTGTCTGAAATGGTATGGTAAGCTGGGAAATTATAAGAAATATAAGGATACCAGAAGTGAGACAGAGGTAATGAGTAGGTGTCTTAAGTGAAAATGGATTATTATATTCATAAAGAAATGTATAACACACACAGTTTATTCAATACCTGAGAAATGGAAGGTAATCAGGTTTGATCTGAAGGGATGGATAGCTACAATTCCTTGGATCAAGAGACCTTCACCAGCATTAAGCTGCCTCCCCTTGAAGGGAGTGTAAGTGAGATTTTCCATACAAATAGTCAACACAGATCAATTCCTCATCTCACTCATGTCCTATAATTTGTAGAATGTTGCAACAAAACAACTTAACCATACTTAATTACTTTACCATTATTCACTGTCATCAAGCGAGGTTTACGCCTCGATTTGCTTTTTTTACATCCTCCCTACTAACAACTTTCTTTCTTTTTAACAAATCGGCCGTCTCCCACCGAGGCAGGGTGACCCAAAAAGAAAGAAAATCCCCAAAAAGAAAATACTTTCATCAACATTCAACACTTTCACCTCATACATAATCACCGTTTTTGCAGAGGTGCTCAGAATACAACAGTTTAGAAGCATATATGTATAAAGATACATAACATATCCCTCCAAACTGCCAATATCCCAAACCTCTCCTTTAAAGTGCAGGCATTGTACTTCCCATTTCCAGGACTCAAGTTTGGCTATATAAAAATAACCGGGTTCCCTGAATCCCTTCACTAACTACAGTGGTCCTTCGTTTTTCGTAATTAATCCGTTCCTGGAGGAGCTACTATAAACGAAATTTACGATTTGCGAATCAATTTTCCCCATAAGAAATAATGTAATACAATTAATCCGTTCCTGGCACCCAGAAGTATTAAAACAAAAAAAAATTTTACATGAAATATACATGTAGTACATAAACAATACAATGGGAAATGATGAATGAAACATTAACGCCATAACGCTTACCTTTATTGGAGATTCTTCTTAGTGTATGGGAGACTGGAGGAGAGAGATTGGATTGTTTACAGTTTGGAAGGGGAATCCCCTTCCAGCAACACCTCAGGTACCAATTGCTTCTCTGGGGTTGCTTCTCTTCTCTGTTTCTTAATGCCACTAGGACCACCTTGAGAGTCACTCTAGTCCTGTCTCGCAAAGTAACTGTGGAGAGAGCTCTGTTTCTGGCGTCTCTTTAACACTTCCCTAAAATGGCCCAAGACTTTGTCACTGTACATATTTCTCACCTTCTTTACCACAGGCTTGGCACTAGGAGCTTTCTTTGGAGCCACGGTAGCTTATTTAGTACTTGCAAGCACTAAAATGAGTGGAATATTATGAAATATTTCGTAGGAGCACTTGAGGGGACCTTCACTCACTGGTAAACAGTGCCAGACTGGCTGGGTAGGGAGGCCGCCTTGGCTCACACCGTGCTTACACGTCCCGAATTAACTACTATTCGCGAGTCAACCTATGAAAAGCGAGTCCATGTTTATACGAAAATACCCCTATGATTGGCAAAATTTACGATTGCCGAGAACTACGAAAAGCGAGGGACCACTGTATTACCCTGCTCACACTCCAACAGCTTGTCAGGTCCCAAATACCATTCGTCTCCATTCACTCCTATCTAACATGCTCACGCACGCTTCCTGGATGTCCAAGCCCCTTGTCCACAAAACCTCCTTTACCCCCTCCCTCTAACCTTTTCGAGGACGACCCCTACCCTGCCTTCCTTTCCCTACAGATTTATATGCTCTCCATGTCATTCTACTTTGATCCATTTTCTTTAAATGACCAAATCATCTCAACAACCCCTCTTCAGCCCTCTGACTAATACTTTTATTAACTCCACACCTTCTCCAAATTTCCACACTCTGAATTTTCTGCAGAATATTTACACCACACATTGCCCTTAGATAGGACATCCCCAATGCCTCCAACCATCTCCTTGCAGCAGCATTTACAACCGAAGCTTCACACCCATATATGAGTGTTGGTACCACTATACTTTCATACATTCATACATTCCAGGGGAATCAAATATAAAATGGGAATTGGCACAGTTGCTTTTTGCTGATGATACTGTGCTCATGGGAGATTCTAAAGAAAAATTGCAAAGGTTAGTGGATGAGTTTGGGAGTGTGTGTAAAGGTAGAAAGTTGAAAGTGAACATAGAAAAGAGTAAGGTGATGAGGGTATCAAATGATTTAGATAAAGAAAAATTGGATATCAAATTGGGGAGGAGTATGGAAGAAGTGAATGTTTTCAGATACTTGGGACTTGACGTGTTGGCGGATGGATTTATGAAGGATGAGGTTAATCATAGAATTGATGAGGGAAAAAAAGGGAGTGGTGCATTGAGGTATATGTGGAGACAAAAAACATTATCTATGGAGGCAAAGAAGGGAATGTATGAAAGTATAGTATACCAACACTCTTATATGGGTGTGAAGCTTGGGTGGTAAATGCAGCAGTGAGGAGGAGGTTGGAGGCAGTGGAGATGTCCTGTCTAAGGGCAATGTGTGGAGTAAATATTATGCAGAAAATTCGGTGTGTGGAAATTAGAAGGTGTGAAGTTAATAAAAGTATTAGTCAGAGGACTGAAGAGGGGTTGTTGAGGTGGTTTGGTCATTTAGAGAGAATAGATCAAAGTAGAATGACATGCAGAGCGTATAAATCTGTAGGGAAAGAAAGGCGGGGTAGGGGTCATCCTTGAAAAGGTTGGAGGGAGGGGGTAAAGGTGGTTTTGTGGGTGAGGGGCTTGGACTTCCAGCAAGCATGCGTGAGCGTGTTAGATAGGAGTGAATGGAGACGAATGGTATTTGGGACCTGATGATCTGTTGGAGTTTGAGCAGGGTAATATTTAGTGAAGGGATTCAGGGAAACTGGTTATTTTTATATAGCCGGACTTGAGTCCTGGAAATGGGAAGTACAATGCCTGCATCTAAAGGAAGGGTTTGGGATATTAGCAGTTTGGAGGGATATGTTTTGTATCTTTATAGGTATATGCTTCTAAGCTGTTGTGTTTTGAGCACCTCTGCAAAAACAGTTATTATGTGTGAGTGAGGTGAACGTGTTGAATGATGATGAAAGTATTTTCTGTTTGGGGATTTTCTTTCTTTTTTGGGTCACCCTGCCTCGGTGGGAGATGGCCAACTTGTTAAAAAAAAAAAAACATACCTCAACGCACCACTCACCTTTTTTCCTTCATCAATTCTATGATTAACCTCATCCTTCATAAATCCATCTGCTAACTTGTCAACTCCCTAATATCTGAAAGCATTCACTTCTTCATACTCCTTCTCTCCAATTTGATATCCAATTTTTCTTTATCTAAATCATTTGATACCCTCATCACCTTACTCTTTTCTATGTTCACTTTCAACTTTCTACCTTTACACACTCTCCCAAACTCATACACCAACCTTTGCAATTTCTCTCTAGAATCTCCCATAAGCACAGTATCATCAGCAAAAAGTAACTGTCAATTCCCATTTTGTATTTGATTCCCCATAATTTAATCCCACCCCTCTCCCAAACACCCTAGCATTTACTTCCTTTACAACCCCATCTATAAATATATTAAACAACCATGGTGACATTACACATCCCTGTCTAAGACCTACTTTTACCGGGAAGTAGTCTCCCTCTCTTCTACACACCCTAACCTGAGCCTCACTTCTTCTTTCTTTCAACAAACCGACCGTATCCCACTGAGGCAGGGTGGCCCAAAAAGAAAAACGAAAGTTTCTATTTTTAAATTTAGTAATTTATACAAAAGAAGGGATTACTAGCCCCTTGTGCCCATCATTTTAGTCGCCTCTTACAACACGCATGGGTTACGGAGGAAGAATTCTGTTCCACTTCCCCATTGAAATAAGAGGAAATAAACAAGAACTAGAAAGAAAATAGCAGAAAACCCAGAGGGCTGTGTATATAAATGCTTGTACATGAATGTGTAGTGTGACCTAAGTGAAAGCAGAAGTAGCAAGATGTACCTGTAATCTTGCATATTTATGAGACAGACAAAAGACACCAGCAATCCTAACATCATGTAAAACAATTACGGGTTTCCGTTTTACACTCACTTGGCAGGACGGTATTACCTCCCTAGGCGGATGCTGTCTACCAACCTACCACCTAGATTGAGCCTCACTATCCTCATAAAAATTCTTTACAGCATTTAGTAACTTACCACCTATTCCATATACACCTACCATCCGACTTACGACCGAGTTTGGTTCCGAGAAACCGGTCGTAGGTCAAACTTTACTACTGAATATCAACAAAACATTTTTGTAATGGCTATTTTATTGTTTTATTTTGGTATTTCATGTTTTACTTTACTTTTTATGTTGTTAGTACTGTATTTTATACACTGTATACACTGTGTATACAACACAAATAGTTGTTTATTTCCCAGAAATTTGGCATAAAAAACACGGTCGTAAGTCGAGTGGTCATAAGTCGAGCAGGTCGTAAGTCGGATGGTAGGTGTACTTGCAACATCTGCCACATTCCTCTTCTATCCACTCTATCATAAGCCTTTTCTAAATCCATAAATGCAATAAAAACTTCCCTATCTTTATCTAAATACTGTTTACATACATGCTTCAATGTAAACACTTGATCTACACATCCCCTACCTACTCTAAAACCTCCTTGTTCATCCGCAATCCTACATTCTGTCTTACCTCTAATTCTTTCAATAATAACCCTACCATACACTTTTCCTGTTATACTCCGTAAACTAATTCCTCTATAATTTTTCCAATCTCTTTTGTCCCCCTTCCCTTTATATAAAGGGATTATACATGCTCTCTGCCAATCCCTAGGTACCTTCCCCTCTTTCACACATTTATTAAACAAAAATACCAACCACTCTAACACTATATCCCCTTCACCTGCTTTTAACATTTCTGTCATGATCCCGTCAGTTCCAGCTGCTTTCCCCCTTTCATTCTACGTTATGCCTCACTCACCTCCCCCACAGTCACATCCTGCTCTTCTTTACTCCTAAAACATGTTATACCTCCCTGGCCAATGCATGAAATTACCGCCTCCCTTTCTTCCTCAACATTTAAAGTTCCTCAAAATATTCCCGCCATCTATCGAATACCTCCATCTCCCCATCTACTAACTCCCCTTCTCTGTTTTTAACTGACTAATCCATTCGTTCCCTAGGCTTTCTTCACTTAACTCACTCCAAAATTTTTTCTTATTTTCATAAAAATTTCTTGACAGTGCCTCTCCCACTCTATCATCTGCTCTCCTTTTGCACTCTATCACCACTCTCTTTACCTTTCTTTTACTCTCCATATACTCTGCTCTTCTTATAACACTTCTGCTTTGTAAAAACCTCTTATAAGCTACCTTTTTCTCTTTTATCACACCTTTTACTTCATCATTCCACCAATCACTCCTCTTTCCTCCTGCCCCACCCTCCTATAACCACAAACTTCTGCCCCACATTCTAATACTGCATTTTTAAAACTATTCCAACCCTCTTCAACCCCCTCCCCCACTACACATACCTGCACTAGCCCACCTTTCTGCCAACAGTTGCTTATATCTCACCTGAACTTCCTCCTCCCTTAGTTTATACACTTTCACCTCTCATAAGAACATAAGAACATAAGAAAGGAGGAACACTGCAGCAGGCCTGTTGGCCCATACTAGGCAGGTCCTTTACAATTCATCCCACTAACAAGCATTTGACCAACCCAATTTTCAATGCTACCCAAGAAATAAGCTCTGATGTGAAAGTCCCACTCAAATCCAACCCCTCCCACTCATGTACTTATCCAACTTAAATTTGAAACTACCCTAAGTCCTAGCCTCAATAACCCAACTAGGTAGACTGTTCCACTCATCAACTACCCTATTTCCAAACCAATACTTTCCTATGTCCTTTCTAAATCTAAACTTATCTAATTTAAATCCATTACTGTGGGTTCTCTCTTGGAGAGATATCCTCAAGACCTTGTTAATATCCCCTTTATTAATACCTATCTTCCACTTATACACTTCGATCAGGTCTCCCCTCATTCTTCGTCTAACAAGTGAATGTAACTTAAGAGTCGTCAATCTTTCTTCATAAGGAAGATTTCTAATGCTATGTATTAATTTAGTCATCCTACGCTGAATGTTTTCTAACGAATTTATGTCCATTCTGTAATATGGAGACCAGAATTGAGCTGCATAATCTAGGTGAGGCCTTACTAATGATGTATAAAGCTGCAGTATGACCTCTGGACTTCTGTTGCTTACACTTCTTGATATAAATCCCAGTAATCTATTTGCCTTATTACGTACGCTTAGGCATTGCTGTCTTGGTTTAAGGTTGCTGCTTACCATAACCCCCAAGTCCTTTTTGCAATCTGTATGGCTAAGTTCTACATTATTTAACTTATAAGTGCTAGGGTTATGGACACTCCCGAGCTTCAGAACCTTGCATTTATCTACATTGAACTGCATCTGCCACTTTTCTGACCAAGAGTAGAGTTTGTCTAAATCCTCCTGAAGTTCCCTAACATCTACGTTTGAATCAGTTATCCTACCTATCTTCGTGTCATCGGCGAATTTGCTCATATCACTAGTAATTCCTTCATCAAGATCATTGATATATATTATAAACAACAACGGGTCCAAGACTGATCCCTGTGGAACGCCACTTGTTACTGATCCCCACTCGGATTTAACCCCATTTATGGACACTCTTTGCTTCCTGTCTGTGAGCCATGATTCGATCCACGAGAGCACCCTTCCCCCAATCTCTCTCTTATTTGTTGTTGCCATTTTCAGTCCTAATATGTATGGAGAGGGTAAAGGAGATTTTGAGTGCTTGGGGCTTTAACATCCAACAGGCTTGTGTGAGCATGTTAGAGAGAAGTGAGTAGGGGCAAGTGGTTTTTATGATTTGACATGCTGTTGGAGTGAGCAAGGTAACATTTATGAAGGGTTTCAATGGGAAACCAAATAATTGGATTTGAGTCCTGGAGGAGGAAGTACAGTACAGTATTTGGACTCTGAAGAAGTGGTAGAGATATTGCAGTTTTGAGGGTCATTTAAACTATAATGTCAGTTCCCTTCTACCAAGACAGTGATTGAATGAGTGATGATGAAAGTGCTTTCTTCTTTGTTAGGTCTCCCTACTTCCATGGCAGACAGCCAGCATTAAAAAGAAACATCATCAATTTACTAAGGTCATCAAAGCCTCTCCTAATCTTTTCTTTTGTTTTACTTTACTTTTTGTACTTTGAATTTCCCACCAACATAGTTTTATTATGAAGAAAATCAGGAAAATAATTTCTAAAACTATTTTTAAACAGAAAACTGGTAAAAATTAAGAAATGAATTAACTCATTATACAAATTTCTTATTACAGTACGAAACTAACTGGTCATTAACCCTTTGACTCTTTCGGTCGTATATATACGTCTTACGAGCCACCGTGTTTGACATATATATATATTCGTAAATTCTAGTGGCTTCAAATCAAGCAGGAGAAAGCTGGTAGGCCCACATGTGAGAGAATGGGTCTGTGTGGTCAGTGTGCACCATATAAAAAAATCCTGGAGCACGCAGTGCATAATGAGAAAAAAAAACTCCGACCGTTTTTTTTCAATTAAAATTCCGACTTGGTGGTCTATTTTTGTATAGTATTTATGTTTATATTCTCGTTTTCTTGGTCTCATTTGATAGAATGGAAAACATATTATAGAAATAGAGGTGATTTTGATTGGTTTTACTATGAAAAGAACCTTGAAATGGAGCTCAAAGTAGGGGAAATATTTGATTTTTGCCGATGTTCAAAAGTAAACAAATGATGTCATTTTCCAATAAATGTCCAAGTAGCCATTCTAATATGCAGTCATGAATGGGTTGACATTATTTATATAATTATTACAATATTGCAGTAATCTGCATAACAGTAAATCTTCTATTTTTTGTTTGAATAAAAATTCAAAATAGAAAGCAAGAGTAATATCAGAGGGGCCTGGAGATGTGACTGATGAACAAAGAAAATGTTATTTTAGAGCCAGGAATGTCTGCATTGTTCATTCTGGACCTTATTTTGAAATTGTCATATTTTTTAATTTTCGTGAAATTGGCCAAATTGCAAATTTCTGACCGCGTTATTGGGCAGTTGAAATCAGTAAATGGGCAGTTTCTTATACTCAATTGATAGAAAAAATGGAGTTCTAAAGAAATAGCTATGAGTTTGGTCAATTGGAACAATGGAATTAGCCAAAAATAGGGCTCAAACTGGGCGAAATCGCCGATTTGTAAATATCGCCGAGGTCGCTAACTTTGCGAGAGTATAATTCCATCAGTTTTCCATCAAATTTCGTTTTTTTTGGTGTCATTACAATTGGGAAAAGATTCTCTATCATTTAATAAGAAAAAATAATTTTTTTTTTTTTTTTTTGAAATTTTGCGACACCAGGAGACACCTCAGGATTTGGGGGTGCGACAGTCAAGGGGTTAATCCTAACTTTGCAGGGAATAAAACTAAATTCAACAGTTAAGCTACATGACAAAGGATGAAATCTTGTACTGCAAACATTAATTAAATACCTGGTAAAATAACAGTCTGCTCTGGCCAGTTCTGAGTACCAGAGAATTTATTGAGCACAGCCCAATAGGGAGGAAGAGGAACACCATCTTGACTGACATAAACCTGTGTGTTGCGATCTTGCACTTCAGAAAATCCTAAGCTACTGAGGCTTGACCCTCCAAGATTCTTGCTGCTCAAACTTGGAATGTAAACCTATAGAAGAGTATTAAGAAACTTATACATGTATTGTATAACACTCATTACAAAAAATTTATTTCTTATACACAGCATACAGATGTTTATTTCCAGTTAAAAATCACCCACCGTTATTTTTAACCCTTTGACTGTTTACGCCGTATATATACGTCTTACGCTCCACTGTTTCTGACGTATTTATGTGCATAAATTCTAGCGGCTTCAAATCAAGCGGGAAAAGCCTGGTAGACCTACATGAGAGAGAATGGGTCTGAGTGGTGGGTGTGCACCCTGTGAAAAAAATCTGGGACTCAGTGGTGCATTGTGGGAACGCCATCTTGGTAGTCCATTTTCACCATGCCTCGCAGTAGGAAGTACCTCACTCCTCGGCGGATTGGAGGTTTTTTGTTCCCAAGTGATAGCTCTAACAGTGATGGAAGTGTCAGTGACAGTGAATTCCATGGTTTTCAAGTGAGTGTGACCGAAAAAAGTGCCCAGGATGACGTAATTAGCGATGAAAACCCAGATGACCCACGACTTTCCACCTCTGGTGCTGGGCTGGCTTGTTCACGTTCACATTCACCTGTACCAGGACGAAAGAGGAAACTATTTGGCCATGTACAAGACCCAGATGTTAGCAGTGAACATGATAGTGATAGTGATTTCAAGGTTATTGAAAGCAGTTCTAGTTGTGACAGTGAGGGTGAATATTCCCCAGTGAAGCGGCAGTATGTACGACATAGCATGCAGTCTGGTAGTGTTTCATATGCTGTTCCAAGGGGAAGGAGTAACTCTGGGAACACATCCCGTGGCCCTACACCACGACCTGATAGTGAAGATGACGATATTGTTACGATGGGTATGAATGATGTGAGTGAGGCAGCAGGCAGTGGTGGTGATAGTGATGGTGGCACGACCCATGTGGCACCAGCAGTGGGCCAAACTACTACCCACGCTGCTGACTCTGCACAACAACAACCAGCCTCACCCAACCCCACACTCCCACAACCTACACAACCACAACCTGCACAACCACAACCACATTACAATATCTAGAACCCACCAGCAGACCGCATCTGGGATTGGTAGGAAGGTGACGAGTTTGTTCCCAGTCCCCATGACTTTGATGAAACACAAGGTGGAATAAAGCCATCATGTCCACTTGGGAACAATGCTAGTGAACTGGAATACTTTGAGTTATTCTTCGATGAACCCCTGATGGACATCATTGTCAGGGAAACCAACACATACTATGAGTACACCATGGCAAATATAATTCTCTCACCAAGATCACGGCTACACCAGTGGAAGGACACAACTGTGGCAGAGGTGTACCTGTTTTTTGCCATAATAATGCTTATGCCACATGTGTATAAGCACACTGTCATCACATACTGGGCAACAGAACACCTGATTTCAACTCCAGGTTTTAGTGACATTATAGGTGTCAATCGTTTGCTGATACTGTTATGTATGTTACAGTTTTCAGACAAAACCAGGCCTGACAGAAGCGACAGGTTATATAAGATCAGAAATGTGTTTATGTACATGAAACGAAAGTGCTGCATTTATTTTTATCCCTTCAGGAAACTTGTTATTGACGAGTTTTTGATTTTATTCAAAGGAAGAGACTCATTCAAGCAATACATACCAAGCAAGAGGAAAAGCTTTGGTATAAAGTTATTTGTACTGTGTGATTGCAGAAGTGGTCTAGTTTTGGATATCACTGTGTACACTGGCAGTAATACTTTGAGAGATACTATGAAGTTATTGGGTATCTCTGGTGATGTGGTTAGAACAAAGATGGAACCATATCTTGGTAAGAGGCATATGTTATTTACTGATAACTGGTAGACAAGCCCCTTACTCAGCGATTTCTTGCGAGTGAACGTGTGTGGCACAGTGCGTGGTAATCGTAAACATATGCCAAGGTTCGACACTGGCACTCGCAGAGGTGAGGTGCAAGCCTTTGCTGCCAATGACATCATGGCATTTCGGTGGCATGACAAACGTGATGTCACATTGTTGACATCAGTTCACCGAAATGAAATGGCACACACTGGCAGGCACAACAGAGAGACCAATGAACCCATTCTAAAGCCTGCAGCTGTCATGGACTATAACCTCAATATGCGCTTAGTGGACAAATGTGACATGCAGATTGGGTTTGCTGATTGTGTACGCAAGAGTTATAAGTGGTATATAAAACTTTTTTTTCCATCTTGTTGATATTCATACAAGTTGAGGACCAACAAAACACCAAAATATGGTGAATTTTATTTGTCAGTCATCAGACAAATAATCGCCAAGTACCAGGGAGCAAAACCTGCAATAGACCAGCGCCCACGAAATTACCAACACATGCCATCTCGTTTGAGGCCTGGTGATCACTACCCCACACAACTGCCTCCTACTGCTTCCAAGAAAAATGCTCAGAAGAGGTGTTTTGTATGTGTACATACCACAAAACGCCCACAAACATGCAAAGACACTCGCTTTATGTGTGAGGAGTGTCAAGTGCCACTCTGCATATACCCATGTTTCAAAGAGTTCCACAAGCTGCAGCAGTTCTAGGAACGTGTTCAGTGACTGTACATATGTATATATATTATGGAACAATAGTAATAAACAATGTTTTGTATTGTTTGTTTGTGTAAACAAACTTTATACACAAACTAACAGTGATAAAGTTTGTTCAGTTATTGTGTTGTAAACAATGAGTGCATATTTGAACAATGGACCTTACTTTGGTCTCACAGGCCACATAACTTTGCACCTCTATATATTCTCGATAAATACTGATGGCAAAAAATTTTTTTAGGCTTAAAACACTCTGTAAAATAATCCTAACGTTTTCATAAGAAAAAATAATTTTTTCTTTTTTCGAATATTTTGCAACATAGAATGACAGTTTCAGAAAGGGGCCTGCAACAGTCAGAGGGTTAAAAATCTGGCAAATAACCCAAGTCGGACCGAAATGCCATCATAAGTTTCTTTCTTCTATATGTGGGTTATTTGTGTATTGTTCCAGTCACAGTACTGTAACTTTTTATTCTTTCACAAATCTCATTCATATCATATTTTAGTACACTGTATTTTATTCACAAAGCTGAGAATTCTCATTGGTAAATTTAATATAACTGGAAGGGTGCAAGAGATAGAGAAGCTTTTATTAATGTCAATGATCATGGGGCACAGTCTCCCGACCATTTATGTGCCTCTGTAATCTTTTAACTACTGCCCACAGGATGAGTATGCAGTGAATAATCAACTACTACTAACTAACTAATGTCAATGCATGAGAAAGACAAAGCTTTGTTCAGAAGACAGCTTCAATTTTACATATTCAAATGCACCACTACAATGCAGTAGTAGTAGCAACATATATGGAAGTAATAATGTACAGTACCTTGATGAATTCATTTTTCCTTCACTGCTCCTATTCTCTATCACTCATATTTTCTTTTGAAAGTAATCTCTTATAATTAGTGTCCCTGTATGCACAAGTGTGTATGCAAATATGCATCAGTGTGTAGGCATGCACAAGTGAGCAACTGCATAAAAATGCAGGCATTGTGACAACACATCAGCACACTACCTGTAATGAGTCCTCAGGCTGGGCTGTACCACACTGGGGGTCAAATTCCAGTGTCATCCACTGCACAGCAGCAGGAAAAGTTACACTGAAAAAATACAGCAACTATGTAAGAAAAACATTAGACACAATTCTCCATTAAAAGTTATTATACCGGTATTGTAAAGTGAGTCGAACTTGTATAAAAATATGTATGTATTTGTGTGTGGGGGTTTGTGACATCCAGATGATTTACATCTTTTCTTTATAACAATGACTGTGTGCATAGCCTTCATGAAAAGAAGCAGTAAACTGTATACATCTTGAAGAGTCCATGATAAAGTTAATATCATATGATAACACTCAGAATATTTTTTACAGCAATCAATTAACTAGCTGACAATGCATCTAACAGAATCTCTGCTGTGTACAGTTAGGATAGCTGAGCATTCACTGTACCTAGATCTTGTATATTTATAAAAACAATAATTATCAAGTGCAACAAAAACAAGTACTGTACAGTACTTGGTAAGAGAAAGATAAAAGGACAGACACTATATTAGCATACTTGATAAAATTGTAGAATGGATTTAATCAAAGCAAAATGCATTAATGACCAGGAAAAGAAGAAATGGCGATGTACCTTACCGATAATTAGCAACAGACGCAGGACGATATGGATGGTCACTTTCCATCCAAGCATAATGATGACTGGTGGTGGTATGACAGTCCTCCATTGCCTCGGGTACAGCAGTTTGCTGAGTTACTAAACTAAGATTATTCAGTGCAGCAACATGTGGTAAGATCTCTTGAATCAAACCCAGAACAGTGACAGCACTCTGAAAATGAAGTGTAGCCTACCATAATTTTTTTTTTTTCAACAAGTCGGCTGTCTCCCACCGAGGCAGGGTGACCCAAAGAGAAAGAAAATCCCCAAAAAGAAAATACTTTCATCATCATTCAACACTTTCACCTCACTCACACATAATTACTGTTTTTGCAGAGGTGCCCAGAATACAACAGTTTAGAAGTATATACGTATAAAAATACACAATATATCTCTCCAAACTGCCAATATCCCAAACCCCTCCTTTAGAGTGCAGGCATTGTACTTCCCATTTCCAGGACTCAAGTCCAGTTATATATAGGGTCCAGAATAAACAAGAAAGACATTCCTGGCACTAAAATAACATTTCCTCTGTTCATTAGTCACGTCTCCACGCCCCTCTTACATTCTTTTGCTTTCCACTTTGAATTTTTATTCTCACAAAAAAATAGAAGTTTTAGTGTTATGCAGACTACTGCATTAGTGTAGAAATGGTATAAATAATATCAGTGCACTTGTGAAAGAATATTAGACTCACCAGTTGACGTGTATTGTACGCATAGCATGATTTGTTTACTTTTGAACTTTGGTAAAAATCGAACATTTCTGCTACTTTGAGATCAATTTCAAGGTACTTTTCATTGTAAAACCAGTCAAAATCATCTCAATTTCTGTAACATGTCTTCCATTCTATAAAATGAGACCAGGAAAACTAGAATACAACAATAAATATCATACGAAAATACAGTGCAAAGTCGCTGTTTTAATCCAAAAACACGGTCAAAGTTATTTTCTCATTACGCACTGTTTGCTGCAGGATTTTTTTTTATACCGCGCACACTGACCACATAGACCCATTCTTTCATATGTAGGCCTACCAGCTTTCTCTCATTAGATTTGAGGGCGCTAGAATTTAGGTGTACTAGTACGTCAAAAACCCTGGTGCATAAGCCGTACTAGTACAGCTGAAACCCTGAAAGGGTTAAGGTTGCCCTGTGGGAACCAACACTAAATATATATCCATATAGGCCTGTAAATAGTCACATTCTCTTTTGCTGTTTTCTGCCATTCCATTGAGCATTTTTCACAAAGCAATGCTGGTACTTTAAAACCGAAAATAATTTTTGAAGATGTCCAGCAGACCCGTGAGAGCTTGTCAGACAATAGTGAATGGAGCCAAGTGGTTTCCAATAGACATGCTGTTGGAGTGTGAGTAACATAACATTCATGAAGAAATTCAGGTAAACTGGATAACTGGACTTGAGTCCTGAAAGTAATATGGGCAGCGCCTGCACTCTGAAGGAGGGGTGAGGATGTTGTAGTTGGAGGGTGATCTGGCAAGACAGTGACTTAATGAATTAATTAATGCAGGTGTCAATTAAACATAAAAAAGCTACAATACAACATACAGTACAGTATTTACATTGAATATTAACAGTCTTACTCAATGGAAGTGATATTTCAATGGCTGTAAGTGATGTATTGCCATTCAGAAAGGTGAATGTGTGAGTATAGAAATTAACTGATTTTAAAGTGCCATTATCACAAGTGAGGATCACTGTAAGTCAGATCATCATAAGTGAGGGACCTACTGCATTAACAATTCTTAATAATATAAAGGATGTGCTGTTGGAGTGTTAGCAAAGTAACATTTAAGTCCTGCACTCTGAAGGAGGGGTGGGGATATTTGCAGTTTTGAACTGTATTATTGGTGCCCATCTGGCAAGACAGTGATGGTGAAAGCTTTTATTCATTTTTGGGCCACCCTGCCTTGGTGGGAAACAGCAAGGCATGTTACAAAAAAAATAATAAAATAAGGGTCTTCGTACAAACTGCATTCATGGTAAAATGGTAACTAACCCGAGGATCTGAGGTGGCCACAGGTCCAATATGGGAGAGAACAAGAGGCAGCAGCATGGTCAAGAGAGGAGCACTGCCTAACACTTCAACAGCAGTTTCATCTCCAACCCCAAGGCCCATGATCATCAGTTCTGTGGCTACACGGACAATGCTTCCAGCCATGGCCAAAGCAGACTTGCGGGCTTGTTGCTCAGCTATTTCTCTTGTGCTTCGCTGGCTTTCTGGATCTTGAGGAGTACTGAAGAATATATATGGATGAATCTATGACAGTAACAGTAATATGAAAATAGTTTTTGTGTGATCCACAAGAATAACCAATATAATAAAATCATTAGAGTAATGCCTATACATACTGTATTATTAAAGATAAAAGTGGTGTAAAAATTGCTTAACACATTTAGTACAATTATCTCTCTTTACCTCCTTATAGACCAACAAATGTAAGAAGTGACTGGAAACATCTCATTTTCCAAAGAACAGCACATTAAATAAAAAATTAATTATCAGAGCTCTTGTTAATAAAATGAACTAAGGCAAATATTGTTTATCATACATTTTCTTTTTCAATGTCTATCTACATATCCCATATCTTGTTCTGTCTAAAAATCCTTTCCCATGAAGCAGTCAGAGCAGAATAATCTATTCTATAAACCCTAACCTACCTTAACTAAACTGAAGTGCTTTATACTGGCCTCAGACCATGCAGTGATAGTAAAATTCTTAGCCGATCAGACAAAAGTCCATTACGTGATCATAAAATTTATCCCCTAAGTAGCCATGCATATGTATTTCATTTATAAACTATTATTTAACCCCTAAACTGTGGCATAATCAGAAATAAAAATTCCTGCGTGTGTGAGAAGATTAAAAAAAAAAAAAATCTCTGAATCGAATAAGGTTAAAATGAGTGGAATCTGATAAAAATGTACGACTTTATAGCAAGTTGAAGTTGGTGAAAAGACAATCACTCGTTGGCAACAGCAGTGTAAATGCAGCAGTGATATTTATGTTTTACAATTTACTGATGCTAAGGTATGATTGTTTTTCTGTTTTTATACATTGCTTTTAGTGTTTCTTATGACATTTTAGCACATCAAACAGGGGAAAATGCTTAGGTTGACATTGCTCCAAATGGAATATATGGTATAATTGTTTTTATTATTCTATTTTTTTTCTTTTTCGGGCCACCCTGCCTTGGTGGGAATCGGCCGGTGTGATAATAAATAATAAAATAAAAATAATTTTTTTTACTAATTTGGTTTTCTAACACTTATAATGTTACAATTGTTCCAGAGAATAATACTCCTCAAAACATGAAAATAAGATGCAGTGTTTGACTTTACTGGGTTATCCAGGGTTAAACATAATTAGTGTGCTTTGTGGATGAATTCCACTGTTAGTATCATGAAACTCAAATAAATCTGAAATGAATGAGTCATCTTCAAGCCCTTTCCACACTTCATTTGCTGCTAGGAAAGCTGATGGTAGAACAGCAGCAGCTGATTTCATTGTTTACTTCTGCTAGTTAGGGGTACTATGTTGTACACAGTCATTACCTGTGTAGTTAACCTTGATGGACTGTATGGACCCTCCTGGCCTCAATTTTTTTCAGAGGTATATGCTGAGGTAAAAAATATTGGAAGGTGGCAGATTTGAAGGTATAAAAAATGGTGTGTACTAGTACATTAGACACAGTTGTCAACTGCATACTAGTATGCTGGTTAAAAGTCTACTATTAGTTAACCTCTAGACATACAAACCACTGTAGAGTACTAACATTTTTGGGGGAACAGTAGTTATGTTTTAAAGATTTGCAAAGGAAAATTTAGCTAAAATGTGAAAGCTTTTGATGAACTTACCTATAATACATGATATGAGGTATTTGGCCACGTATATGATTAGTTCCATTTACAGAAAGACTACAAGCAGAAAATGTAAATGCAGTACCATCTGGGCCTTTGACAGATGCTAGACCTCCATCACCGTTACTTGTTCTTCCTCCATGATTGCATAACCGTATTGCATATTTTACACCTTCCTGGCAGAAAATATTGAATGTACAAGCACAAAAGTATATGATAAAGAAAGTTTTTATTGTAACATTGGTTATTATTTTAAGAGAAAATTGTTTTAGTCTGAGAAAGTACCTATAAGCATAATCTCTTAGGATGTTGCTTAAACATTAGCTAATTTTTCAAAAGTGGTAGCTTATACCTTTATTGGAACTGGACGCTCAAATTTTATTTCAACAATATCCGCTACAGAGTCGTCTGGTCCAAATGTTCCTCTTGCCATCTCCATAACATTCCACCTCTCTAGTGTATGTGAAGGATCTTGGCCTCCTCCTCCACTCTCATCCATAACCTCAACTTCATAATCATATGTACCTACACCTCCATACACACAAACCCCAGCTATAACAATGCCAGGCCTGTCAACAGCAAAACATATAGCATCTGGTGAGCCATTCCCTGTATTCCAGGTGCGGCTCTGTGAGGTACGGGTAAACCTTGACGGGGTGATGTGAAGAACTCTGCCACCTGCAGGTACTTCTCCCTGAAATAATAAGAATACTGTGTAATTATTTGATAATTTGCCATTATAAATTAAAGCCTTTATCATTCTGTGCAGCTCTCATACTTTGTGCCATAAGTTGACTATTTTCTCACAATTTTCTTTTTCAAAGTTATGAACTCAATTTATGGCCAATATATGATTTTAGGTTTAACTAAAAGGAATAAAAAAAATAGGGAATACTATAGAGCATGAAGGAATGCATTAGAAGTTTAAAGAGGGTGCTTGCTAACACAACAGTATTTTCATATGTTGTAGTGTTCCCAAATGTAAAATGTGTCTGTCAGTTTTCATTCCATTTCCAGAATTTTTTTTTTTTTCAACAAGTCGGCCTTCTCCCACCGAGGCAGGGTGACCCAAAAAGAAAGAAAGTACCCAAAAAGAAAATACTTTCATCATCATTCAACACTTTCACCTCACTCACACATAATCACTGTTTTTGCAGAGGTGCTCAGAATACAACAGTTTAGAAGTATATATGTATAAAGATACACAACATATCCCTCCAAACTGCCAATATCCTAAACCTCTCCTTTAAAGTGCAGGCATTGTACTTCCCATTTCCAGGACTCAAGTCCAGCTATATAAAATAACCGGTCTCCCTGAATCCCTTCACTTAATATTACCCTGCTCACACTCCAACAGCTCGTCAGGTCCCAAATACCATTCGTCTCCATTCACTCCTATCTAACGCGGTCACGCACGCTTGCTGGAAGTCCAAGCCCCTCGCCCACAAAACCTCCTTTACCCCCTCCCTCCAACCTTTTTGAGGATGACCCCTACCCCGCCTTCCTTCCAGAAATATATGTTTTAATTAAATTTTGGATCTTTTCAGAATAAAGTATATACAAGCATAACCCTTACACATTACAGAATAAAACAGTCACAGCTTGTTAACGAAATTGCTTATTTGCATTTATTAAGTATACATCTAATAACTAAGTTAAGCCTGGTCCTCTGGGGTATGGGAAACAATGTCTAGGGGTATGGGAAACAATGTCTAGGTGTCTACTGGTCATCCATGCTGCTTATCTGAGGTCTGGCTGTGTGGTATAAGTACTATGTACTTTGATGCAGTGTGTGCAGGTTCAAGTCTTGCTCTGGTCTGAGATAATGTTTGTAAATAATTTTACTCATTTGCAAATTGTTAAGCATGTATAGTGTACATGGTATATAACACAATGGCCATCTCCCACAAAGGTAGGGTGAACAAATAAAAACTAAGGAAACACATTTATCATCATTCATTCAATAGCTGTTTTACCAGAAGTATGCAGACATCACAGTTTAAATGACTCTTTGCACTACATCTCCAACCATCCATCATCATCTATTATTAAGTTTATTAAAAAAAATGTATATTTTGTAATAAACAATACTAAAAAAAAAAATTTTTATATATGAGAGGAAGTAACCAATGGCTGTACTTAGCAACTGGTTTCTAGCATTGTCATGCTCACAAGTGTTTCCACCAAAACTGCAACATTCTATTTTGCTGGAAATAAGTGAAAAAATTTAAATATAAATTAACTAACCTCTGCAGAATTTGTTTCTGCTGAGAGTTCTGCTACAGTAGCAGCCATGAGGAGGCAGGTATTATGAACTAGAGCTGGCAGAGGAGTGACCCGCTCCCCTCTCAAAGCTTGTCTAACGCTGCCACATGCTACTCCAAGCAGTCGATCCAATACTTCACGAAATGTCCATACAACTCCTACTCCATTATCTACCTGCTATTTAAAAATAAATGTTTCAACATTAATTTCTTTGAAAGCATGAAAGGCATAAATATATTGACATTCTATTTGATAAATGAACATACAGGCAACATTTTGAATATTCAGGCTATATTACACTCTCCAGGATCTTTGTGAAGCTTCACTCCTAATGAACATAACATAGCCTAAAATAAGCATTCAGAATGTCACACATGTCCCCCCTTATATAATTTACTTATTTATTATGTTAGTGGTAACTATGCATGTATTTAGATGTACAACACTAATAATCTGACTCAATATAATACACTTCACACATTTTATAGGACAATTCTACATCTACAAAGTAACATGATTCTAAGCACAATGGCCCTTTTCATTTGTGAAAAAAAAAAAATTCTGGTAGATGCTTTACATTAATGCTTGTACTAGTAACTAAAGCAAAAGATATGCAAAATAAAATTGATTGATTTATAGTAGAAATTCTGCTGGCATTGCAACAAAAAAGTTGTTGAAGCTGAGAAAAAAAAAAAAGATTAAGTATCAGAAAATGGGACTGAACAGCCAAGCAATGAAACCTAATTACTACTGGAGCATACTGCAGCATATACAATATACAAATACTAACTAGTATGCTGTCAAAAAAACTATTGTTTGTTAAGCAGAATTTGAAGTGGCTTTATGTGAATTCTCTTTGTTTGCAGTGACTGAGCTTGCAAAGAATGCTGTCGTTAACCAAAGCAAACTCCTTGAACAGATCAATTAACCCTTTCAGGGTCCAGAGGCCAAATTTCAAAGTGCACACCAGTGTCCAAGAATTTTCAAAAAATAATTTTCTTATTTTTTCTTATGAAATGGTAGAGAATCTTTTCCTGAAGGTAATAAAACAAAAAGTACAAAATTTGATGGAAAATTGGTGAAATTATGCTCTTGTGAATTTTGATGTGTCAGTGATATTTACGCATTGGCGATTTTGCTGACTTTGACTCCCATTTTAGGCCAATTACCTTATTCCAGTCGACCAAATTCTTAGCTATTTCACTAGTATTACTTCTATTCTATCGACTGATCAAAAGAAATCAACTCAACTGTTTCAACTGCAAAATAAAGTGATTGGAAATTGGTAATTTGGCCAATTTAGTGCAAAGTTCAAAATATTTCAATTTCAAAACAGTGTCCAGAATAAACAATGCAGGCATTCCTAGCACTAAACTAGCATTTCCTCTATTCATTAGTTACGTTTTTAGGCTTTACAAATGAATTCCATTTTGATTTTTAATTCACACAATGAATTTTTATTCAAACCAAAAAATAGAAGATTTACTGTAATGCAATATTATAATAATTGTATAAATAATATCAGCACATTTGTGAACATATATCAGACCCACCAGCTGGTGTGTATTAGACGTGTGAGGTCATTTGTTTACTCTTGAACATTGGTAAAAATTTAACATTTCCGCTACTGTGAGCTCAGTTTCAAGCCATTTTCAGTACTAAAACCAATAAAAATCATCTCTATTTCTGTAATATATCTTCCATTCTATCAAATGAGACCAAGAAATCGCAAATACAACTATAAAAAACATACGAAAAAACACTGCAAAGTCGCTGTTTTAATCAAAAATTACGGTCTCAGTTTTTTTCTCTCATTATGCACTGTGTGCTGCAGGATTTGCTTCATGTGATGCACACATACCACATAGATGTATTCTCTCATATCTAGGCCCAAAAATAACAAAAAAAGGCACAATACCGTGACTGGAACGATACACAAATAACCCGCACATAACAGAGAGAAGCTTACGACGACGTTTCGGTCTGACTTGGACCATTTACAAAGTCACACTAACTAGAAGTGGAGCAGGACGGCTATATATAGGCAGGAAGAGGTGGTGGTAGTAGTAGTAGTACAAGAATGGTACATAATACCGACAAGATGAAATTAAGACACATGCGCAACACCCGGGTATCCCTATTGTAGACGTTTCGCCATCCAGCCAGCCACTGGATGGCGAAACGTCCACAACAAAGACAACCAGACGCCGGTTAGTGTGACTTTGTAAATGATCCAAGTCGGACCGAAACGTCGTCGTAAGTTTCTCTCTTTTATGCGCGGGTTATTTGTGTATCTAGGCCCAAATTTACCATTCACAGCTTGTCAGAGTGAGCTGAGCTCATGGCGTAAATCTACGGTTTGGACCCTGAAAGGGTTAAAAACCTAATAGGATAATCTTTTTCTTTCAAGTCCTCCATATATGTAACTTTTGTACTACAGTAACTGTGGGGAAATGAAGTGTCAAATATTTTTCTACCCCAACCAAATTATATTCTAGAAGGTTCAATGATGTACTGTATTAGGTATGGTTGATTACTTCCTGCCTAACAAGCTCATTTCTTGGAACCAGATCTGCTTCTTAAGCAGAAATTATCTAAGCTGTATATACTCTATTCACCTAGTCTTTTTTATTCAGATGGATGATGGATTCGTGGTCATAAGATGAAGAAAATTTATTTTACGTATACTGGCACATTTTATCACTGCCAACTTGAACTTACATGTGTTTTGTATGTCATGTGCTCCACAAGTAATGGGTAACGATACAAATCTCCTGGCTGAAGTGTTGATAGAGCAGCATTATCAGCTGGTGATGGTCGGTGAGCAACCTCTGCATCAGGATCTGTCAGGATGGGGCAGGTTGCACGCAGCTTGACAGTAGGAGAACATAATGAGGCCAACACAGCACTTAAGAGACGATCACTATCACGGGTCTCTTCCATTCCCTGCAACAATATACTGCACATATAAAAAAAATGAATAAAACAGTGACATTCCTTGATACTTTTAAATAATGGTTAGTATGACTAAATCACCAAAAAAATTGATTAACTCTCTTATAATTACACCAAATTTAACCAATACTGTAAGAGCAAACACTGATAAGTGTTTTAATGTCTGGATACATAGGGACTGGCAGAGAGCATGCACAGTTCCTTTGTATAAAGGCAAAGGGGACAAAACAGTGTGCAAAAATTATAGGGGAAGAAGTCTGTTGAGTCCTAGGTAGTAGGTTGGTAGACAGCAACTGCCCAGGGAGGTACTACCATTCTGCCAAGTGAGTGTTAAACAAAAGCCTGTAATTGTTTTACATGATGGTAGGATTGCTGGTGTCTTTTGTCTGTCTCATAAACATGCAAGATTTCAGGTACGTTTTGCTACTTCTACTTACACTTAGGTCACACTACATATACATGTACAAGCATATATATATACACACCCATCATGGATTATGCATGGGAAGCTTTGATGGTAATAGCTCTTTGGTAATTTTGGAGAACAGCAGGAATTTAAAATAACAGTTTATTTCATGACATCATTGATGAGTAGGATTGCAATGTTGTTGTTGGTGATGCAAGTGTGTCTGAATTTGTGTTAACACAATAGTTAGAATTTGTTATGTATATGCTTGGACTTCCAGCAAGCATGCATAAGCGTGTTAGATAGGAGCGAGTGGAGACAAATGGTTTTTATGACTTGATGTGCTGTTGGAGTGCGAGCAAGGTAACATTTATTATGGCATTCAGGGAAATTGACAAGCCAGACTTGAGTCCTAGAGGTGGGAAGTATAGTGCCTGCACTCTGAAGGAAGGGGTGTTGATAAGTGGCATTTTAAAATTTTTAGTGTAGACATGCCTGTGGCAAGATAGTGATTGAGTGAATGATAATGAAAGTGATTCTTCTTTTTTGGGTCACCCTGCCTTGGTGGCAAACGGCCTATATGTTAATAATATATTTTTTTAGCACTGGCCATCTCCCACTAAGGTAGGGCGACCCAAAAATGAAACACTTTCAGTATCATTCATACTATCACTGAATTGTCAGAGAGGCACATAGGTACAACAGTTCAGGTGTCCCTCCAAACAGCAAATATTCTCACCCCTCCTTTAAAGTGCAAGCACTGTGCTTCCCACCTCCGGGACTCAAGTCCAGCTAACTGGTTTCCCTGAATCTTTTCATAAATGTTACCTTGCTCATACTCCAGCAGCATGTCAAGCCATAAAAATCACTCCTGTTTAACACACTCAGACACACTTGCTGGATATCTCAGCCCCTCAAACACAAAAATCTTTTCTTCCTCCCTTCGATCTTTCCTAGGATGACCCTTACCCTGCAGTCCCTCCACTACAGATTTATACATCCTCCAGTCTATCCTCTTTTGTTCCACCCTGTGTCGGTGGGAGACAGCCAGTGTGTGTACACACACACACACACACACACACACACACACACATATAAGCAGTACATAAGCAGAGGTATGATAAAGCTCACGGTTCTGGGAGAGTGACCTGGGAGTGAACGGTGAAGAGGCGGGGCCAGGAGCTAGGACTCGACCCCCGCAACCTCAACTAGGTGAGTACAACTAGGTGAGTACACACATACACACACACACATCCTACGAAGAAAGGTTGAGGGAAATCGGACTGACGACATTGGAGGACAGGAGGGTCAGGGGAGACATGATAACGACATATAAAATACTGCGTGGAATAGATAAGGTAGACAGAGACAGGTTGTTCCAGAGAGGGGACACAGAAACAAGGGGTCACAATTGGAAGCTGAAGACTCAGACGAGTCAGAGGGATGTTAGGAAGTATTTCTTCAGTCATAGAGTTGTCAGGAAGTGGAATAGCCTAGCAAGTGATGTAGTGGAGGCAGGAACCACACATAGCTTTAAGACAAGGTATGACAACGCTCAGGAAGCAGAGAGAGAGATGACCTAGTAGCGATCAGTGAAGAGGCGGGGCCAGGAGCTGAGTCTTGACCCCTGCAACCACAATTAGGTGAGTACACACACACACACACACAGAGCCAGCATCTCCTCACTTAGTGACGTACTCAGACTTGCTACGGGCTCTTTGACCAGAATGCATAACTAAATAATGTATATTAGAGCTAATTTCCTCTATTCTGTTTATTACAATATACAGTAAACTACTGTATAAACATTTAAAAATATACCAGAAATGTTATAAATGGTGCAAAGGTGCCATTAAAACAATATCAAGGATGGTTGACACAAACCTACTACCATTGTAGTATGCTCCTCACTTAACGATGAATTCGTTTAATGACGTGGTCTTAGGGATGGAACTCTGTCGTTAAGTGAGGAGAGGATATATGTACACGTACACACACACACACACACACACACACACACACACACACACACCACACACACACACACACACACACACAACACACACACTCATACACACACTCATACACACACTCATACACACACACCTACACACACACACCTACACACACACACACACCTACACACACACCTACACACACACACCTACACACACACACACACACACCTACACACACACACACACCTACACACACACACACACACACCTACACACACACACACACACACCTACACACACAACAGGCCTAGTGTCTAATCGACATGTGCCTTGGACAAAATGGTAACTAACTAACCCCTCTGGGTTTTCTGCTATTTTCTTTCTAGTTCTTGTTCTTTTTTATTTCCTCTTATCTCCATGGGAAAGTGGAACAGAATTCTTCCTCTGTAAGCCATGCGAGTCGTAAGAGGCAACTGAAATGCCGGGAGCAAGGGGCTGGTAACCCCTTCTCCTGTAAATATTACTAAATTTGAAAGGAGAAACTTTCGTTTTTCCTTTTGGGCCACCCCACGTCGGTGGGATACGGCTGGTGTGTTGAAAGAAAGAAAGAAGTCTGTTGAGTATACCTCGTAAAGTGCATGGTAGAGTTATTATTGATAGTATTATGTTGTGTATCTTTATATGTGTATGCTTCTAGACTGTTGTATTCTGAGCACCTCTGCAAAAACAGTGATAATGTGCGAGTGTGGTGAAAGTGTTGAATGATGATGAAAGTATTTTCTTTTTGGGGATTTTCTTTATTTTTTTGGGTCACCCTGCCTCGGTGGGAGACGGCCGACTTGTTGAAAAAAAAAAAAAAAAAAAATGATTAAGACGAAGAGCAGGATAGTAGATAAACAAGGAGGTTTTAGGAAAGATAGGGGGTGTGTAGACCAAGTGTTTGCAGTGAAACTCATAGGTGAACAGTATTTGGATAAGGGTAAAGAGGCTTTTGTGGCAGTTATGGATTTGGAAAAGGCATATGATAGGGTGGATAGGGGGGCAATGTGGCAGATGTTGCAAATGTATGGAATAGGAGGTAGGCTATTGAAGGCAGTGAAAAGTTTTTACGAGGATAATGAGGCTCAGGTTAGAGTATGTAAGTGAGAGGAAGATTATTTCCCAGTAAAAGTAGGCCTTAGACAGGGATGTGTGATGTCACCATGGTTGTTCAATATATTTAAAGATGGAGTAGTAAGAGAAGTGAATGCTCAGGTGTTGGCAAGAGGTGTAGGGTTAAAAGATAAAGAATCTAAGACAAAGTGGAAGTTGTCACAGTTGCTCTTTGTTGATGACACTGTGTATTTGGGAGATTCTGAAGAGAAGTTGCAGAGGTTGGTTGAAGAGTTTGGTAGGGTATGTAAAAGAAGGAAGTTAAAAGTGAATATAGGAAAGAGTAAGGTGATGAGGATAACAAAAAAAATTAGGTAACAGAAGACTGGATATCAGATTGGAGGGAGAGAGTATGGAGGAGGCGAATGTGTTCAGATATTTGGGAGCGAACGTGTCAGCAGATGGGTCTATGAAGGATGAGGGAAAAAAGGTGAGTGGTGCATTAAGGAGTCTGTGGAGACAAAGAATTTTATCCATGAAAGCAAAGAAGGGAATGTATGAGAGCATAGTTATACCAATGCTCTTGTATGAGTGTGAGGCATGGGTTGTGAATGTTGCAACAAGAAGGCTGGAGTCAGTGGAGAGGTCATGTCTAAGGGCAATGTGTGGTGTGAATATAATGCAGAGAATCTGTAGTTTGGAGATTAAGAGGAGGTGTGGGATTGCCAAAACTATTATCCAGAGGGCTGAGGAGGGGTTACTGAGATGGTTTGGACATGTAGAGAGGTTGGAACAAAATAAAAAGACTTCGAGAATATACAAATCTGTAGTGGAGGGAAGGTGGGGCAGGGGTCAGCCTAGGAAAGGTTGGAGGGAGGGGGTAAAGGAGGTTTTGTGTGTGAGAGGCTTGGACTTCCAGCAAGCGTGCCTGAGCATGTTAGAGAGAAGCGAATGGAGACAAATGGTTTTTAGGACTTGACGTGCTGTTGGAGTGCAAGCAAGGTAACATTTATGAAGGGATTCAGGGAAACCGGCAGGCCGGACTTGAGTCCTGGAATTGGGAAGTACACTGTCTGCACTCTGAAAAAGGGGTGTTAATGCTGCAGTTTTATAACTGTAGTGTAGGCATGCCTCAGGCAAGACAGTGATGGAGTGAATGATGATGAAAGTTTTCCTTTTTTGGGCTACCCTGCCTTGGTGAGAAACTGCAGATGTGTTAATAAAATATTTTTTTTTTTTTCAACAAGTCGGCCATCTCCCACCGAGGCAGAGTGACCCAAAGAGAAAGAAAATACCCAAAAAGAAAATACTTTCATCATCATTCAACACTTTCACCTCACTCACATATAATCACTGTTTTTGCAGAGGTGCCCAGAATACAAAAGTTTAGAAGTATATACATATAAAAATACACAATATATCTCTCCAAACTGCCAATATCCCAAACCCCTCCTTTAAAGTGCAGGCATTGTACTTCAAATTTCCAGGACTCAAGTCCGGTTATATAAAATAACCGGTTTCCCTGAATCCCTTCACTAAATATTACCCTGCTCACACTCTAACAGATCGTCAGGTCCCAAATACCATTTGTCTCCATTCACTCCTATCTAAAACGCTCACACACTATAAGCTTTACCAGCCAGCCTCCGGCTGGCTGGTAAACAATGCCACTGGCGGAACATGTGAGGCTGGCTCAGGCCGCACATTAGACGCGTCTCGGACGAATAGCGTTGAGCGGGTTTTTTAGCGGTATGCGAGGCAAAATCTTAGCGATAAAATGTATCGGTATGCGGATTTAGCGTTATGTGATGCCAACGGTATGCGGGGGTCCACTGTATATAGAAATACCTGGGAGTGAATGAATCAATAAATAGGGAAGGACAAGTTAAATCTAAGGCAACTAAAATGCCACGAGGAAGGTGCTAGTAACCCCTTCTCCTGTATACATTACTAAAGTTACAAAGAGAAACTTTTGTTTTTACTTTTTTTGGGCAACCCTGCCTCGGTGGGATATGGCCAGTTTGTTGAAAGAAGAAGTTAAATCTAAGAATAAATGGAAGAAAGTTGTAATAATGCTTAGGAATATGTGGATAGAAAAAAAAGTTTGTTCTTGTTTGCAAAAATGGGATCATTAGAGTACAGATATGCTGAATAATTTGTATGGGTGTGAATTATGATTTTAAGTGTAACAGCAAGGAAAAATATGGAGGCAGAAGAAATGTTTTCCCAGAAAAGAATGTGATGAGCAACTAACATGTATGGAACAAGGAATGCAGAGATAGACTGTGGTGGTATGACAGATATAATTCAGTGAGTGAAGAGAATAGTTGTTGAGATGGCAGGTTTACTGAGAGAGTATATATCTGGGGTGGATGTGTAAAAAGCATCTGAAGAAATGCTAGAAGAAAGCACAATGTTGAGAGTGAGGGGCATGAAAACCTAGCACTAGCATAGGTGAGCATATGAGTATGTTAGATCAGAGGTAGTTGAGGAGCATTTTTTGTTTTTGAGATCTGACATGCTGTTGGAGTGAGAGTATAGTAATATCTATGAAGGGAGTCAAGAAACCTAGTTAGCTAATCTTAGGTTTTAAAGTGGGTAATACAGCAACTATCTTCTAAAACTGGATGAAAATGTTATAGTGCTTTATGCAAATAGAGCTAGTGTGTGATGGTAAAGTCATTCAAAGTGCTAAACAATAGAAATAAATGGTATAAAATACCGACACAATGGAAATATAAACACAAATGCAGTATAATGTGATCCTTTATTGACTACGTTTCGCCCACACAGTGGGCTTTTTCAAGTCACAAACAGAACTACCTGGGGTGGAAGGAACGCGAGTATTTATAGTCCGGTTCAGAATGCTGAGGTCAGGTGAAGAATGTTGCATCTGATGATGTACCGAGTGGGGTTATAGAGTCTAAAAACTTGGGTAGCTTGGAAAGGAGATTGGACAAGTTTGTGAGCAGACCTTCTACAGTGTTCTTATGTGGGATAGCGACGAAGAAGTTTCTTGGCAAGTGGTTCAGCTATGTTATAGAAGCCACTATTCTGGTTGAAGTTGTCGGATATAGAAATAAGTGATGATTCCAGGATTCTTCGGTATTGAGTGTTGTCTTCTGTGGCGATAAGTCTTGAGTTTCTGTAGTTTATCAAGTGGTTGTGTGAATTACGGTGTTGTACGCAGGCATTCCTTGTGTCGTCAGACCTGCTTGCATATTGGTGTTCTGAAATATGTGTTTGGAGGTCCCTTGATGTTTCGCCCACGTATAACTTGTTGCAGTCATTACAAGGGATTATGTATACCCCTGCAGAGGATGGAGGCTTGTCCTGTCTACTACTGGTGATGTCCTTGATGGTCGTGGTTGTGGAGGTAGATACTTGGAATGATGTTTTGGCAAAGATGTTGGAAACATGTTTGGCAATGGAGTTGGTGGGAAGGACTATGTATCTCTTCTCGGCAGTGTCTTCTCTGGGTGTGTTGAAGATGTTTAATGCCCGCCGTCTGCAGTCTCTGACGAAGTGACGAGGATAGTGGAGTTTAGAAAATATTTGTTCAATTATAGTGCATTCTTCCTCAAGGAACTCGTTGCTGCAGATTCTGAGTGCACGCAGGAAGAAGCCTATAATTACACCACGTTTGGTTTTGGTGTCGTGGTGAGAGTGGAAGTGGAGAAGATTGTTTTGGTCGGTGGGTTTTCGATAGACTTTAAAACGAAGTTCGTGGTCAGTTTTGCAGAGCAGGACATCAAGGAAAGGAAGAGTGTTGTCGACTTCTTCTTCAAGTGTGAACTGGATTGAAGGCTCGACCTGGTTGAGCTTGTCTTGGAGAGCTTGAACGTTGAAGCGTTTAGGAGTTATGAGGAGAATGTCGTCAACATAATGGAGCCAGGTGACAGACGAAGGAATAATGGTGGAGAAACGTTCGGCTTCTAGATGTTCCATGTATAGGTTCGCCAGGACTGCACTGAGTGGCAAACCCATGGGTAGTCCAAAAGTCTGCTGAAAGAGGTGATTTTCGAAAGAGAAACACGTAAAGCCAACAGGACAAGCCTCCATCCTCTGCAGGGGTATACATAATCCCTTGTAATGACTGCAACAAGTTATACGTGGGCGAAACATCAAGGGACCTCCAAACACGTATTTCAGAACACCAATATGCAAGCAGGTCTGACGACACAAGGAATGCCTGCGTACAACACCGTAATTCACACAACCACTTGATAAACTACAGAAACTCAAGACTTATCGCCACAGAAGACAACACTCAATACCGAAGAATCCTGGAATCATCACTTATTTCTATATCCGACAACTTCAACCAGAATAGTGGCTTCTATAACATAGCTGAACCACTTGCCAAGAAACTTCTTCGTCGCTATCCCACATAAGAACACTGTAGAAGGTCTGCTCACAAACTTGTCCAATCTCCTTTCCAAGCTACCCAAGTTTTTAGACTCTATAACCCCACTCGGTACATCATCAGATGCAACATTCTTCACCTGACCTCAGCATTCTGAACCGGACTATAAATACTCGCGTTCCTTCCACCCCAGGTAGTTCTGTTTGTGACTTGAAAAAGCCCACTGTGTGGGCGAAACGTAGTCAATAAAGGATCACATTATACTGCATTTGTGTTTATATTTCCACCATGCTAAACAATAATTATATGCAAAATTATTGTAATACAAGAGCAATTTGCTAAAACTGACTTTAGTTACCACATCTCTGGACTGCAGAAGATCACAGAGGCAAGCCCACTTCAGTTGTCCCGTGGGATAAAATGCATGAAAGCAAGACACAAAGGTCTTGTGACATTCATCTAGTACAGACACTACCATTCGTGTCAGTGGTCCTGTATCTGAAAATTAAAAATATACAACATATACATTAAAGGAATTAGATACAAGCTTTGTCTAGTTTACATAAATACTAGATAATGTAATATTCATTCACTTTATTATTTTTTTTTTTCAACAAGTCGGCCGTCTCCCACCGAGGCAGGGTGACCCAAAAAAGAAAGAAAATCCCCAAAAAGAAAATACTTTCATCATCATTCAACACTTTCACCTCACTCACACATTATCACTGTTTTTGCAGAGATGCTCAGAATACAACAGTTTAGAAGCATATACGTATAAAGATACACAACATATCCCTCCAAACTGCCAATATCCCAAACCCCTCCTTTAAAGTGCAGGCATTGTACTTCCCATTTCCAGGACTCAAGTCCGACTATTCTATTGTGGGGTGTATTTATCATCTTTTTATGCTATGTATCGTGTTTATTATATGATTTTGAAAAAAATATCATGGATGGATTAATGAAAATGTGTATATTAACGTAATATACGACATTTAATGAGACTCGGTGAGTATTGTTATTATTATTATTATCATTTCTAATATGGCGTCACTTGTGCAAGTCGTCTGCTACCACATCTCACATTTATGTTTATTTATGCTACTGTGGGGTGTATTTATCTTATTTATATGTTATGCATCGTGTTTATTATATAATTTTGAAAAAATATCATAGATGGATTAATGAAAATGTGTATATTAACGTAATATACGACATTTAAATGAGACTCAATGATTATTATTATCATTACTAATATGACGTTTGGAGACATAAGACACTCTTACCAATTTTAATGTGTACCTGCACGCCAGCACAGTATGTAAGTTTATTTAGGTACAGGTATACATAAGTATAATTATCAGAGTATATATAAAATATGAAATAACTTTTAAAAACATTTGAAATTTTTGAGTTTCCAGACAAAATGGAGAGACTTAGTGCTTACTGAGCTCACGGAGAATGTAAACAAACTGGGTGGGGCATGGTGACTGTATTAGAAAGTCGGGTGGGGGGAGCCGTATAGTGAGTTTTGGTCATAATTTGAAATGACCGTATTAGCGGAACGCCGTAAAGTGAAACGCTGTAAAGCGGGGCCCTACTGTATATGAAAATAACCGGTTTCCCTGAATCCCTTCACTAAATATTACCCTGCTCACACTCCAACAGATCGTCAGGTCCCAAGTACCATTCGTCTCCATTCACTCCTATCTAACACGCTCACGCACGCTTGCCGGAAGTCCAAGCCCCTCGTCCACAAAACCTCCTTTACCCCCTCTCTCCAACCCTTTCGAGGACGACCCCTACCCCGCCTTCCTTCCCCTATAGATTTATATGCTTTCCATGTCATTCTACTTTGATCCATTCTCTCTAAATGACCAAACCACCTCAACAACCCTTCTTCTGCCCTCTGACTAATACTTTTATTAACTCACACCTTTTCCTAATTTCCACACTCCAAATTTATTATTAAGCTACCTAATTTAAGCTTTCTCTTATACAAAACTGAGGCTCAAGAAAAGTTGCCTTTACATACCATATCATTATACATATTACAAAATAGGATAACAGTTCTCTCAACTGAAGTATCCTTATTACATCCTTAATGAAGCCCTCTGTTTATATATAACAAAACTTGGAACATATTAGCACAATTTACAGCTAGTTACAACAAACTGAAATGTCACCCTTATTGTGATGTTATGAGTGAATAATGTAGCAGGATTAGCATGAGTGCCATGTGTCATGAGATATTATGAATGATGCAGTGGTGTGAAGTACATAAAAATGCTTTGCAGAACAAGGGGCTTTCCATAGAAATAATTGTTAAGTGCTCAACCCATGTGGGTCATTCAGCGCAAGACGTGGTGGAAGCTCAATCCTCCATCTGATAAGTGCGAGACAGACGTTCTTCCTATTTGTACTCATCTATTTATAAGGGGCTTTCTATAAAGTAGTAATATATGTCATTTACCCTAGGTAGTAGGTTGGTAAACAGCAACCACCCAGGGAGGTACTACCATCCTGCCAAGTGAGTGTACAACGAAAACCTGTAATTGTTTTACATGATGGTAGGATTGCTGGTGTCTTGTCTGTCTCATAAACATGCAAGATTTCAGGTATGTCTTGCTACTTCTACTTGCACTTAGGTCACACTACACATACATATTTTATTTTTATTTTTTTTATTATCACACTGGCTGATTCCCACCAAGGCAGGGTGGCCCGAAAAAGAAAAACTTTCACCATCATTCACTCCATCACTGTCTTGCCAGAAGGGTGCTTTACACTACAGTTTTTAAACTGCAACATTAACACCCCTCCTTCAGAGTGCAGGCACTGTACTTCCCATCTCCAGGACTCAAGTCCGGCCTGCTGGTTTCCCTGAACCCCTTCATAAATGTTACTTTGCTCACACTCCAACAGCACGTCAAGTATTAAAAATCATTTGTCTCCATTCACTCCTATCAAACACGCTCACGCATGCCTGCTGGAAGTCCAAGCCCCTCGCACACAAAACCTCCTTTACCCCCTCCCTCCAACCTTTCCTAGGCCGACCCCTACCCCGTCTTCCTTCCACTACAGACTGATACATTCTTGAAGTCACTCTGTTTCGCTCCATTCTCTCTACATGTACGAACCACCTCAACAACCCTTCCTCAGCCCTCGGGGCAACAGTTTTGGTAATCCATACACATACATGTACAAGCATATATATACACAACCCTCTGGGTATTCTTCTATTTTCTTTCTAGTTCTTGTCCTTGTTTATTTCCTCTTATCTCCATGGGGAAGTGGAACAGAATTCTTCCTCCGTAAGCCGTGCGTGTTGTAAGAGGCGACTAAAATGCCGGGAGCAAGGGGCTAGTAACCCCTTCTCCCGTATAAATTACTAAATTTAAAAGAGAAACTTTCGTTTTTCTTTTTGGGCCACCCTGCCTTGGTGGGATACAGCCGGTGTGTTGAAAGAAAGAAAGATATGTCATTTACCCTAATTATATAATACAGTGGACCCCCGGTTAACGATATTTTTTCATTCCAGAAGTATGTTCAGGTGCCAGTACTGACTGAATTTGTTCCCATATGGAATATTGTGAAGTAGCTTAGTCCATTTCATACCCCCAAACATACACGTACAAACGCACTTACATAATTGGTTGTATTGGGAGGTGATCGTTAAGCGGGGGTCCACTGTATACTGGAGGGATATATTGCAAGGGGCTTGGACTTCCAGCAGGCGTGCATGAGTGTGTTAGATAGGAGTGAATGGAGACGAATGGTATTTGGGACCTGGCGATCTGTTGGAGTGTGAGCAGGGTAATATTTAGTGAAGGGATTCAGGGAAAACGGTTATTTTTATATAGCCGGACTTGAGTCCTGGAAATGAGAAGTACAATGCCTGCACTCTAAAGGAGGGGTTTCGGGATATTAGCAGTTTGGAGGGATATGTTGTGTATCTTTATACGTATATGCTTCTAAACTGTTGTGTTGTGAGCACCTCTGCAAAAAACAGTGATTATATATGAGTGAGGTGAAAGTGTTGAATGATGATCAAAGTATTTTCTTTTTTGGGGATTTTCTTTCTTTTTGGGTCACCCTGCCTCGGTGGGAGACGGCTGACTTGTTGAAAAAAAAAAAAATCTACTTCATAGAAATAAAGTTTCTTTATTTGTTTAAAAGTAATCAGCTGAAGTACATTTAAGTAACTAAAGTACCTATAAGAAATCCATTGCAGAAATGCTTTTTACAGTAATATCAAGAGTCTCATATTAAAATTAACCCTTAAATGGTCCAAATATATATATACGTTCACTCGCTCAGCGCCCCAAATATTTTTGAAAAAAAAAAAAAAAAAAAAAAATTATATAGAAAAAAAGAGCACATTTTTTTTAAGTGTTTTAGCATAAAAAAAAAATTTAGGGTCAGTACTTACCGAGGTATGAGGCCGCGAAGTTGGCACTTGGCGATCACCTGACGGCAACATGGAGAACTGCTGCTTGCAGAAATTCAACATATTTACTGTTTTCTTCCATTTTTTTTTTCATTTTCTTGGTTTTCATGATATGATAATTATGTTTCATAGTAAGTCATCTGATATCAATGCCAAGTTTTGTTTATACACCAATATTACATACGAAATTTTTATCACATTGTCATAAACACACATGTACACACTGACAGGTGATTTTGCACACCTGGCTGAATCACACACAATTTTTTTTTCAACAAGTTGGCCATCTCCCACCAAGGCAGGGTGACCCAAAAAAGAAAGAAAATCCCCAAAAAGAAAATGCTTTCATCATCATTCAACACTTTCACCACACTCACACATAATCACTGTTTTTGCAGAGGTGCGCAGAATACAACAGTTTAGAAGCATATACATGTACGTATAAAGATACACAACATATTCCTCCAAACTGCCAATATCCCAAACCCCTCCTTTAAAGTGCAGGCATTGTACTTCCCATTTCCAGGACTCAAGTCTGACTATATGAAAATAACCGGTTTCCTTGAATCCCTTCACTAAATATTACCCTGCTCACACTCCAACAGATCGTCAGGTCCCAAGTACCATTCGTCTCCATTCACTCCTATCTAACACGCTCATGCACGCTTGCTGGAAGTCCAAGCCCCTTGCCCACAAAACCTCCTTTACCCCCTCTCTCCAACCCTTTCGAGGACGACCCCTACCTCGCCTTCCTTCCCCTATAGATTTATATGCTTTCCATGTCATTCTACTTTGATCCATTCTCTGTAAATGACCAAACCACCTCAACAACCCCTCTTCTGCCCTCTGACTAATACTTTTATTAACTCCACACCTTTACCTAATTTCCACACTCCGAATTTTCTGCATAATATTTACACCACACATTGCCCTTAGACAGGACATCTCCACTGCCTCCAACCGTCTCCTCGCTGCTGCATTTACCACCCAAGCTTCACACCCATATAAGAGTGTTGGTACTACTATACTTTCATACATTCCCTTCTTTGCCTCCATATATAACGTTTTTTGACTCCACATATACCTCAATGCACCACTCACCTTTTTTCCCTCATCAATTCTATGATTAACCTCATCCTTCATAAATCCATCCGCCGACACGTCAACTCCCAAGTATCTGAAAACATTCACTTCTTCCATACTCCTCCTCCCCAATTTGATATCCAATTTTTCATTATCTAAATCATTTGATACCCTCATCACCTGACTCTTTTCTATGCTCACTTTCAACTTTCTACCTTTACACACATTCCCAAACTCATCCACTAACCTTTGCAATTTTTCTTTAGAATCTCCCATAAGCACAGTATCATCAGCAAAAAGTAACTGTTAATTCCCATTTTGAATTTGATTCCCCATAATTTAATCCCACCCCTCTCCCAAACACCCTAGCATTTACTTCTTTTACAACCCCATCTATAAATATATTAAACAACCATGGTGACATTACACATCCCTGTCTAAGACCTACTTTTACCGGGAAGTAGTCTCCCTCTCTTCTACACACCCTAACCTGAGCCTCACTATCCTCATAAAAACTCTTTACAGCATTTAATAACTTACCACCTATCCCATATACTTTCAACATCTGCCACATTGCTCCTCTATCCACTCTATCATATGCCTTTTCTAAATCCATAAATGCAATAAAAACTTCCCTACCTTTATCTAAATACTGTTCACATATATGCTTCAATGTAAACACTTGATCTACACATCCCCTACCCACTCTGAAACCTCCCTGCTCATCCGCAATCCTACATTCTGTCTTACCTCTAATTCTTTCAATTATAACCCTACCATACACTTTTCCTGGTATACTCAAACTTATTCCTCTATAATTTTTACAATCTCTTTTGTCCCCTTTCCCTTTATATAAAGGGACTATACATGCTCTCTGCCAATCCCTAGGTACCTTCCCCTCTTTCATACATTTATTAAATAAAAGTACCAACCACTCCAACACTATATCCCCCCTTGCTTTTAACATTTCTGTCATGATCCCATCAGTTCCAGCTGCTTTACCCCCTTTCATTCTACGTAATGCCTCACGTACCTCCCCCACATTTACATTCTGCTCTTCTTCACTCCTAAAAGATGGTATATCTCCCTGACAAGTGCATGAAATTACCACCCCCCTTTCTTCCTCAACATTTAAAAGTTCCTCAAAATATTCTCGCCATCTACCTAATACCTCCCTCTCCCCATCTACTAACTCCCCTACTCTGTTTTTAACTGACAAATCCATACTCTCCCTAGGCTTTCTTAACTTGTTTAACTCACTCCAAAATTTTTTCTTATTTTCATTAAAATTTCTTGACAGTGCCTCTCCCACTCTATCATCTGCTCTCCTTTTGCACTCTCTCAGCACTCTCTTCACCTTTCTTTTACTGTCCATATACTTCTGCTTTGTAAAAACCTCTCATAAGCTAACTTTTTCTCTTTTATCACACCCTTTACTTCATCATTCCACCAATCACTCCTCTTTCCACCTGCCCCCACCCTCCTATAACCACAAACTTCTGCCCCACATCCTAATACTGCATTTTTAAAACTATTCCAACCCTCTTCATCCCCCCAACTACTCATCTTTGCACTAGCCCACCTTTCTGCCAACAGTTGCTTATATCTCCCCCAAACTTCCTCCTCCCTTAGTTTATACACTTTCACCTCCCTCTTACTTGTTGTTGCCACCTTCCTCTTTTCTCATCTACCTTTTACTCTAACTGTAGCTACAACTAAATAATGATCCGATATATCGGTTGCCCCTCTATAAACATGTACATCCTGGAGCCTACCCATCAACCTTTTATCCACCAATACATAATCTAACAAACTACTTTCATTACGTGCTACATCATACCTTGTATATTTATTTATCCTCTTTTTCATAAAATATGTATTACTTATTACCAAATCTCTTTCTACACATAGCTCAATTAAAGTTTCCCCATTTACATTTACCCCTGGCACCCCAAATTTACCTACTACTCCCTCCATAACATTTTTACCCACTTTAGCATTGAAATCCCCAACTACCATTACTCTCACACTTGATTCAAAACTCCCCATGCATTCACTCAACATTTCCCAAAATCTCTCTCTCTCCTCTACACTTCTTTCTTCTCCAGGTGCATACACGCTTACTATAACCCACTTTTCACATACAATCTTTATTTTACTCCACATAATCCTTGAATAAATACATTTATAGTCCCTCTTTTCCTGCCATAGCTTATCCTTCAACATTATTGCTACACATTATTATCTACAACTATATACAAGTATTTACATGTCCCACTTATGTTTCTAGAACTCCACAATTGTATGATACTCCATGAAGCATGGATTCATACAGAGTGCCACCCCACACTGGTGACACATGAATCATGTGTCCTTCTGCTGTTGGGGTCGTTTTTTGGTGGTAGCACACACAATACACTTTTTCTGGGCATTCTTCTTCTTTTGGGTAGGTGGTATTGGTACCAGATAGTGACAGTTAGGAGTGATTCGGTCTGGCACTTCCCCCACTGGCTGTGGTTGGGGGACAGGTTGTGGTGTGACAGGTTGCTGCTGAGGGGAAGGTACAGGTGTGGTACCATACTTTCTTGCTATCTGTTTGACGAGATTCAGAGAGAAATCTGCAAAACATTGTCGTTTTCCAGTCTTTACTTCGTACATACTGAATGCATTGAGCACTGCAATGTCTACAAGGTGAAAAAACAGTTTTATATACCACTTGCGACTCCTACGCACACAGTCAACAAACCCTATCATCATGTCACACTTGTCAACTAGTCGCATGTTGTTCGTATCATCCACGACAGCAAGTGGCTTCACAATAGGTTCATTGTTGAACTTGCTCAGTCTGTCTGTTTGTACCATCTCGTTTCTGTGGATGGTTGATAGCAATGTCACATCTCGTTTGTTATGCCACGTCAGTGCCATGATGTCATTAGCATGAAACTCTTGCACTTCACCTTCAACACTGCCTCCAGTGAACCTTGGCATATGTTTCCTATTCCTTCTCACTGTTCCACATATATCAGTATTGTTCACACATAGGAAATCAGCAAGCATAGGGCTTGTATACCAGTTGTCTGTGTACAATGTATGGCCCTTGCCAAGGTATGGTTCCATCATCCTGCGAACATCACCGGAAATGCCCAACATCCTTCTGTCATCATCGAGTGCGTTTTTCCCTGTGTATACATTACATCCAACACTCTCACAGTTACACATAACAAAAAGTTTTATACCAAAGTGATTACGTTTGCTCGATATATATTGCTTGAATGACAGGCGTCCCTTGAACAGAATCAAGGACTCATCAACAACAATGTTCTTGAAGGGATAAAAGTATACACTGAATTTCTGCTTCAAATACATAAACACTTCCCGGATTTTGTATAGAAGGTCATTTCTGTCTGGCGTATTTCTGTCTGCGAAGTGCAACATTCGTAGCAACAGAGTGAATCTGTTGCAGGGAAGGAGGTCACGGAAAACTGGAGTACTGATGAAGTGGTCTGTAGATCAGTAATTACGTATATTGTTCTTATAGATATGTGGCATAAGCATGACAGTGGCAAGGAATAAATACATTTCAGCCACTGTTGTGTCTTTCCACCTGTGCAGCCGTGATGATTCTCCAACCTCTGTTGTGTTGTTCATGACATATTGGTAATAAATGTTTGTCTGAGTCACTGTCAAGTTCATTGTAGGCTCGTCAAAGTACAACTGGAAATAGCCTAACTCCGTAGACTCATTCGTTATGGGACATTCTGGCTGGATACCACTTCCACTAGCATCAAAATCACAAGGCTGTGGCACGAATATACTTTGTGTCCAGTTCCACTCACGATCACATGGTGCAGGGTGGACCTGTGACATGAGGCAAGGGGGGGGGGGCAGGAGGAGGAGGGAGAGGAGTGTAGGCAGCACATGGTTGAGGGGGTGCCGGGCAGTCCTTTGTCTGTCCACCCACTGCGCCATGTGGTCCAGGCACCATGCCACCCACCACTACTTCCTCCATCCCCGCATACTCCCCTTCGTGATCACTTTCACTATCAGTGACCGGGGTTTTGGATCGTGACCTGCCACGACCCTTGGGGATTGCATATGGCACACTGCCTGAACATAGATAACGACGCCTAAAAGTACGTTTCACTGGTGAATAATGAACGTCACTATCACTAGACGAATCCTCAATTGGCATAAAATCAATCTCATCATCACTTGCATCACTTTCACTATCACTACTAAAAACACCGGGAAAATGATAGTTTCCTCTTGCGAAGTTTGCCTATGGGTAACACTTGCCACTCCAGAGGTGCTTGGCCCAGGGTCTTCTGTGGCCACACTGGCCACCCCAGAAGTGCTTGGCCTAGGGTCTGATGTGGCCACACTGGCTACCCCAGAGGTGCTTGGCCCTAGGACAGGTGTCGCTACCCCCAGAGTTGATGGCTGGAGTCATCTGGGTTATAGTCGATATTTTCACTAATTCCTTGAATATTACTGGCCCCATTGGTGTCAAATCCACTAAACTCACGATCTCTATCACTTTCCTCGAATAGTAGAGTGTTAATACGACGAGGCGTGAGTGAATCACGAGGATGTGCCATGATGTTGACCCAGGATGGAGCTGAATGTAACTGGTCCTACCATGTGGTACCCAGGCGTCCCAGATTTTTTGTATACTGCGCACACTGAGTGCGCACACCCATTCTCTCATGTCTAGGTGACTCAGGCCTATCGCGCTAATTTTGAATGAATGAAAAATAAAACGTATATATACGTTTGGGGCGCTACGCGCGTGAATGTATATATACGTTTGGACCGTTTAAGGGTTAAGATAATAAAATGAAACATTTTTAAATAAATATATGAAATTTTTAAATACCTCTTCCATTACGCATTTTGCCTTTGCGTGAAGGATAGAGAGAAGGTATTGGGTCAGACAGCATCTGACGAAGGAGTCCACGTACATCTGCAACACTCTCTGCAAGGCAGCCTTTTTCACCATTACTCCTTAATGTTCGCACTGAAAAGTTGCACAACCCTTAATTATATGCACTTGTTAATTCTGAGTAGAGGAATTTTCAAGCTAAAGATTATAGTGAGGAAAACAAAAGTACCAAGTCTATAATAATGTTAAAATAGTGCTAAGATAATTTGGAACCAGGAGAGAAAGTATTAACACACAGAAGGAAGTTATCAAGAAGCAAAACACTGTACTGTATAGAAACAGCAGTTTGTTTATATCAACAGTAACATAGAAGTCGGTTAATGCTCTATCTGGAATATTTACAAGACTATATCCCATAGGTCCAAAAAATAGGGTTTCACTGTCCAAAGTAATTTAGAAGCATATATAATGAGAAGGTAATATGAGATTTAATAGGTAGAACAGAATTCGATGCTTATGACACAACAGTGAATCTAATAACAAATTGTAAGTGCAATCAAAGAAGCCCAAGGTATTGATGAAATAAGTTTTTCATGCTTTATCAATCAAGATTGCAACAATTTTTTCTTTTTTTAACGTGTCAGCCATTTCCCACTAAGGCAGGGTAAAAATGGCAAAGCTGATGCTTCAGCATGCAAGATATAAAGACTTCAGAGGCAAGGATGCAGCTAAATTACCTGAAACATGGAAAAAGAATTAATGAGCCGAAATTGAAGAAGACTTAAAAAATAAGCCAGGAAAATTAGCAAAATCTTTGTAATGTTTTATAGACAAAAAATGACACGACAAAGTGTTATGTATCATGATGCAATAAATAAAAAATACATAATAACAGAATAAAATTTAAAAAAAAAAGCAGGTGATAAAATAAAAATTCTTCAAAAAGAGGATAAATGAGAGCTATGTGACTGTGGCCAAGCACAGTATAGAAACAAAATAGTAGGAAGAAAGGGCATAAGAAAGGACCACCACAGCAAAAAGAAATAAATAAAAAAGGGCATTGTAAGTGCTTTAACCAATACTTGCAATGCCCTTATATAATATATAAAAATTTAAAATGGATAAACAAGAAGAAAGGCAAATCAGTAGGCTCACAGTCTCAAAGGTCTATGAACATATAAAACTGAAAATACTCCTCAAATCATCAACGGTTCAAACTCCAGACTTCTAAGCCATGTCAGGTACTATGAGCTGCAACAACTGATGCTACTCAGTAGGATTACAAAGTATAAAGAAGGCTTTAGATTGAAGGACGTCCTGTACTGTAACAGATTACAGGAATGAGCTCCTAGTTAAGAAGCAATGCCACCTGCTGAATGCTAAGGCAAAGGGTCTGTCTCAGTGCTAAGTACTCACATAAAAGTTTTAGCACCTTATTTCACTATTTGTTGGTTACTTGGGTGTGATATATGAGCAGTAACAGGACATGGGTTTAATCAAAGCAAAACAGACTACTTTCTTAAACTTGTTCCTCAGTTAATTATTTATAAAAACTATCATCCATACACACATAATTCTGGCAATTAACCTGAATTATAGTAGTCACTGTTAACATACATCCTGAGTTCTGGCAACTAATCTGAATTGCAGAAGACATCATTAATATATACCCTGAGTTCTGGCAACTAACCTGAATTGGGGTAGACCTCATTAATATATATTCTCAGAAGACGCAAACAAGCACAACAAATGTAAACGAGGCGTTGAAGATCCAACATGGCTACTGTTGGACTTGCTCCAGTGCTTCCTACATGACTCACTTGCTGAAATTATATAACCTGTTAACACTGTACAGCTTTACTTAGTATCAAGAAAAAATGCACCCTATAAGCATTAATAATAGAATAAATACAATAAACAAGTACTGTATAGACAAAAACATGAATAAGTTGTCAACAAAAAGGTTTCCATGTAAGAATGGCTGTTCCTCAAACTATACAGTAGAGTATCTATCCATTTCTCTACACAAATAATACAGGTAGAATAGATGCAAGATATTTTGTTTTACAGAAACATCGACTGAGGGTAAGAGGAAAAAATGTAAATAATGCGGTTCCACAAGGATCAGTACTGGAATATACATGTTTATAATTTACATGAACAGTACTGTATTATTCTCTGGTTCTGAAGAACCACTTAGGAATCCTCACACCAGTACATCCACATACAAACAGAACCCTTTGCTAAACTGAAGGTGAGAACTCAAAGAGCAGAAACACCAAGACAAAAACTCATATAACCTGTATAGCTGGGCAAATTAAAAGCCAAACTGCACTAAAGACATGTTTGGCACAGATGCACTGCAGATAATGATCATTGCAAATAAGTAAGGGTTGGCTGAGCATATAATTTTTTTTTTATGCAATATCTCTGAAGCATTTATCATGACATGTACTTAACACTTTCAGGGTCCAAGGCCCAAATCTGGAGTCACACACCAGTGTCCAAGAATTTAAAAAAAAAAAATTTGTTATTTTTTCTTATGAAATCGTAGAGAATCTTTTTGTGAAGGTAATAAAACAAAAAGTACGAAATTTGGTGGAAAATTGACGAAATTATGCTCTCGCGAATTTTGATGTGTCAGCGATATTTACGAATCGGCGATTTTGCCGACTTTGACTCCCATTTTAGGCCAATTACATTATTCCAATCAACCAAATTCTTAGCTATTTCACTAGTATTACTTCTATTCTATCGATTGAGCACAAGAAATCGCCAAGTCAACTGTTTTAACTACAAATAAAGTGATCGGAAATTGTTAATTTGGCCAATTTAACACAAAGTTCAAAATATTCCAATTTCAAAATAGGGTCCAGAATGAACAATGTAGGCATTCCTGGCACTAAACTAACATTTCCTCTGTTCATTAGTTATGTTTTGAGGCTTACAAATAAATTCCATTTTGATTTTTTATTCACATAATGAATTTTTATTCACACCAAAAAATAGAAGATTTACTGTTATGCAATACTGTAATAATTGTATAAATATCATCACCATATTTGTGAATGTATATTAGACCCACCAGCTGACGTGTATTAGACGTGTGAGGTCGTTTGTTTACTCTTGAATATCGGCAAAAATTTAACATTTCCGCTACTTTGAGCTCAGTTTCAAGCCATTTCCAATGCTAAAACCAATCAAAATCATCTCTATTTCTGTAATATGTCTTCCATTCTATCAAATGAGACCAAGAAATCGCAAATACAACTATAAAAAACATACGAAAAAACACTGCAAAGTTGCTGTTTTAATCGAAAAATCATGATTTCATTTTTTTTCTCTCATTATACACAGTGTGCTGCAGGATCTGTTTTATGTGGTGCACACATACCACATAGATGTATTCTCTCATATCTAGGCCCAAATGTACCACTCACAGTTTATCAGAGTGAGCTGAGCTCATGGCGTAGATCTACGGTTTGGACCCTGAACGTAAAGCCGTATATCTATGGGACGGACCCTGAAAGGGTTAATGTAGCAATTATTTCAATTTAATTTTCAGAAGAAACTAAATTTTTTTCAGGTTAGAGCTAGTGGCTGCTAACCCAAGATTTTAATATACAATCTATATTATTTATGGGTGTTTTACCCTTATAAACTCACATGATATGGCATTTATGTTTAATTTAATTATTAATTTAGTATTCAACTTGTTAAGTTGATCTAAATTTTCTTGTAAGGATTTAGTAATTTTTATTTGTTCATTGAGTTAGGAAGATTAAGTGTACATCTTTTGTATTTTTTCCATATGCATTTCTGTTATTTATGTAGGAAGATCAGAGTGCATATTCTTGCTTCATAGACCATCTAGTTAACACACAAATCTGCATTGGATGAATGGTGAAAATGACTAATCTTCCTTACTCCTTAAGAAAGGAGCAATCATAAAACATTTTTTATTATTAACACACTGGCCGATTCCCACCAAGGCAGGGTGGCCCGAAAAAGAAAAACTTTCACCATCATTCACTCCATCACTGTCTTGCCAGAAGGGTGCTTTACACTACAGTTTTTAAACTGCACCCTTCTGGCAAGACAGTGATGGAGTGAATGATGGTTTAAGTTTTTCTTTTTCGGGCCACCCTGCCTTGGTGGGAATCGCCCAGTGTGTTAATAATAAAAAAACATTTATGTAACTAATTTATCATATACGTATACTACTGTTCCTATTTCATGAATGCTTAATGTCATTCACTTCAACTACACTGGAGAGAGAAAAAACAAAATGTAGAAAGGTGTTCGTGTTAAGTGTGGTAAGTAGATGGAAACTTTACCCAAACACAGAAAACCGAAAGTTTTGAACTTGTAGCATAACTAGAACCCGAATGAAAATATATGTAAAAATACAAAGTGACTGATGATATTAGAACAAATGAAATTTAATAAGTACTATAGTAAAGAGCCAAAATGGTTTATATAGCATAAACAATATATTTAATTATTATTACAATATATTAAGCCGAATACACAAACAATTTCCTTTTAAAATAAAAATAATACTTACTTCCCCCACACAAGATCTTAAAGTACTCCAAGCCCAGCCAAGCAAGTCTAGCAGTGACTGGAAAACATCCTGGGAAAAATTAATTAATCTTTTAGATTAAAAATTTGCAGTCCATTAGAGATCATTGTAAACAAATTATGTCAAAACACAGTACATCTATAAAATATTTATTATTGCCTAATTGTTCTTAAAATTAATTCAACTGTAGGGATAAAATTATATAGGTACCATAATATAGAATAAAGCACAGCACAAGCAATATTTATTGAATATACAAGGTTTATAACAGCATTTCCCTTAGAGTAAGCCATATGTTGAGGCTTAGTCTATGGTTGTGTGCTATTACCAATTTGTAGCTACAGGAGCAAGGCTATGCTCATGGTGTCCCATCTTCAGTGTTTAATGTTATAAACTTTTGTAGCTTTCAGAGGTTGTAGCACTTGCTATCGCCTCTTGCAATTCGACCCATTTTTTAACTGCTCTGTTTGTGAAAAACAACTTTATAGTATTCTTTCAGCACCATTTATATTTTTAGTTTATAGTCTCTTGTTCTCCTGGGTTACTGTGCTAGGAAATCTTATCAGTTATTTCAAAAAGAACACAGTATTCATGTTTCATCTGAGGAAAGGGTTTGGCTAAATCATCTTTATTTCCTCAGATCAAAAGCTCATCACCAATTTTAATTTGCAATATTTACCCACAATTTATGGATAAAATATTTTAGTAGAGGAATGCAGGATCTATACTTACATTTCTCACACTCATAAAAAAGCTTTTGGAGAGTATTGGAATGGCTTCTGTAGACTCATGCACTGGTCTAGGAGTCACTGGTCCCTCATGTGCCATAATACGATAAAGAAGCTGAGGAATCTGTCCAGCATTGACATCTGTCCCATTATTAGATTTTTTGGATGATTTGAAGTAGAAAATAACCCTGAAAATGGGAATAAAATTCAATATACAACCAGAAATATCAATGTAAACAATGAATATAGTGGTGACAACACTGTTGTATGGGTGTGCAGCGTGGATTTTGAATGTTGCAGCGAGGAGGAGGTTGGAGGCAGTAGAGATGTCAACTTTGAGGGCAATGAATGGTATGAATTCACCAGTGTTATGCAGAAAATTCAGAGTCTGGAGATTAGAAGGCGTGGAGTTACCAAAAGTATTATTCAGAGGGCTGAGGAGAGGTTGTTGAAGTGGTTTGGACATTTAGAGAAGAGGGAGAAAACAGAATGACTAGGAGGGCATAACATTCAACTCTGCTCTAAGATTTTAAATGATTTGTTAATGGCTAATGGGATCACTCCCATTACTATCCCAGATAATGTCAAGGTTATTATGGCCCAGCCTTCTCATAACAAGAAGTATGTACCATACTGTACTTCTACAAATAAGCCTAAGTCATCCCTTGTCCAGGGATCACCCACCTCGCATACCCAGGTTGTCAACTCCCCTCAACCCGATGAGTCAATACCTGACCCTAACGATGCCCCAGAGATTGGAGCTTACTCTTCCGCTATTGCAGCTGATCCTGTTGAACAGGAACTTTCCCAGGATAATTCACCTGGCCTACCAAATTTTCCCTTGGAGCCTCCACAGTCTCCCATTAACTCTCACGAGCCTCTGCTTCCTGAAACTGGGAATATCACACCTCAGTTTTATGATGATGACTTTAACCCTTAAACGGTCCAAACAGATCGACGTTCAAATTCGTAGTGCTACAAAAGTATATCTACTTTTTTTACATATTTTCAAATATAACAAAAAAAAAATGTAGATAAAAGTTTTTTTACACGTTTTCACATGTAAAACAAAAAAAAAAGATCTACATTTTTTACATACTTTCAGACGTTGAAAAAACGTATATATACGTTTGGACCATTTAAGGGTTAATGACTAACGATTCTGTTAATATTATCACTTCTAGTGAGGATGGTGACATTTTTAATACACAAGCAACTACTCAGAACTTCCCTCCTCCCCTTGATGAGTCCAGCAGGGATAGTGTGGATACCAAACATGACATTACTTGCAGACGTTCATACCGTAGTACACGAGCGAAGTGCAAGAAATAATGGGGATTACAATTTTCCAACTTAATGTTCAACATTTCTTTAATAACCGTTACCTCCTTGAAGCTGAACTACATAATTACAATCCCGATGTTATACTCTTGAATGAGACAGCTGCGAGAGTTGATCAACATATTAAATTACGTGGTTACTCTACTGTGGAGAAATCGAGAGGACCCTATAGTGGCGTAGCCATCTTAGTTAAATTAGGCCATGCATTTAAAAATATTCATGTTGATGAAGATAACATTCTTGCAATAGAAATGACGACGTCTCATGGGCAACTAGTGATAGGAACTGGATATTTTCCCCCGAGACAACAATATATAGAGTCAATTTCTCTACATAGGATATTAAGCAGAAATATTCCAACAATTCTAGCAGGAGATTTTAATGCTCATCACCCTGCCCTCTTCAACTGTGGAGCTGGTAATCCACTGGGTGACTTGAAAGGAAAACAACTATTTAATATCATGACAGCCAAGAACTTGTCATTTCAAGGCCCATTCTTTAAATCATATATTGGTCCTCATCCAGGGACACCAGATATAGTCCTGACAAACAGAGACTGTGACCTCTTTCATTGTCATATCTCTCCTGGTGGAAACGTAGGATCTGACCATATCCCTGTTTTAATAAAACTACAAACTTCTCCATTTAGAATACCTGTACCTCCTAAACCCAATCTCAACACCCTAGGATTTGACCCCTTCAGGGCATTTCTGGGTGACGATGAAATTGTGTCGTTGGAAAATCTACCTTCCACTGCAATTGATGACACGGTCAGGTCCCTTCACAATCGAATAATTGATGCTACTAATGCAACCTGTCAATTAGCCTCCACAAAGATCTACCAACAATATAAACCTACGAGGGAAATTAGAGACGCTTTGAGAAATTATCAAACAGAATGTCGAAGGCATCTTCAAACGCGACAACCACCAGTAGCTACATTGCACAGATTGAGGAAAGAATTAATTAACATGATTAGTCATCACAAACGTGACTTATGGAAACTGCTAGTTCTCCAAGCTAATCAGTATAAACGTGAGCCAGCAAAATTTTGGAGTAAGATCCGACAACTTTTAGGGGCAAGGCACAAGACTCCTACCTACCTAATTCATACTTTCACTGATGAGGATGATGAAGATGTTGAGATTAAATTTGATGATCCACAGGACCAGGCTAATTTGATAGGTGATGTATGGGAGAAAATTCCCTCCCACAATAACAGTCGTCAATTTAACTATAATTACTATCAGTTGGTAAATGAATGGAGAGATGAGAACTTAGATGATCTACAACCACTACCTTCCATCGATACATCAATTCTTGAAGATGTCCACCCGCTTACTAGACCTATTACATTACTCGAGATGAGTCAGGTTATTGGAAGAATGCGAAATAGAGCCCCTGGTCTCTCTGGAATAACAATGAAACAAATAAAGTTCCTACCCAGAAATTGTAAACAGTCTTTGGTTAATATCTTTAATGCCATCTTGGCCTCGGGACATTTTCCAGTTGTTTTTAAGACTGCTAGGATGAACTTTCTTGCTAAGCCCAATAAAGACATCCATCAACCAGGGAACTATAGACCTATATCTTTACTTGAAGTCACTGGAAAAGTTCTTGAGAAGATCATTTCCAACAGACTGAACTACTATATGGAGTTTAATCACCTTTTTACTGAAAAACAATTTGGCTTTAGAACACATAGAGGTACCCATTATGCAATAAATATTATTTTCGATAATGTAGCAAGTCTAAAGCATCAGGGCAATCTTGCCCTAATTGCCACCAGAGATGTTCATAAAGCTTTTGACAGCTTATGGCATGATGGTCTTATATACAAACTTATTGACCTACCAGACCATAACTGGACCTTTCTCAGATTAATATATAATTTCTTAATTCAAAGAAAAATCATTCCCACCTTTCACGGCAGGTCGACAGAGCCTTTTATACCAACAGCTGGTGTCCCACAAGGTTCTTGTCTTAGTCCAATTCTATTCAACATTTATGTGAATGACCTTCCTCAACCAGAGTTTAATGATACAATTATAACGCAATTTGCAGATGATGTTATCCATGTCGTCTCATCAACTTCGGTAACAGGAAAATACAAGTATGAGAGAGTCATAGAAAAAAATGAATATTGAACTTCGTCGAACATCTAATTGGGAAAAGAAATGGAGAATTACGACTAACCCTGACAAAGTCCTTGTTAGCACAAAAGGATGCTTTGCATCAACCATCAAAGATAAAGGGGGTATCTCCATCAGAGGTACACCTGTAGCCATTAGAAACCCTAACAAGATCTTGGGATATGAAATAGACAGGCTGCTCCATTCAACATCTCATGTAAATAAAAAGATCAACATAGCCAAAGCCGGTCTTAACAGTCTCTTTAGATTTAATCAAGCCCCTCCACATGTCAAAAAACATCTGTATAAAATGATAATAAGACCTATACTCGAATACCCATGTGTCCCAATGTCATTAACAACAAAGACCAACATGCTAAGGTTGCAACGGGTCCAGAATAGAGCTCTCTGCTTCATTACGGGCACCAGGAGGAGAGACAGAGTTAAAATGGCAGATTTACATGTACAACAAGATATTACTGCCTTAAATGTACGCTTGACACCCTGAAGAAGAAACAACTCTATGCAATGCAAGAACTCTACATGCCAGATAGAGAACATCCTCTCCAAGTTGAAAATACCACGGATTATATCATCAATACTCCTCAAAGGACTCAAAGAATGACTCTCCCACAGAGGGTCCATCGTTTTATCCATAAAGACAATTACCATCGACCAATGATCTTGAGCAACCTCCCTGCAGATGAAGATGATTGGGTAACACCAGAACCCTTCTATGTTTATTAAGAAAATCATCGCCCCCAATTAGGGAGACATCTTGTATAACATTCTACTGTTAAAATTATGTTACATTTAACCCTTTGACTGTTTACGCCATATAAATATGTTACACGCCACTGTTTCTGACGTACATATACTCATAAATTCTAGCGGCTTCAAATCAAGCAGGAGAAACCTGGTAGGCCCACATGTGAGAGAATGGGTCTGTGTGGTCAGTGTGCACCACACAAAAAAAATCCTGCAGCACACAGTGCGTAATGAGAAAAAAAAACACTGACCATTTTTTTGGATTAAAACGCCGACTTTGAGGTGTATTTTCGTATAGTATTTATCGTTGTAATCTCGTTTTCATGGTCTTAGGTGATAAAATGGAAAACGTATTAAAGAAATGGAGATGGTTTTTATTACTTTCACGATGAAAACGACCTTGAAACTGAGCTCAAAGTAGCGGAAATGTTCGATTTTTACCAATGTTCAGGAGTAAGCAAATCACACCACACGTCCAATACACGTCAACTGGGGAGTCTAATATTCTTTCACTAGTGCACTGATATTATTTATACCATTTTTAAAATAATGCAGTAGTCTGCATACCAGTAAATTTTGTATTTTTTTGTATGAATAAAAAATCAAAATAAAAAGCAATAGTAATATACGAGAGGCCTAGAAACGTGACTAATGAACAGAGGATATGTTATTTTAGTGCCAAGAATGTCTACCTTGTTTATTCTGGACCCTATTTTGAAATTGGCATCTTTTATGATTTGTGTGAAATTGGCCAAATTGCCAATTTCTGGCTACTTTATTAGGTAGTTCAAATCGGTAAATGGGTGGTTTCTTGTACTCAACTGATAGACAAAATGGAGTTCTAAAGAAATAGCTATGAGTTTGATCAACTGGAACAACGGAATTGGCTAAAAACAGGGCTCAAATTCGGCAAAATCGCCGATACGTATATGTCGCTGAGACCGTTAACTTCGCGGTAGTGTAATTCCGTGAGTTTTCGACCAAATTTCGAACTTTTGGTGTCATTACCATCAGGAAAAGATTCTCTATCATTTCATAAGAAAATTTTTTTTTTTTTTTTTTTTCAAAAATTTTGCAACATAGAATGACAGTTTCAGAAAGGGGCCTGCGACAGTCAAAGGGTTAATATGGCGGGACACCACCTTGTAAGAAGCTAGGTCAAGTAATTCTTTATAAACTGGCCAGAAAATTACAGCCTTCATTGTCATTTAAATATCCATTGTGCAATCGCAAAAAAAAAAAGCAATTGCAACTTGTATATTTACTACCAATTCAGTCATGTACTTATATATCTGTTATATCTATGTGACTCTGATGGGTTAGTACTATACCCCTCCAAGAATATTTTATTATTCCACATACACTTTTTAAACTACACCAAAGTGGTTGGGCCACTTACCTTTTATATCCTACCTCTCTCCCCCCTCCCACCCTTTTCCAATATTTCTATCCTTACCCATCCTTCTTCCTTACCCATCTTACCAAAGGTCTGGTCATAAAAAGAAGAAGAAGAGGACGTATCAATCTGGGGTGGATGGAAGGAGGGGTAGGATCATCCTAAGGAAGGCTGGAGAGAGGGGATAATGAAGGCTTTGAATGCTAAGGGCTTGGACATGCAACAGGCATATGTGAGCATGTTAGATGAGTGGAATTAAGTGATTTTTATGATTTGACACGCTGCTGGAATATGAGTGCTTTCTTCTTTGTCAGGTCAGCCTACCTCAGTGGAAGATGGCTAGTGTTGAAACAATAAATGATATAGTTTGTCTTGCAGATAATGCAAGAATTTAGATACAATAAAGTATTTTAAGAGAGAGAGAGCCAAATGAAAATAATATATACACTAAGTTACTGCACTGTACTGGCACCAAATCCAGGCAATTGGAGTCAGCAACACTGGCAATACTCCCCTATCTGCCCATGTCTCACCACTCTGATTTATTAAAGTAAAATTAGTGAAACTGAATATGTGTACATTGTCCACCAAAAAGGGCTTCAATTATTTGATTTTAGTTGCTAAAGATAAAAAAGGTGACAAACCCACTGAAGACTACAGAACACCCATGATGGCAATTCTGGGGCAACATGTAATCACACCCAGGGTGAATTCAATGTGTGGTTACTTAAGAAATCACAAAGGAGGCATAGGCCCTAGTATGGAATAATCATCATACAGTACTAAGGGTATTAACAATTACAAACCTTACAGACATTGAGTATGAGAGACTAAAAGAGTCCAGACAAGAGAGGGATGGATGAACTGCATATTACTATACTAAGAAAATCTTTGATGCAGTTCCACACAGAAGGCCACTTAGTAAACTTTGTGAAGCAAGCTAGAGTAATATAAAAAATGTAACAGTATTAGGGATAAGCAAATACAGTGGACCCCCGCTTAACGATCACCTCCAAATGCGACCAATTATGTAAGTGTATTTATGTAAGTGCGTTTGTACGTGTATGTTTGGGGGTCTGAAATGGACTAATCTACTTCACAATATTCCTTATGGGAAAAAATTCGGTCAGTACTGGCACCTGAACATACTACTGGAATGAAAAAAGTTCGTTAACCGGGGGTCCACTGTACGTATAAGAACAAAAGAAAATAATATTGCTGTATGGGATTAAACATTTGGATAGATGACCTACAAGTATCTGTGCTGAACCCCATATTATTCCTAGTGTATATAAATTCACAGCAACAGGAGCTAGCTCTTACATATCCTTGTTTGTGAATTATGTCAAAATAATGAGGTATTGTACAGCAAAACATCAATTTAATGGACTAAACGGGGAAATTATCTGAATGTCTATTAAATTCAAATAGTATTACAAATAACAAAAATGCACTACAGTACTCCTCTGTATACATATTAAAGAACTCTATTCATAGATATACTGTAATAAACAGCAAAAATGAGGTTAAAGGTATGTTACCCAGCAGATTTTGTCCAGTATTTTCAAAGTCTGTTAAATCAAGGTCTACCGAATTGAGAGTTTGCTGTAAGTACAAATTTGAAGAGTATAAAAGAAAGCTAAGGTAAACTTGGATGGACTTCAGGAATAGTGTAATAAATGGTCAATGAAGTGTAACTAAGCAAAACTGTGAAGCCATGAGACAGAAAGGAAACAAAAGACAAAAGCACAAGCACAATCAGGAGCTATATAGCCTCATCCCAAACCTGTTCCCTGAAGTGCACATAAACAAGACAAAATGGGCAGAACAAGCTAAGCTTGTAAATGTAGGTAACATTCAGGGACCCAGACAAACACTTTTTCAAATCAACAGTATCTTATATGTGAAGAGTACCCTTGTAGAACCCTTACCTTGTAAAACACAAAATGAAGCATGAGAAAGTCCAAAGGAGTGCATCTAGACTGGTGTCTGAGCTGAGAGAGATGGGTTATGAAGAAAAAATGAGAGCTAGGCATTAACAATCACAAAACACTGTTTAGTTCATACTCACTGATCTTCTGTGGTGACCATACTCTGCCCTGATGAACCACAGTCACTGCTTGGCCCACTCACACGAGCCCATGCCACATACCATTTATTAGCCTTGCCAAGAGATACACATATTAAAAATCTACAACAAAAACTACCGCTAGGCATATACTACTTATTTATGTAAAGACTGTGTACAACATGACGTATCTGAGGTCAAAGAATGATGTACCAGCTCTAATTACCACATCAGATGTTTACCAGATATCTAGTACTGTATTTAAACTGGATTAATTTGATACAGTAAATAATAGATATGTTGAGCATCCTAAATAAAGATACATTGTACTGTAGTCAAGTCTTTAATTTGCAATAAAAATTACTTTAACTGGTATGGTATTACAAAAATGTTGCTACTATCTATTCTTAGTTGGGTTATAAATTTAAAACATTCACCAACAATCAAAAGCTACTTCTATTTGAAAAAATTCTGACTAAAGACAAAGGATTATTTTTTCGTTAACCCAAGCTATGTCCAAACGGTTTACAGATGGCCAGAAAAGTTTACCTGTAATGGGACTGGTTCATCAAAGAGCATGGGAAACTTTTGGCGAGCACCACACTCATAAGGCATCTCTTCTGTCTCTGCTAATAACTCTCCATCAGTCTCCTGGTCCCCGCCCTCAGCACCAAGTTCAAATAACTGTGGATGAAAACAGACATAAAATTATTAAATAGTAAATTACATACCAACAACATACTCTTCAGAAGGTTCTCAAGATTATTGCATATTGATGAACTGTCAACATAGTCACTATCTCCAATTATTTGGCAATCTATTATTTGTAAAGTAAAAGGACACAAGTGCAACTAATGTGACATTTTATTGTGGCAACGTTTTGCTCTCCAGGAGCTTTATCAAGTCGACTTGATAAAGCTCCTGGAGAGCGAAAAGTTGCCACAATAAAATGTCACATTAGTTGCACTTGTGTCCTTTTACTTTACATACTGTCAGTAATTCTACCAACATCATTACAATCTATTATTTGGCATCCACCATTATCTGAACAATTCAGTAACATAATGGATAGCGGAAGCAGGGAAGCAGTGCCAAAGAGCAACCACATGATGCACGGAGACTTAAATGAAACTCTTCCCTATTATGTCAATAACATTCTTCCTTTGCAGCTGTGGGAACATCAACTAACCAAACACCTGGTTTTCCAGGGTTTATGAAAAGCAAATGTATATATGTAACACTGCAGACTGTCATAAAATAACAAGAAAAAGGCCTGCTTAAACTGCAAGATAACTATAGTAACCTGTTCTAAACCCTCAAGATAAAAAAACAAAAAAGAACAAGCATAGCAATCCACAAAAATATAGGAATTAGAAGCTAGACATAAAGAAAACTTATGAACAATACAATAATCCTCACATAACAAACATTCACTTAATATAAATTTGATTAACAATTAAGAATACATATACGTAGTATTAATGCTTGTATAAATGGAGCAAGGTAACATTTATACAGGGACTTGGGAAAACTGATTAGCCAGACTTAGGTTCTACAGATAGGAAGTACAATGCCTGCACTTTGAATGATGGATGGTGATGTGGTTCAGCTGGCCATTTGAAGTATGATGCTGATGCACTTCTGGTGAGACGTCTAGCTATTGACTGAGTGACTGTGAATATGTTTCCTTCTCTGGGTCACCCTACTCTAATGGAAAATTGCAACTGTGGTAAAAAAAAAAATATTGTTGCCCTATTTGCACCAAAATATTACAAACCCCTTACACACACAATAAAATACTGAGTGCTGTATAAAAAATGCTTAGAAAAAATCCAAAATTCAATAATGAACACTATACAGTACACACAAAGCCAAAATTGAAACAAAGAACCTACACTTCTTGATCTGTATTACCAAAAAATATACTGGCAAGCATACCACATATACGCTAAACAGAAATGCATGGTCAAGAAACTGCTGAAAAATCAAACTCTTTCAAACTCCTTCCAACAAGATAGCCCCACCAAAGCCTTTTCTTTATAGAAATTCTGGCACCACCACTGTACAGCAAAAATGTTGTAGGAAAGAAGGAATAAATTTTATATACAAAAAAGATTAATATAAAGACAAAATCTTATTCAAAGCTTGTTACGTAATACTTAGAGCAATATTATTAAATTACTTGGTAAATGGAAAGACGAAATATTATAATTAATTACCTTGATCTTGCCCATGTATTCGCCCCTTCCTCCAAAAAGTCCAAAGCCACCAATAAGAATGTCTGTGTCACACATAAACCGAATTGCTTCTATTGAGTGACCAGAGTATCCCCAACCACCTCCATGACCTGTTAAGAATTAGGAATGGTAGATGAGGCCAAGTAAAAAATTTTTGTTAAATTTCTGGTTTCCTGACCAACCAGTAAAAATAAAAAAAAAAAAAAGGCCTCTATATTACTTTAATATTAAATTCATGCATAAAGCTAAACTAAGCAGTTGGCTTTAAACCTTTAAGCTGAAATGTGAATTTAGCTCTGTTTTTAGTGTCAAAGAATGTACAGTATTTTTCAAAATGTTATTTTTCCAGTATATATAAAAAGATACAGTGGAACCTCAAATTTCGAACATATCGCTTATCGACCTCTTCGAAAACCGACCGCTTTTTTTGAACCAACTTTGTCCCCATTATCAAACTCGCCCCTTTTTTCGGACCACCGGGTACTGTGTTTAGTGCTTGTGGAACTGTGAAATAAGCTACCATGGGCCCAAAGAAACCTGCTAGTGGTACCCCTGTGGTAAAGAAAGTGAGAAACACCATAGAGGTGAAGTGAGTGGCGAGGATGTGGAAGAGTTGGTGGAGGACCAAAGGGAAGAGCTAACCACTGAAGAGCTGAACAGTATCAGACCACAGCTCAGGAACTTGCTTCAGAGGAGGAGGAAGAGGGAGTTGATGAGGTGCATTCTTCAAAGATTAAGGAGATTTGTGCCAAGTGGAATGATGTCCAAATGTTTGTGGAGAAGTACCACCCTAAGCAAGCTGAAACAAGCCATCTTTGCAACAAGTTCAGTGACAGAACCATGTCCCATTGTAGGGAAATCTTAAAGAGGTGCCAGAAAGAGAGGACTGTGGACAGTTATTTTGTGAGACAGGGGTCCAATGACTCTCAAGCTGGTCCTAGTGGCATTAAAAGACAGAGAAGGGAAGTAACCCCAGAGAGGGCTTTGATACCTAAAGTCCTTATGGAGGGGGATTTCCCTTCCAAACAATAACCCCAACTCCCTCTCTCCTCCTCCCTATCTTCCAGATGCCATCACCAATCTTCAGTAAAGGTAAGTAAAAATGTTATTTTATATGTTTATTTAAATTTATTAATAATTTATTAATAATTTGTTGTGTGTATGTAAAACTATAATGTAATACTATCTATAAAAAGTATTTTTTCGTGAATATTTTTGAGTTACTGGAACGGATTAATTGTATTTCCAATATGTATTTCTTATGGGAAATATTGCTTCGCCTTTCGAACTTTTTGAATTTAGAACTAGCTCCTGGAACAGACTAAGTTTGAAATTTGAAGTTCTACTGTATATTTGTTAATCCTTAGTATTAGCTGTGGCAGTTCTAGGTGTCTGGCTTTGTGCTTTATAAAGAACATACGTACTTTTGTTTGTGATGGATCCGCAGATTGCCACGTGTTCTACTTGCAGGAACTATGTGAAAGTACTGTAGTTCATGTTCTGGAGCTACCCAGCTCTGTTTTCTATGACAATCTTTGATGACTGTACTGTATGCTCTTGTACTTTATGTAGCATATGTGCAAAAGCAATTTAACATCTGAGAGGTAATTCTGATATATTTCATTTGTTTAAGGCTTTACCACCAATACTTAATTTTTGCACTATAATTTTCACAAAGCAATATATTTAATATTACAGGAACTGTATATTTTCGTCTCCTTTTAGTATGTGTGCAGAATTGTATCATATTAGGAACCTTATCCAACATGATCTCACAAAATTCTTTGTAGTGTTAAAAGATCCTAGACCACAGTTATATATACAGTGGACCCCCGCATAACGATCACCTCCGAATGCGACCAATTATGTAAGTGTATTTATGTAAGTGCGTTTGCACGTGTATGTTTGGGGGTCTGATATGGACTAATCTACTTCACAATATTCCTTATGGGAACAAATTCAGTCATTACTGGCACCTGAACATACTTCTGGAGTGAAAAAATATCGTTAACCGGGGGTCCACTGTACTTCTAAAGATGCTCAGCTCTTCATAAGCAGCCAAAATGAATTCTCAGGTACAGTATTGTATCAAGTTGCTATCAGCATCTTCAATATTCTACCTGCCATATTTCAGCAATGTGTGATAGCCTTTTGGTTGGCTTTAGGTCAATGACAGCATTATCGTAGGCAAATATAAGTGTCTGAAAACTGTATTACAGAAATGAAAGAATGGGAGAGGAGGAGGTAGTAAATGCTATAACTACTAGAAACGTTAAAAACCTTAATGATACTTTATACTGAAGATGGTAAAGAATGAGCTTAGCTCTGTTAGGGTAGACATAAATAATCATAGAAAAAGACTGAGTGCCAGAACAGATAAGTAGGAGACCGAGTTAAGAATAATAGAGGAAAGACGCAGCATAGTGAAAAACCCAGTGAGGTAGGTTGGTAGGTGTTGGTAGGTGAATGGATGAGCAGGCGGGCAGATGGGTAGGTAGATGGGTGGGTGGGTAGGTAGGTAGGTAGGTAGGTAGGTAGGTAGGTGGGTAGGTAGGTAGGTAGGTAGGTAGGGTGGTAGGTAGGTAGGTAGGTGGGGTAGGTAGGTAGGTAGGTAGGTAGGTAGGTAGGTAGGTAGGTGGGTAGGTAGGGAGGTGGGGGGGGTGGGTAGGTAGGTAGGTGGTGGTGGGTGGGTGGGTGGGTGGGTGGGTAGGTAGGTAGGTTTGGTGGGTGGGTAGTAGGTAGGTGGGTGGGTGGGTAGGTGGGTGGGTAGGTGGGTGGTAGGTAGGTGGTAGGTGGGTGGGTAGGTGGGTGGGTAGGTGGGTGGGTAGGTAGGTGGGTGGGTGGGGGTGGGTAGGTGGGTGGGTGGGTAGGTGGGTGGGTGGGTGGGGAGGTGGGTGGGTGGGTGGGTGGGTGGGTAGGTGGGTGGGTGGGTAGGTGGGTGGGTGGGTAGGTGGTGGGTGGGATAGGTGGGTGGGTGGTAGGTGGGTGGGTGGGTAGGTGGGTGGGTGGGTAGGTGGGTGGGTAGGGGGTGGGTGGGTGGGGGGGTGGGTGGGGGTGGGTAGGGGGGGGTGGGTGGTGGGTGGGTGGGTGGGTGGGGGGGTTTGGTGGGGGGGGTGGTGGGTGGGTGGGTGGGTGGGGGGGTGGGTGGGTGGGGGGGGTGGGGTGGGGGGTGGGTGGGTAGGTGGGTGGGTGGGTGGTGGGTGGGTGGGTAGGTGGTGGGTGGGGGGGTGGTAGGTAGGTGGGGGGGTGGGTGGAGGGGGTGGGTAGGGGTGGGTTTGGGGGGTGGGGTGGGTGGTGGGTGGGTGGGTGGTGGGTAGGTAGGTAGGTAGGTAGGTAGGTGGGTAGGTGGGTGGGTGGGTGGGTGGGTAGGTGGTAGGTAGGGGGTAGGTAGGTAGGTAGGTAGGTGGTAAGTGGTAGGTAGGTAGGTAGGTAGGTGGGTAGGTAGGTGGGTAGGTAGGTGGGTGGGTTAGGTGGGTAGGGGGGGGTAGGTAGGTGGGTGGTAGGTGGTGGGTAGGTGGGTGGGTAGGTGGGTGGGTAGGTAGGGGGGATAGGTAGGTGGGTGGGGTGGGTAGGTAGGTGGTGGTAGGTAGTAGGGGTGGGTAGGTAGGTAGGTAGGTAGGTAGGTGGGTAGGTAGGTGGGTAGGTAGGTGGGTGGGTAGGTAGGTAGGGGGTAGGTAGGTAGGTGGGTAGGTAGGTGGGTAGGTAGGTGGGTAGGTAGGTGGGTAGGTAGGTAGGTGGGTAGGTGGGTAGGTAGGTGGGTAGGTAGGTAGGTGGGTAGGTAGGTAGGTGGGTAGGTAGGTGTGTATAAGTAACATTCAAGCAATAGGTAACTCATCACTATTAAATTTTCCTACATACATCTTGCATATTTAGGCACTAACAGAATAAAATGTTATGACTTCCAAATTTCCCGAGGACTTAGTTACACTGGTGCTACTTTACTAATATTTAAAATTAGCATAATTAACAACAGATAAATAAAATCAGAAAATCAATTAACTTACTTTCAAATCTATTAACAGGTGTGAAATCCTCTCTAGTATAAACCCGTACTGTAGCAATTGTCTGTGGATCATCCTCTACTACAGTTAAGCCATGTTCGTGAGCCCATGTAACAGTATCAATGCAGGACAACATATGAAGTGCAACCTGTGTAACACATGGGTCAAGATTCAAGTACAAATTTAAGAAGTAATCAAAAAAAAAAAAAAAATGCTATATAAAATACATTAGGTAAGGCACTGCTAAGAACTGTAAGAACATGGTAAACAATGCAGCGGTCTATTCAATAAATACTGACAAGTAAAGCAAATAACCAAGTTTAGCTAATCACTTTCCCTGACTCCATTCATTAAAGCTACTTAGTTCACACTTCAACAGCACATCCATTAAAAACAACTTTTCTCCATTCGCTTTTATCTAAAATGCTCACACAAGCCTGCTGGATGCTCAAGCCCCTAAAACTCAAAACTGGATTATATGGGATTTCCACTCATTTTAAGGTTATTTTGCATTATTTTCATTATTTTTTGTCCTTATTTGTAAACTCAAATGAAAATATGATCATCAATCCTATTAGAGCACCTTAACAGGGCTGTGTATCAGATTATCAACTGTTTATTTTAGCACATGATGAGATACCATAGCATTTCATCATGTGCTGAAATAAGCAGTAGTGAGCCAACAGTTAGTCACCCATATCTGGGTGAAAAAAAAGATAGCAGGCTAGTGTTATTATTTTGTAGCTGCTCTAAGACCAACTCATCTCAGCACCAGTAGCAAAGTTCAATAAAAGAATCTCTGTATACTGTGAAGATTACGTATATCTATGGAATGAGCTAACCCTTCCAAACACTTGGGAAAGAACCTAAGAGTGTGTTAGTTCTTTTTTAATAACTCTCCTGTAAAACTGAACATATGGGAAGCAGGACTGTGTAACACTGAGGAAAGTTTGTCCAAGAGGTATAACTTACGGTCCTACCATGATACAGATGGCTAGTGAGTTACTGAAGGACCTTCAAGCTGAACACTGGGCTGCCAGTGTCCCTCATAATTTGTATCTTGAAATTGCACTCTGACTCCTAGGGCCTATCTGGGTGGACTCTCCATTGCCCAGGAACAGATCCTTGTATGTATTACAGGGTTGTGAGGTTGTAAATCTAGAAACTCAAGTCCTAACTACCATAGTTCTCTTTGGAGACCTGGGATGCCTTCCAGGCAACCAAAATGCACAAGATATCTCTTTCCTGTCTCAAACCAAACATAAATCTCAAGTAGAACGTATATAAGTACAGCTGATCCCCCCCCCCCCCCCCACTCCCCAGTTCATGAGATTACATTCCTAGAGGTCTTATGTATCTGAAAAAATGTAGAAAAGACACTAAAAAAATATTTCTTCACAAATAATTGTAAATAGCTGGAATGAAATAAAAGATAAAGCAGTATGTACTATGACTACTGGAAACAAAATGTCTACATGAAAAACTAAAAAGTGAATACAAGACACCATGATCTCACACTCACTGATGAAAATACACACACTTATCTATACTACTCATCTTTCTCCTTAACTTCACTCAATCCTCTCACTGCTTGTTGACAGTCTGTTTCTACCACACACCTGTGCCCGAGAAACTTGGTACTCGGGTAATATAGGAAGAGATAATTCTGGTGAGAGAAGATCTCTAAGACCATCCTGGAGTCCGCCATTCGTCAGCCTCTGGGCCTCTGCTGCCACTATATTGTAACAGTGCACATCTTGACAACAGTTGTCATAGCTGCCAAGCCAAAATATATATAAATGAATGCCCAAATTTTTATTTATTACTGTACTACATAATTTTATATGAACCATATATTCTAAATAACATATCATATATAATTTTTAGAGCAAGGGGTTAGTAACCCCTTCTTCAGTATATATTACTAAATTTAAAAGGAGAAACTTTAGTTTTTCCTTTTGGGCCAACCTGCCTTGATGGGATACAGCCAGTTTGTTGAAAGAAGATATAATTTTTAATGGTTATGTATATATAATTGTTCCATAAGTGTTACTGAAAACATGGTAAATTATCAAAAGTTGTTGCACTGGTTCTTGTCTATAATACTGTAACCATGTCTTAAATATAGACTAATGTCTATATGTGGCACAGAAATTCATTTGACATATGATGAAATGCAGTGGCAGTAATTAATTTATACAAGAGTGGCATACATGATACTGTATACCTACTGAGACTTGTAATAATGCTGAAAATGTACTGTTTTCACTCACACTCTTTTTTTATTAAATCATTTTGCATAATTCTACTTGTTTACCTTCCAGCTACAAAACAGATGTTTGTACTCTCCAACCACTTCACTGGATTCTATATCAACATCTTCAACATCCACTGCACACACTGAATCAGGTACAAGTACACAAATGGGTATTATCTTCTGAAAACATTGTGAATTTTCATATTTTTGATGATTTTGTTTCTCTTAACCTACTTGCTTGTACCATTTTCTGATTGAATGGAATTTCTTTTATAAACAACCTATAATTCTCTCCAAATTCGCTATAATTTTTCTAATGCTAACTCTGTATGTCCAAACATTTATAGTAGTTAGTAAAACATTCACATTCTTAAAAAATCAATAAACATCAGTTATTCATGAGCAGGACTATCACACTCAAGCATGTCATGAATGTCTTTCTTACACATGTCAGAGACTGATTTACATATCTTTAGCTGGATAAATGATAGTGTAAGCCTGCAAATAGTGAAAAAAAAAAAATGCAGAGAAACATTTATCACATTTCGTCCAGGACTGGACTTCATCCTAGATAATCTCCAGTCCTGGATGAAGCTTTGCAATCAAAGTTTCTCTACAATATTTATTACAATATTTCATTTTGGCACTGATTATCTTCCTTAATTTTTCCTTTACCCTTCAAGGAAAATTAAGCTCCATAAACTTACCTAGCAGGCTATATTTAATATCATGGTAATAGTAGTAACAAGTACATATTAACAAGTTCCAGCGGCTTTACTGATCAAGATAAATTTGATAAAAATGAATTTGATAAAAAAAATACCACTAATTCTTGAAACCAATTGTTCCTCAAGCGGGTGAGCGGAGTATAGCCTCTCCTCACTTAGCAACAAACTCGTTTACCAACAACTCTGACTTATGACAGGCTCTCTAATCAGTGTGCATACCTAAATAATGTATATTAGAGCTGATTTCCTCTATACTGTTTATTACAGTATACAGTACACTACTGTATAAACATTTAAAAATATACTAAAAAATGTTGTAAATGGTGCAAGGGTGACATTAAAGCAATAACAAAGATGGTTGACACAAATCCACTACCATTATAGTATGCTCTTCGCTTAGCAATGAATTCATTTACCGACACAGTCTAAAACAGAATTCTGTCATTAACCGTTTCAGGGTCGAGAGGCCCTCTCCTAAACTCGTTCTCAGGGTCAAAAATTTTTTGGAAAAAAAAAAAATTATTTTTTCTTATGAAATGATAGAGAATCATTTCCCGATCATAATGACACCAAAAGTATGAAATTTGATGGAAAACTTACGGAATTATGCTCTCACGAAGTTAGTGGTCTCGACGATGTTTATGCATCGTCGATTTCGCTCACTTTGAGCCCTATTTTCAGTCAATTCCTTTGTACTAATCGACAAAAATCATATTTATTTCGCTAGAACTCCATTTTTTCTATCGAATGAGTACAAGAAACCACCCATTTACCAATTTCAACTATCCAATAAAGTGGTTAGAAATTGGCAATTTTGCCAATTTCACACAAATTTCAGAAGATGCCAATTTCTAAATAGGGTCCAGAATAAACAAGACAGACATTCCTGGCACTAAAATAACAAGTTCTCTGTTCGTCAGTCATGTCCCCAGGCCCCTCTTACATTTCTTTTGTTTCCACTTTGAATTTTTATTTTCACAAAAAATAAAAGATTTACTTTTATGCAGACTACTGCATTAGTGTAGAAATGGTATAAATAATATCAGTGCACTTGTGAAAGAATATTCGACTCACCAGTTGACGTGTATTGGATGCTTGGCATGATTTGTTTACTTTTGAACTTTGGTAAAAATTGAACATTTCTGCTACTTTGAGCTCAATTTCAAGGTACTTTTCTTTGTGAAACCAATCAATATCATCTCAATTTCTGTAATATGTCTTCCATTCTATAAAATGAGACCATGAAAACGAGAAAACAACCATAAATACCATACGAAAATACAGTGCAAAAATCGCTGTTTTAATCCAAAAACACGGTCAAAGTTTTTTTTTTCTCATTATGCACTGTGTGCTGCAGGATTTTTTTTTATACTGCGCACACTGACCACATAGACCCATTCTTTCATATGTAGGCCTACCAGCTTTCTCTTGCTAGATTTGAAGGCGCAAGAATTTAGGCATTCTAGTACGTCAATAACCCTGGTGCGTAAGCCGTACTAGTACGTCAGAAACCCTGAAAGGGTTAAGTGAGGAGAGGCTGTAGTTATAAGGCAGTAACATTATCTTGCATTGTTTATGTAGCTTGACTTTGTAAGTGCAATGCTGCCTAGCCTTAGAGTAAAATGTTTTTGAAACTATTTGTTGATAATTTCTTGACAAAGTCTGTATGTGTGCTCAAATTGTAATTAATAAATAAATAAATAAATAAATAAATACCTTGTATATAACAGGCAAGGTTTTGACACCGTAGAGAGCTCATGGGCTTATCTTATGTGGATTACAAGGAGCTTGTATTTGTTTGTACACACTGTAATACATTTGCACAATATTTAAGATATTTGTATCAGTTAACCCTTAAACTGTCCAAACAAATTTACGTTCACATGTGTAGTGCTCCAAAAGTAGATCTACGTTATTTTACACATTTTCAAAAAAAAAAAAAAAAAAAGTAGATTAAATTTCTTTTTACACATTTTCAAATGTAAAAAAAAAAAAAAGATCTACGTTTTTTTACATACTTTCAATTTATTTATTTATTATCACACTGGCCAATTCCCACCAAGGCAGGGTGGCCCGAAAAAGAAAAACTTTCACCATCATTCACTCCATCACTGTCTTGCCAGAAGGGTGCTTTACACTACAGTTTTTAAACTGCAACATTAACACCCCTCCTTCAGAGTGCAGGCACTGTACTTCCCATCTCCAGGACTCAAGCCCGGCCTGCCGGTTTCCCTGAACCCCTTCATAAATGTTACTTTGCTCACACTCCAACAGCACGTCAAGTATTAAAAACCGTTTGTCTCCATTCACTCCTACCAAACACGCTCACGCATGCCTGCTGGAAGTCCAAGCCCCTCGCACACAAAACCTCCTTTACCCCCTCCCTCCAACCTTTCCTAGGCCGACTCCTACCCCGCCTTCCTTCCACTACAGACTGATACACTCTTGAAGTTATTCTGTTTCGCTCCATTCTCTCCACATGTCCGAACCACCTCAACAACCCTTCCTCAGCCCTCTGGACAACAGTTTTGGTAATCCCGCACCTCCTCCTAACTTCCAAACTACGAATTCTCTGCATTATATTCACACCACACATTGCTCTCAGACATGACATCTCCACTGCCTCCAGCCTTCTCCTTGCTGCAACATTCATCACCCATGCTTCACACCCATATAAGAGCGTTGGTAAAACTAAACTCTCATACATTCCCCTCTTTGCCTCCAAGGACAAAGTTCTTTGTCTCCACAGACTCCTAAGTGCACCACTCACCCTTTTCCCCTCATCAATTCTATGATTCACCTCATCTTTCATAGACCTATCCGCTGACACGTCCACTCCCAAATATCTGAATACATTCACCTCCTCCATACTCTCTCCCTCCAATCTGATATCCAATCTTTCATCACCTAATACTTTCAAATGTTGAAAAAACGTAGATCTACGTTTGGACAGTTTAAGGGTTAAATTTAAACATATGATCCGAAGTTACCAGAGAGTTTAGAAATAGAAATGTTTAGTGCTGATAAAATACAGTAGAAGTAAGAACAAAACATGAAGAAATACATTTTATTACCTCCACAGCACATTATACACAGGATCAAGGCATATGGTGTGCCCAGTGAAGCATATCTGGTCTTGAGTGGAAAAGCTGCGACACTGCCCATCAGATCGGCTAATAACTAGACATTTCCATCCTTCTTCCTCCTCCTTTTTTCCACCAACTGGTAACAATACTGAAAGAAATAAAGCAATAGCTTGAATTCTCTTATTGTCACAACAGGAGACAATTAGATGAAATACATTTTAATCAGTGACTCTGATTGAAGGAGGATTTGTCACTGTTGCTCTCTGATGATGACAGTTCTCTCTGGATTGGTAGAGGAACTTGGGAATGTGTGTAAAAGAAGGAAACGAAAAGTGAACAGAGAAAAAGAGCAAAGTGATGAAAGTAAGAAAATCTAGGCAATGAAAGACTAGTTATCATATTGGAGGGAGGGAGTATGGAGGAAATGAATGTATTTAGATATCTGGGCATAGACATGTCAATAAATGGGTCTGCAAAAGATGAGGTGAAGCAAAGAATGGACAAGGGGGGCAAAAAGGTAGGTGAAGTATTGAGGCATCTGTGGAAAGACATTTATCCATGGAGGAAATGTACCAGAGTAGTGGTACCAACACTTTTATATAGGTGTGAAGCATGAACTTTAAACACAGCAGTGAAGGAGGGGCTTGAGGAAGAGGTGGTGTCAGGTTTGAGAGCAACAGGAAGATTAAATATTATACAGATAATTTAAGAGCGTATAAATTGGAAGATAGTGTGAGATTACCAGAGGTATAATTCAGAGGGCAAAGGAGTGGTTGTTGAAGTGGTTTGGGCATTTCAAGAGGGGGCAAAATACTATGACGAAGTGGGTATATAAAGCCAGGATGAAAGGAAGGACGGGTAGAGGTCATCTCATGAAAAGTTAGAGGGACAGTTTAAAGGTTTTGAGAGCTAGGGGCTTGAGCATCCACCAAGCTTAAGAACATGCTTGATCCGAGTGGAGACAAGTGGTTTTTACAGCTTGACATGCTGCTGGAGTGAGCAAAATAACATTTATGAAGGGATTAAGGAAAACTGGTTAACCGGACCTGGGTCCTAGAGGTGTGAGAAAGAGAACCCGCACTCTGAGAGAGGGGTGGTGATTTTGGAGTTTGAAGGGTCTTTGAATTGTGATGTCTATGCACTTCTGGCAAGAGAGTTATTGAATAAATGGTGGTCAATATGTTTTCCTTTTTTTGGGTCATCTTACCATGGTGGTAAACTAGTATAGTAAGAAAAAAAAAGACTAAATTAATTTTATAATCAAAGTTAGTATGGCTTATCAAGAGCCCTCAGACAAAAATGAAACTGTATCTAGGAAGGTACTTAGAAATGTTAGATGTTTATAAATATTTATTACATAACATAAACACTTGATTCCAGTTTCAGGTGGATACATTGTAACCACTCACATTGTCTTTCAGTCATCCACTGAATCTTATTAGACTACCAAATAGAGCAGATATAACTTGTCCTTCATTTTTCAAGGTAAGAGGATTCTCTGAACAATAAATTAACTTGTCTGCACAATGAAAGTTACGAAATGTTGGAGCACAGAATCATGTGAGCCAAACAAAGTGGGGGAGGACTCCTCCATTCACAATTTCAAGAAGAGGTATGACAGAGCCCAGGAGGCCAGAATCTATTAGACTTCAGTCAAGTAAACCCAAGAGACAGGGTCAGAAGCTGTGTCTCAGTCCCCACAACAACATAAATACATATACTGTATTCACCTAAACAATTGCTGTTGGCAACAACAGCAGCAGCACTAAGATTATGAGCATTGATGAGACTTTGATCTAGCTTAACGTAAGTGACATCAGCAGATACACCAATCCATGTTGCTCGACATCCAAGTCTTGGTCCAATGCCAGGAACCAGGCCAGGCACAGAGTACCAGGGGCAACGGCCACGACTACTGCCTTCCCCGGCATCACTCTGAGGGGCACCTCGACCAAGTTGACCTTTCTGCAAAACATAAAAATATGCTTGATCAGATTACAGCAAACTCTAGTGCAGCATGTGTTTTACTATGCATTTTTATCAAGGCACTGTTTATGTAATGAAGCCACAGCATTTTAGAGCATAACCATATCTTAACAGGGCATTGTTGAGCCTGGGAGAGAATTACAAAACTTTTCTCCGGTAATGCTCATAAACAAAGTAACTTCAGTAATATATGTTAGGATGGCAAATATGAGGATAGCCTTCTAAAATCTTAACAGACTCTTTAAGATCACTTTTCACTACATATGCACAACTATTCTTTGTGTATGCAGTGAGAGTGTGCAGAACCCTCACCTACCCAAAAACAAAGCAAAACTAGAAATTCTGATGTATGCCTCTATGTAAATAATAAAAATAAACATATCTGTTACCAACCTAATCTGCACAATATTACAACTGTGAAATGCATACATCTATAATTATTACTGTACTGGCATTATTGCTATTATTATTATTATTATTATTATTATTATTAGTTAAGGTTCAATTTTGATTCTTACCTGAAAATCTCCACAACTGTAAATTTGTCCATTTGAAGTTAAGAAAACTGTATGATTGCTTCCTGCAGCCACTTGTGTCACACGTACATTAGGAGGCAAGCGAATCATGACTGGAGATCCCCGTGAAATCAGATCCCCGACTCCAAGCTGACCATAGCTATTGCTCCCCCATGTGTACGTCTCTCCGTTGGCACACAAAACAACTGTGTAAGCATGATGGTTTATAAATATTATGAAATAACTCATGGAATGGGCAGGATTCGAGCTCATGGCAAGCCAGTCCTAAAAGTGGCTTGCCAACAGTTTGAATCCCGTCTGCGAGCTATTTACAATTATGTTTTTAAGACTTCATGAATCATAAACTGCTTTAAAGTTCATAAACACCTTAGTAAAATTAAATATTACTGACAATGGTTTAAAACTGCAATTCATACTGGAAAACAGAACTGTCAAGATTTGAAAATAGTTTCCGTGTCCATATTGCACTAGTTTAAGAAGAATACAGCATCAAAGGTTTTCTATACAAGTATAAATGGTATATTTTGATAATCACATATACAATACTGCACTTATTCTGAGCAATATTAAATTGTAGACTGTATTAAGTACTCTTATTATGGCTTTATATATACAATATAGAGTGGGAGAGGCACTGTTAAGAAATTTTAATGAAAATAAGAAAAAATTTTGGAGTGAGTTAAACAAGTTAAGAAAGCCTAGGGAAAGTATGGATTTGTCAGTTAAAAACAGAGTAGGGGAGTTAGTAGATGGGGAGATGGAGGTATTAGGTAGATGGCGAGAATATTTTGAGGAACTTTTAAATGTTAAGGAAGAAACAGAGGCAGTAATTTCATGCACTGGTCAGGGAGGTATACCATCGTTTAGGAGTGAAGAAGAGCAGAATGTAAGTGTGGGGGAGGTACGTGAGGCATTACGTAAAATGAAAGGGGGTAAAGCAGCTGGAACTGATGGGATCATGACAGAAATGTTAAAAGCAGGGGGGGATATAGTGTTGGAGTGGCTGGTACTTTTGTTTAATAAATGTATGAAAGAGGGGAAGGTACCTAGGGATTGGCGGAGAGCATGTATAGTCCCTTTATATAAAGTGAAAGGGGACAAAAGAGACTGTAAAAATTATAGAGGAATAAGTTTACTGAGTATACCAGGAAAAGTGTACGGTAGGGTTATAATTGAAAGAATTAGAGGTAAGACAGAATGTAGGATTGCGGATGAGCAAGGAGGTTTCAGAGTGGGTAGGGGATGTGTAGATCAAGTGTTTACATTGAAGCATATATGTGAACAGTATTTAGATAAAGGTAGGGAAGTTTTTATTGCATTTATGGATTTAGAAAAGGCATATGATAGAGTGGATAGAGGAGCAATGTGGCAGATGTTGCTAGTATATGGAATAGGTGGTAAGTTATTAAATGCTGTAAAGAGTTTTTATGAGGATAGTGAGGCTCAGGTTAGGGTGTGTAGAAGAGAGGGAGACTACTTCCCGGTAAAAGTAGGTCTTAGACAGGGATGTGTAATGTCACCATGGTTGTTTAATATATTTATAGATGGGATTGTAAAGGAAGTAAATGCTAGGGTGTTCGGGAGAGGGGTGGGATTAAATTTTGGGGAATCAAATTCAAAATGGGAATTGACACAGTTATTTTTTTGCTGATGATACTGTGCTTTTGGGAGATTCTAAAGAAAAATTGCAAAGGTTAGTGGATGAGTTTGGGAATGTGTGTAAAGGTAGAAAGTTGAAAGTGAACATAGAAAAGAGTAAGGTGATGAGGGTGTCAAATGATTTAGATAAAGAAAAATTGGATATCAAATTGGGGAGGAGGAGTATGGAAGAAGTGAATGTTTTCAGATACTTGGGAGTTGACGTGTCGGCGGATGGATTTATGAAGGATGAGGTTAATCATAGAATTGATGAGGGAAAAAAGGTGAGTGGTGCGTTGAGGTATATGTGGAGTCAAAAAACGTTATCTATGGAGGCAAAGAAAGGAATGTATGAAAGTATAGTAGTACCAACACTCTTATATGGGTGTGAAGCTTGGGTGGTAAATGCAGCAGCGAGGAGGTGGTTGGAGGCAGTGGAGATGTCCTGTTTAAGGGCAATGTGTGGTGTAAATATTATGCAGAAAATTCGGAGTGCGGAAATTAGGAAAAGGTGTGGAGTTAATAAAAGTATTAGTCAGAGGGCAGAAGAGGGGTTGTTGAGGTGGTTTGGTCATTTGGAGAGAATGGATCAAAGTAGAATGACATGGAAAGCATATAAATCTATAGGGGAAGGAAGGCGGGGTAGGGGTCGTCCTCGAAAGGGTTGGAGAGAGGGGGTAAAGGAGGTTTTGTGGGCAAGGGGCTTGGACTTCCAGCAAGCGTGCGTGAGCGTGTTAGATAGGAGTGAATGGAGACGAATGGTACTTGGGACCTGACGATCTGTTGGAGTGTGAGCAGGGTAATATTTAGTGAAGGGATTCAGGGAAACCGGTTATTTTCATATAGTCGGACTTGAGTCCTGGAAATGGGAAGTACAATGCCTGCACTTTAAAGGAGGGGTTTGGGATATTGGCAGTTTGGAGGGATATGTTGTGTATCTTTATATGTGCATGCTTCTAAACTGTTGTATTCTGAGCACCTCTGCAAAAACAGTGATAATGTGCAAGTGTGGTGAAAGTGTTGAATGATGATGAAAGTATTTTCTTTTTGGGGATTTTCTTTCTTTTTTGGGTCACCCTGCCTCGGTGGGAGACGGCCGACTTGTTGAAAAAAAAAATATATATATATATACAATACTAATTTTGGAGCGAGATAAACAAGTTAAGAAAGCCTAGGGAAAGAATGGATTTGTCAGTTAAAAACAGAGTAGGGGAGTTAGATGGGGAGATGGAGGTATTGGGTAGATGGCGGGAATATTCTGAGGGACTTTTAAATGTCGACGAAGAAAGGGAGGCGGTAATTTCATGCACTGGCCAGGGAGGTATACAATCTTTTAGGAGTGAAGAAGAGCAGGATGTAAGTGTGGGGGAGGTGCGTGAGGTATTACATAGAATGTTAGGGGGTAAAGCAGCTGGAACTGACGGGATCATGACAGAAATGTTAAAAGCGGGGGAGGGGGGGGATATAGTGTAGGAGTGGTTGATATTTTTGTTTAATAAATGTATGAAAGAAGGGAAGGTACCTAGGGATTGGCAGAGAGCATGTATAATTCCTTTATATAAAGGGAAGGGTGACAAAAGAGATCGTAAAAATTATTGAGGAATAAGTTTACTGAGTATACCAGGAAAAGTGTATGGTAGGGCTATTATTGAAAGCCTTAGAAGCAAGACAGAATGTAGGATTGCAGATGAGCAAGGAGGTTTTAGAGTGGGTAGGGGATGTGTAGATCAAGTGTTTACATTGAAGCATATATGTGAACAGTATTTAGTTAAAGGTAGGAAAGTTTTCATTGCATTTATGGATTTAGAAAAGGCATATGATAGAGTGGATAGGGGAGCAATGTGGCAGAAATGGCAAGTATATGGAATAGGTAGTAAGTTACTAAATGCTGTAAAGAATTTTTATGAGGATAGTGAGGCTCAGGTTAGGGTGTGTAGAAGAGACGGAGACTATTTCCCGGTAAAAGTAGGTCTTAGACAGGGATGTGCAATGTCACCATGGTTGTTAAATATAGTATTTATAGATGCAGTTGTAAAGGAAGTAAATGCTAATGTGTTGGAGAGAGGGGTGGGATTAAATTATGGGGAATCAAACACAAAATGGGAATTGACACAGTTACTTTTTGCTGATGATACTGTGCTTATGGGAGATACTAAAGAAAAGTTGCAAAGGTTAGTGGACGAGTTTGGGAGTATGTGTAAAGGTAGAAAGTTGAAAGTGGACAAAAGAGTAAGGTGATGAGGGTATCAAATGATTTAGATAAATAAAAATTGGATATCAAATTGGAGAGGAGGAGTATGGAAGAAGTGAATGTTTTCAGATATTTGGGAGTTGACGTGTCAGCGGATGGATTTATGAAGGATAAGGTTAACCATAAAACTGATGAGTGGTGCATTGAGGTATATGTGGAGACAAAAAACATCATCTATGGAGGCAAAGAAGGGAATGTATTAAATTATATTGGTACCAACATTCTTATATGGGTGTGAAGCTTGGGTTGTTAACGCTGCAGTGAGGAGGCGATGGAGATGTCCTGTCTAAGGGCAATGTGTGGTGTAAATTTTATGCAGAGAATTCAGAGTGTGGAAATTAGGAGGTGTGGAGTTCATAAAAGTATTAGTCAGAGGTCTGAAGAGGGGTTGTTGAGGTGGTTTGGTCATTTAAGAGAGAATGATCAAAATAGAATGACATGGAGAGCGTATAAATCTGTAGGGGAAGGAAGGCAGGGTAGGGGTAGTCCTCGAAAAGGTTGGAGGGAGGGGGTAAAGGAGGTTTTGTAGGCGAGGGGCTTGGACTTCCAGCAAGCATGCGTGAGCGTGTTAGATAGGAGTGAATGGAGACGAATGGTATTTGAGACCTGACGAGCTGTTGGGGTGTGAGCAGGGTAATATTTAGTGAAGGGATTCAGGGAAACCGGTTATTTTTATATAGCCGGACTCATGTACTGGAAATGGGAAGTACAATGCCTGCATTTTAAAGGAGGGGTTTGGTATATGCTTCTGAACTATTGTGTTCTGGGCACCTCTGCAAAAACAGTGATTATGTATGAGTGAGGTGAAAGTGTTGAATGATGATGAAAGTATTTTCTTTTTGGGGATTTTTTCTTTCTTTTTGGGTCACCCTGCCTCGGTGGGAGACGGCCAACTTGTTAAAAAAAAAATATACAATACTGAACGGGAAGTCCTCAATGTCATTTCGTTATAACTTTAATGAGAAAAAGAAATCAATTCCTGGTTAGGAATGGAAAATATAGAAAGATTTAAATACTATCTGGATGGTGAACATGCATCATATAACTCTCCATGTCTGCTAATAGCCATACAAATGAAAGCTTTAAGTTTATTTCAAGATCTAAAGAAAAAACAGGGTTCTAGTGATGAAAGTGAAACCTTTGTGGCAAGTTGTGGTTGTTTTGAATGTTTCAAGAAATATTTTTACCTGCATAACATACAAATAACAGGCAAATCTGAAAGTGCTGACAAAGTAGCCACAGCTGCTTTCCCAGCTTTACTATTATGTCAATTTCCTCTCTTATGGATGTTTAATGATATGTAGCGTGTTTCTAATATATTTCTGAAAAAATATGATACCTAAAATGATAAAATGTCAATAACAGAATAAATATACGACTCTATAGCACCCCAGAGTGACATTCTCCATAGTCATGGCATCTACAGCACTACTGCCCTTCCTCTCAGCTCTCCCTTGCCGTAGGAACTTAACTCTTTGCTTATATCACTTAGCCTATGGTAAAATTGGTTTTTGTTATACATTGTTTCCCTTAAAGTCACAGTTTCCAAGAACCTATCAATGACGTTGAGTGAGCACTTCCTCTACTTATTTTCGGCAATATTAGTTTTCTAGTTTGGTTTGAAGATAATATGCAGATTATAACCATCTTCCTGAAGGACTGGCTACTAAAACCTACATAGTTAAAAATATCCAGTTACAAAATGAATATACAGCCTTCCTCATTTTCACAAAAGTTTAGAACCTAGGATAAGTTAACAGATAATACCGAGTAAAAATTTTTTTGAGCGATTTACGATCATAAACTATAGTTTACCATAATAAGAGTGTTCCTACCAGAATGATGAAGGCCACAGGTAACTTGTATCACAGGTGAGGAGCCAGTCAAGTGGACCCTTGCTGGAGACAGCGCAGCAATCTTGCTTGCATCTCTCTCCTGGTCACTCCCAATTCCATCTTCTGCTACTGTAGAGACATTATTTCAAAGTTTAAACAATGTGAATAGAAATTAGATGATAATACAATATAGTAGTGGTTCACAGAAATTATGGAGTCTGTAATAGGAGATATATCTTACTAACAACTAAATAAAATGCAATAGTTTAAGGGTGTATTTCTGGTATGGCATTGCCAACAGATAAAAGAGGAGGAAAAAGGCATCACAGTGCTTTTTGGCCCATGAGATCTCCTGTCAAACAGGTCATCCTGCATGGCCCTGTTTCTCCTTCTTTACAGGCAGGCCTAATTAGCTAATTACTGTATTAGCAAAGTGAGCTGTGGAAACTATTTAGTGATGTGATAGACAATTTAAGGATAGATCTTGCCACTTAATAAGAGCCACCACTGCTTATGCATAAGCTGCTTTCAAATAGGTGATCTCTCTGATCGCTCTTGTGTGTATTAGAGGATCACTCATACTTTAGGAAAACATTAAATTCAACTGTCACTAAGTTTATCAAATTAAATATATGTATAATGAATGAAATCTACACCATGATGTATATTAATTTATGCCTCAGTTTCAGAAGAATTTTTTGAAAAAAAAAAAAAAAAAAACAGAGGTACCTATGGCACATTATCTTGTCATTTCTGGGTCAGATATGAGAGAATTTAGAGGATAGACCTAAGGCACTTGGAAGAATGGAGACCTTACCAACACAGTTAATAGTCTGATGAACGGCTGAGATGTCCAGAGAAATTAGAATCAAGATTATATCTATGTTATGTGATGGGTTCTGGGGTTCATTGCCTCTGCAGCCTAGTTTCAGACTAGGCTTCCTAAATTGGAAAGAAAATATTGCAGGAATAAGAGCTAATAAGAAGTACACAGAAAAAGATATGTGAAAATATAGTGGGTGTAAGCAGAAGTTTGTAGGATAAGATTTACCTGCCAGCAAATCTGTCAAAGTGCAAAACCTTTAATTAGCAATTTTCCATTTTGCACTCAATGACAGGAGGATAGTACAGTACCTCCCTGGACGAGTGTTGTCTACAAACCTATTACAGTACCTCTTGCCAACCTTTTTTTTTTTTTTTTTTCAACAAGTCGGCCGTCTCCCACCGAGGCAGGGTGAACCAAAAAAAAAAAGAAAGAAAATCCCCAAAAAGAAAATATTTTCATCATCATTCAACACTTTCACCACACTCACACATTATCACTGTTTTTGCAGAGGTGCTCAGAATACAACAGTTTAGAAGCATATACGTATAAAGATACACAACACATCCCTCCAAACTGCTAATATTCCAAACCCCTCCTTTAAAGTGCAGGCATTGTACTTCCCATTTCCAGGACTCAAGTCCGACTATATGAAAATAACCGGTTTCCCTAAATCCCTTCACTAAATATTACCCTGCTCACGCTCCAACAGATCGTCAGGTCCCAAGTACCATTCGTCTCCATTCACTCCTATCTAACACGCTCACGCACGCTTGCTGGAAGTCCAAGCCACTCGCCCACAAAACCTCCTTTACCCCCTCTCTCCAACCCTTTCGAGGACGACCCCTACTTGCCAACCTATTACCTATTAATGACTTATTCAGACTAACAGAATTGAATCATGCCACTATTCATTCTCCTCAATTTTTTTTTATTTAATATATGAGTGTATAGTGGTATTAACACTTTTATATCAGTGTGAGGTATGGGTTTCAAATGATGCAGCAAGGAGGTGGCTAGTGCAAGTGAAGATGTCATATTTGAGAGCAATGTATAGTATGAATGTCGTGCAGAAAATTCGGAATGTAGAAATTAAGAGGCAACGTGGGGTCACCAAGGGTATAATTTGGAGGGCTGAGAAAGGGTTGGTGAGGTAGTTTAGGCATGTAGAGAGAATGGAGAGGGATAGGATGATGAAGAGGATGTATAAATCTTGGGTAGGGGCCATCCCAGGAATGGTTTGTAAGAGGGGGTAAATGAGGCTTTGACTTTTAAGGGCTTGAGTATCTAGCAGGCTTGAATGTTGCAACCCCCAATCCCGAGGTGTCTCCTGGTGTTGCAAAAAAAAAAAAAAAAAAAAAAAAAAAAAATCTTTTCCCGATTGTAATGACACCAAAAAAACGAAATTTGATGGAAAACTGGCAGAATTACGCTCTCGCAAAGTTAGCGACCTCGGCGATATTTACAAATTGGCGATTTCGCCCAGTTTGAGCCCTATTTTTCAGCTAATTCCATTGTTCCAGTCGACCAAACTCACAGATATTTCTTTAGAACTCCATTTTTTCTATCGATAGAGTACAAGAAACTGCCCATTTACCTATTTTAACTACCCAATAACGTGATCAGAAATTTGTAATTTGGTCAATTTCACGAAAATTAAAAAATATGACAATTTCAAAACAGGGTCCAGAATGAACAATGCAGACATTCCTGGCTCTAAAATAACATTTTCTTTGTTCATGAGTCAGAGGGGCTCTGATATTACTCTTGCTTTCTATTTTGAATTTTTATTCAAACAAAAAATAGAAGATTTACTGTTATGCAGACTACTGCAATACTGTAATAATTGTACAAATAATGTCAACCCATTCATGACTGCATATTAGAATGGCTAGTTGGACATTTATTGGAAAATGACATCATTTGTTTACTTTTGAACATTGGCAAAAATCAAACATTTCCCCTACTTTGAGCTCCATTTCCAGGTTCTTTTTATAGTAAGACCAATCAAAATCACCTCTATTTCTATAATATGTTTTCCATTCTATCAAATGAGACCAAGAAAACGAGAATACAACTATAAATACTATACGAAAATAGACCACAAATTCGGCATTTTAATTAAAAAAAAGAGTCAGAGTTTTTTTTTCTCATTATGCACTGCGTGCTCCAGGATTTTTTTTATATGGTGCACACTGACCACACAGACCCATTCTCTCACATGTGGGCCTACCAGCTTTCTCCTGCTTGATTTGAAGCCGCTGGAATTTATGAGTATATATACGTCAAACACGGTACCTCGTAAGACGTATATATACGACAGAAACAGTCAAAGGGTTAATGGACATGGTGCTGCAATGTTAGCAGGGTAACATTTATGAAGGGATTCAGGGGAAACAGGTTAGCTGAACTTAAGTCCTGGAGGTGGGAAAGGCAGTGATTGCATTCTGAAGGAGTGGGGATGTTGTAGTCAGAGGGCAATCTGAAGTGTGAAGTCAGCACACTTCTGGCATGAGAGCAATTTAATGAATGACGGTGAGTGTGTTTCCTTCTTTAAGTCATCCTACCTTGGCGGAAGACGGCTACTGAAGTAAAAATAAAATGATACCTGGTACATACATTATAGTATGGGAATTTGCTAGTGGTATATACCGTACAACCAACACACATCATCATCTGGTACACTGGTTGTATTTTGCTAATATTTTCAAACTCACTCATCATATTCACATTCAGTTATCCTAGTTAAACACTCCTTACATATTTGAATACCCAATCGTATTGTTGAGTGCACTACATATATGCCATGTCTATCCCATTCCCCATTATCACTCCCACCCAGATTAGAATGTATTGCACATCCACTAACAGTGCTCACAAACATACCTACAATATACAAACACTCAAGCCAACTTATCATTCTTTTAGTCGAGATGACAGACACAAAACAACATAAGCTTTTATTATAACATTTTCCTCAGAGAGCTTCATCAGGTTAAAAAAAAAAAAAAAAAAAAAAAAGTCAACTACTCCTTATATAGGCAGTCTAGTCAGGTGAGGTACTGAAGCGAGGCCCCTGGGCCATGTGACTTGGGCTGGTGCACAGGTGATCAGGTGAGAGCTGGTGACTAAGAACATCAGTGAGAATATAGTTTAGCAAACATAAAAGCATTTTGGCATTGCTCTACAGTGACAAAAATTTGAATGATGGCAACTACCATGCATTTCCTCCTGACTCTATCTTCCTCCTTTAACTCCTTATATAGACTATCCAGTCACCTAACCTGACAGTCTATGTAAGGAGTTGTTGACATGTTTTCTGTAACTTAATAAACACTAGAGGGAAACCTTTTTATGATAACTGTTTATACTATTTCATTTGCCTCTGTCATCTACCTGTCAGCTCACTTGCTGTTTTTACCATTATTTTGGTTACCAAACTAACACAACACCTGACTCAGAAATCAGTTCCAATTTTACAAGGGCCCATTTACTGTATTAAGATGAACACTGATATGACAAAATATCAAACACATTTTTAAATATATTTTACCTCATAAGGATATACAATAGGCACAAAGCACTATGTATACAGTACAGTATCTCCATTCACATAATGTGAATTTTACACATCAACGGAATGGAACTGTAAACTTCCATTTTATGACTTATGAGGAACAAGACATCAATACACAAAACATACAAATGCAAAAAAAATTAGCCTATCCCATTGAACACAGAGGATCAAGCTAACTCATTGCCATAAATTTTCCTTATATAAAGACAAGGACACAAGCTCCAATCTCATTACACATATGCCAGGCAGACAACAAGGGGATGCAGGCAAAACTAAGTCATGTCTTGATGCTCATCAGTCAAAATTGGGATCTCACAGGCAAGTGAAGGGTTTAATGTTTTTTGTGGCTAGTTAAGGATGGCCTCAAGATTCTAAGTGAACCAGCATACCAAATGAAAGAATAAAGATGATGGAGTCCTTACCAGAGTACAAAACATACCGTGTATATCATAAAACTGATTATATAGACTGTTTGACTGCCGACTTAAAAGTAAGAGGCTATTCACTGTACTTATATACACTTGATAATTAATTATCCAGCCCCTTTGGAAAAAGGGGAAGAGGGAAGTGCTTAAAATTTTCAACATCAGACAATCACATATTTCATGACTCCTTTGTTTGGCACATTCCTTTTACTCATTATCTCTTTAGGTCCCAGACTGAACAATATAGCTGGATAATGTTGAAAGCCAAATAACCAATCACTGGATAATCAACAACCTACTGCAT